TGAGTATACCTTGTACATTCTCGTAAACCGAACATCAAAATAAAAACGAACCAACTATAAGCGCAAAAAAAATCAATTGCCTCGAACAAAGGTTCAGGGTTTTAGCAGACTACCAAAATAATTAGATAATGACATGAAAATCACAAACAAAAGCAGAAGGCATTAATCTTCGCCAAACCAAAAACCAACTTTTGCTCATGGCACAGAGTTTTTTGGATTCTAGCTCGTGTAGCAACCTATATGAACCATTAACTAGAGGGGAAAAAGCTATCACCAGTGGCTTCCACTGGAAAGAACAAATAGAGCAGAAGGCATGCACTGTGTGACTGATACGGAAAACTTACAACAAATCGGCGGCGCCCCGTGGAGTTGTTAAGAGACTTGACACTCGTTTCCATGTTTGAAGACGAAAGAGAAGATGTGTGCGTCTGAGTGCAGCGGCTGGGTAATGATTACTCAATAAAGGCGGTGCAGCGAGCAAATGGACAAAAATAAACTATGGTGGGCAGCTGTGACTAGTGCAGTAGTGAATGAAAGAAAGGGCTTTTGGATAGAGAGGATGATACGAGAGCACGAGAGATATGGTATGAGTGAAGGCAGGGAAACAACGGCTCCATACAAGAGAGGGCGCGCCACTCTTGAGCAGCAACACCAAGTTCCCCACCCTGCAAATATAAAGCACGAGCAGAGAACAGGTTTGAACCCGGCTACTTCGCCCTATCATCTTTTATTTTTAAAAAATAAAAAATTATTTAATAATTAGCTTTTAGTCAAATTTAAAGATAGTTTTTCAATCTTGATTTCCTTCGGAATGGGGGAATTGGAGAAGAAGGGAAAAGAGAGAAAATTTTAATAAAACCGATTTAAAAAATAAGTAAAGTAGGGTTATAAAATTTTAATAAAAAATATGTGAGAAAATAATAAAAGGGTTAATTAAAAGCTTTTAACCTGCTAATTCAAAATTTTAAATCAATTTCATCAAAAAAATTTATCTACTCCCCTTTCCTCCAGATCATTACTACCAAATGGACTCTTACATAATAAGAAGTACATATATGAATGAAGTTTTGTCTTAATTTATACAAAAATATTTATAAGTACATGTGAACCACACATGCAAACAAGTCCGAACCTTTTTAATTGAAAGTGCACTGTCTGGTCGCATTGGTTAGCATTAATTTCCACACGATGCTGTGTATGTAGATGAAACTCAAGATGTGCGCTGTGTTTGGTTCAGTGAAAGGCCTAGGAGGTTATGGTTTCGTCTGGGAGTCCGCTCGTCGTGCTTAGCAAATCTCTGAGCACGACATGATCATCTCTCAAACACTGTCATTTGGAGATGAGATAAGATACCTTCTTCTTTTACTTTTTTTTTTTATAAATATTTTCTATTAATTTTTTTATTTATTCATGTTAACTTAAATCTAGCACTTTAAAAATTTTTCCTAGTAACATTCAGTATCCTAAATTAATTGATTTTTCATTATAATACGTGTTACTAAAAAAATATTTTAGGATGCCGAATACATCATAATTAATTAATTCAGAATACTAGGTACTACTAAAAAATTATTTCTGGATGCATGATTCACTGAAAATAATTAATTTAAAATATTGGGCATTACTGTAAAAATATTTCAAGATAATGAATACACTAAAAATTAATTAGTTTAAAATATTGGGTGGCTGCTATTAGAAAAGTATTTCGAGATGATAGATTAATTAAAAAATAATTTAGGATATCAATTGTTACGGAAAAATATTTCAAGATATGTAATTCATTAAAAATTAATTAATTTAGGATATTAAATTAGAAAAAATATTTTAGAATGTTAGATACAAATTAACTCAAATAAATAAAAAAGTAAAATTAATAGATTTTTTTTAAAAAAAGAGGAGGAGTATCTCGTATCTTTTCCAAACAACAACGTTTGGGGATGAGCATGCCGTGCTCACAGTGCGGATTCTTTCGTTTAGTTGAAAGGAATGAGAAGGGAAAGAAATTAATCAAAAATTGACAAATATATCATTTCTTACTTTATTAATTTTAGGATGAAATTAGTAAGATAAGTCGAACAAAAAGAGACATGCTTTCCTTTATATTATACTCTATATATGTAGTACACAAGAATCATGTATGTTTATTTAAATATAATATCATGCGCACCACTTGTTTGGGTGGCAGGCTTTTTCTGCTCTGAAGGGTTGGGGCGCTGTCCCTTGATTTAAAAATGTTGTGAAAAACATAAGTATATAAATTTGTTACTACGAAGTGATTTTATTTTTTTAACCTTATCTAATATTTTATTTTAATTTATTAACCTTAAAAAGTATATTTTGAATAATTCAATTTTAAAATTGTTAATAAAAAAGACTACTAATATCTTGAATGTTGATTTTCAAAATAATCATGATTAATACTGACAATTTTAGTATTAAATAACTAAAAACATACTTTTTTTAAAGTTAAGAAGAGTAATTGGAATTTATATAAAATTAAAAGATCAAATATGTGTTTTAGCCTAAGCCTTTTTCCCTTTGTGCTCAACATTACATAACATATTAATTAAACAAGATAAGGCAACCTTCATGCAATACATCAACAGCACTAGCAACATCCATCATCAATATAAAGGATCAATCCCATTAGTAGATAGTTCGTCCAAGTTTTTATTCAGCAAGGTAAATATTGTGTAGCAAAAAATGAAAAAAAGTAAACACTGAGATTGCTATCGCCTCGTTTATTAATTATTTGTTTGTTATTGGTTTTTTTTTTTTTTACATTAGTAGCATGACATAAACAGTGTTTGGTTTAAAGCTGGTAATACGAACTGGGACCACAAGCCCAACCCACCAAAACTGGCAGCTTAGATTGGCAAAATGCCAACTCATCCCCGCATTGCTATAGGCTAACTTGTTTTTATATTTATATATATAAATTAATATTTACATTATCTTATTATAATTTATTACTTGAGTCCAATTTTAATATTTTATATTTTAAAACCCAACCCATATCAATAATAAGAATTTTTTATCTAAAAAATAATAAATATTGTATCAAAGAAATAAATAAATAGTGGCATATTAGAGTATTGTTTGGAGCTTTATTTTTTTTAACTCACCCACAACTATCAGTTTTTAAATATATGGCTATATATTGCAGAGATAGTAACACAAATATATAGCTCATTGACTGGTGCGTGCCCGCTTTACTAGTTCTAGTTTGGTTTACTCGAAAAACAATTTAAAAAAGTGCTTACATAAGTGAATATCAAACTTCTCTTAGAGTCTATTTAATACGAGGGAAATAAAAAAGAGGGAAGAAGGGGAAAATTTTAATAAGTTTGATTTAAAAAAGTAATAGAATGGAATTAAAAGTTTTTGATTAATCTGTATCACTCTTTTGTTTTATATTTTTTCTTTATTAAATTTTTATATACCCCTTTTTTTAAATTTTTAAATCAAGCTCATGAAAATTTTTTCTCCCCTCTTCTTCCCCATGCCAAATATAGGGCTAGATACTTATAGTGTATTTGGATCTCTGATGAGAACTCCAAGCATGCCTGATAAAATGGAGACCATGGTGTTCTAGGCAATAAGCTACTTTTCCGGTCATTAACATATAACCTAATTGTCAAGTTAATTTTATTCTAAATATAAGACATATTTCTTATATTTATCATTTTTTTTTAATTATCCTATAGATACTCCCTCAACTATAATTAGGTAGAAAAAGGAAGGAAGATATTAAGAAATTAAGAAAGATGATTATAGTGTTTCAGAAAAACATGTCATATTTTTTATAATTAACTAATTTACCAACTTTTTAATTTAATCAAATTAGTTAAATATGTCTCATATTAAAGACGAGAGCAGTAATATGTAAATGTTTGACATTGTGGTTTTTCAAATGAACTTCTGAGCCTCATCACGAGTTGCGTTTGAAGTTAAATTTTGGTGCGTTATGAAAAAAGTTCATTAATAACGTGGAGAGAAAAAAACAAGCAGTGATAAAAGGGACAGAATATGACATACTTCGCATTATTTATTTAAAAGATTATGGTATATCCGGCATCAAGAAGAATTTTTTCACATATATCCGGCACCTTAAAATATTTAGTGGCATATTTAGTACCCTGAAATATTTCTTTACACGCATTTAGCACTCTAACATATTTTTTAGTATAATTTTACCTTTTGTAATTTAAGGTATTAGATGAACAAATTTTTTTTGGAATGTTAAATGCATCTAAAAAATATTTTAAAATATTAGATGTACTTAAATATAACTAAAATGCTGGACATACTTAAAAAAATATTTTAGAATACTGAACGTGCTACTAAATACTTTAAGTTACACCAAATATGTCTAATTAAGTGTTTTTTTAGTATTTATAATCGTTTCTTATAATATATTAGCTCTTTTTATTTTTATGTTTTTAATTTTAGTGTTTCTGTTAAATTTATCAAATTATGCATATTATTTATATGTATAATAAATTCACATATAAATTTTTTTTTACTTATTCAAATAAGTTTTAAACTGCCTCTAATTTTTTTATGAAAATTACAGGTTAATATAAACTTTGGTCTTTCAAATTTACTCTGATTTTTTTTTGTTTTTTAAGTTTTAAATAATAGGTCTTAGTCTTTCAAATTTTTTTTTTATTTAAAACATTGCTTCTTATAATCCAATAAAAATTTAGACTATTTTATCTCTTGAAATATCAAAATTATGGTTTGAAACTTAAAAGACTAAAACTAAAATGAGAGTAAATTTAAAGGATCAAAGATTATATTAATTCAAAAATTAATCTAAATATGAATTATATTACACTGATTTATTTTTATTTTTATTTATGTATGTAAAAGTCGAGATAAAAATTATTTTTCTCACCACTAGAAATCATTTTTGAATTTTTGGTTTAACACCTATGTGGGGGAACAAAAAACAAAAGCACCATGACCTATTTCGAAGCCACAATCGACTCTGGCAGAGGAAGAGATACGCTCCCCTCCAACGCGGCTGCTCTTTCGGCCCCTCTTTCTGGAGTCGACGCTATCCCCTGGTTGGCCAGAAAAATTCATCATCCTCCTCCTTCCTTTTGCCTTCCTGTTTACCGATCTACTGGGAATTTCTAATCGTCTGCCGATTTAATGTTTTTAGAATTCTGGGCAGGAAAAATGTTCCCTTGTATTTTCTTCCAAACCAGCGAAACCTTTTTAACATCTCATGATTTGGGCATTTTTTGTCTTATTTAACGAAATACCTTCGAATTTAACACCAATCTACAATTTTTTGCAGTTCTTTAGAAAGTGAGGCATAATCTTGACTCCCAGCTGTTTGAATTTGAGGGTTACTTGTGGGTCTGGCTGAGGGAGTTGAATTGAATAACAAGTGTCTCCCATTGATTTGGTTTTGGGCTCTCATTTTTAGTTTACCACTAGATTCTTCACTCTGTCCAAACTGGGTTTTATGGCTGACCGAAGTTCAGCGGTTGCCAAGCCGGTTTGGATGAAGCAAGCAGAGGAGGCGAAGCTGAAGAGTGAAGCCGAGAAGGCTGCGGCAGCGAAGGCTGCTTTTGAAGCCACGTTCAAAGGGGTTGATAAGAATCGCGAAAAGGATACTGTTCCATCGGACAGTGAATCGGAGGAATTCGAGGACTTGGCTAATAAGCCAATTGGTCCCGTGGATCCTGCAAAGTGCACAGCAGCTGGTACTGGGATTGCAGGGGGAACAGCATGTGCTCCATCCTCATTTATGGTGGTGACCAAGGACGCTGATGGGAGGAAGATTTCCACGGGGGGTGCCCAGGTGAAGGTCAAGGTCTTCCCGGGATTGGGTGTTGGAGGGTCGGAGCAAGAGGGGATTGTCAAGGATATGGGTGATGGAACGTACACTGTTACTTATGTTGTGCCAAAACGAGGGAACTACATGGTCAGTGTTGAGTGTAATGGCAAGCCAATTTTGGGCAGTCCATTCCCTGTGTTTTTCAGTGCAGGTATCTTTTCTCCTCCGTCCTCGTTTCCCTAGATCAACTTGTGCACACTTTGGGTTTGATTGTTTCTATTTAGTAGGTCTACAACTTAGCCTGCTTTCTACTTTTATACACGTGGATAGAACTTGAGAGGCCATTCAAAGAGATAATGATGATAAGGATTACAATGGTCCAAATAAAAATGGATGACTAACTAGATGTGGAGCCGGAAATTGTGTAGATTCTGAGGCCATATTGTTCATAACTTATGAATAATGTGGCTTGTTATAGATTTTATATTTTGTATTGGTGAAAGATATATTTTACTTATAGATGGGAATTTTCTTTTTTTTCTTTTTGTGTAAGTATTGCTTTATACTTCTACTTTAATCATACTTGAACTGGGTCTCTATCTGTGCAAAGCATCACAAATTCTTCATCTTTGTTCTTTTGGATATAAGAAGATTCTTTGCCGCACAAGTTATCTCAAGTTGATTTTACATTTAAACTCGCCAATTTTCTGGACTTCAATTCTTTCTTTTGTAGGTAATAATAATGGAGGACTCCTGGGTTTAGCTCCTGCATCCAACTTTCCCAATCTGGTCAACCAAACCATGCCCAACATGCCAAATTACTCTGGATCTGTTTCAGGTGCATTTCCAGGGTTATTAGGAATGATTCCAGGTGTTGTTGCTGGGGCTTCCGGAGGAGCTATTTTGCCAGGAATAGGGGCATCACTGGGAGAAGTTTGTCGAGAATATCTCAATGGACAATGTGCGAAAATTGATTGTAAATTGAATCACCCCCCTCATAATTTGCTCATGACTGCCTTAGCTGCTACAACCTCCATGGGGACACTTAGCCAAGCTCCTATGGCACCTTCTGCTGCTGCAATGGCTGCTGCTCAGGCGATAGTTGCCGCTCAAGCCCTCCAAGCCCATGCAGCTCAGGTTCAAGCTCAGTCAGTAAAAGATTCTGCCGGTATGCTATATTTATTTTGTTTCCTATTGGTAGTATTCTACTCATAGTTTGTTGGTTTTGCTTTTGCATTGACAAGAACTTTCCTTTCCTGTTATTTGATGTTATTTTTTGTTTCTTTTTATTATGTTCTATGGTTTTTTCACGATTAATTATGCTCTCTTATTTAGGTTCACCTGACAAGGCCGGGAAGGCTGAAACATTAAAGAAAACTCTTCAAGTTAGCAATCTCAGTCCACTTCTTACAGTGGATCAGCTGAAACAGCTCTTTGGCTTCTGTGGTACTGTTGTAGAATGTACAATCACTGATTCAAAGCATTTTGCCTATATAGAATATTCAAAACCTGAAGAAGCAACTGCCGCTCTGGCATTGAATAACATAGATGTTGGGGGACGCCCTTTGAATGTTGAGATGGCAAAATCGCTTCCTCAGAAGCCATCTGTATCGAATTCCTCACTGTCCTCATCTTCTCTTCCTTTGATGATGCAGCAAGCTGTTGCTATGCAACAGATGCAGTTCCAGCAAGCATTGCTCATGCAACAATCTTTAACTGCACAGCAAGCTGCTAACCGAGCCGCAACTATGAAATCTGCCACAGAGTTAGCAGCAGCCCGAGCTGCAGAGATAAGTAAGAAACTGAAAGCTGATGGCCATGAGACCGAAGAGAAAGATGCAAAGCAGAAATCTAGGTCTGATAACTCTGTCAATGCTTTCAAAATGAGAATATATATATTTTTTGTTGATACTTTATCTACCTTGTTCTCTGCATGATTTAGCCATGTACTACTTGAAACTTATGAGCTCTTGAAGTCACAAATTTAGCAAACTAGTTTATGCTTCTCATTATAAATGCTCCGCCATGAATCTGATCCAGTCATCGTATCATTTCTTCCTTCCCTTCCCCTCTCTAATCTATTTTTTAGTTATTCCTTTTTTATGTTGGCGGCAATCGGTCATTTTGATATCCATTTTTTCTGCATAATTTAGTGCATTGTATTTTACTTATGATTTTGATTAAGCAGAACCTGGCTTATATCAGTGTTCCAATACTTGAGATAAGGTAGTACAATTTTAATGTACTTTCTGGTTGAGATTGTTAAGTGAAAATGCTGTTTTTGGTGCTAATGATAGCATGCTTTTTTTAAGGCGCGGATATTTTTGGGTATTTATTATTAATCATTGCTCATGACTCTTTCCCAAACTTCTCATCTAAATCTGGAAAATGCAATTCTCATTTTTAGGTCACCTTCTCGTGGTAGATCACAATCAAAGTCTAGATCTCCTGTCAATCATCGAAGAAGGAGGAAATCTCCTTCTTACTCCCCCCCCTATTCAAAGGACCGTAGGTCTAGGTCACCATTGAGATCCCATCATTATTCAATCTTTGAAAGGGAACGGAGGTTTTATAGAGACAAATGGGAAAACAGTGATAGATATAGAAGACGGGATTCAGATAGATCATATGATCATCATTCATCTAGTTTGAGAAGAAACAGGAGCAGGAGCGTGAGCCCTCGTTCAAGGAAATCATATCGAGTTGATTCTGTTTCTCCTAAACGCAGAGAAAGTTCACCACATAGAGGAAGGAAGTCATCACGTGCTGGTTCTGGCTCTCCACGTCATCACAGAGGAAGTAGGTCATCTCCAAGAAAGTCATCACGTGGTAGTTCTGGCTCTCCAAGTCATCACAGAGGAGTCAAGTCATCTCAAGTTGATGATGAGAGCAAACTAAGAATGAGAAGACGCTCCAGGTCAAGATCTGCTGAGGATAAGCATCATTATATTGATAAAACAGATGGAAAATCTAAACATAGAGAGAGGCGGCAGTCAGTGGAACCAGAGCCTCATGGAAGAAGCCGGTCATCCCCAAGAAAGGGGGATGAAAGTAGATCCAGGTCCAGGAGGCGGTCCCGGTCAAAATCTTTAGACAGCGATTACCATTCTCTTGAGAAGGTGGATGAACGCAGGAATAGAAGACCAAGGCATCGTGAAAAAAGGCATTCTAGATCTAGATCTGTGGAAAATAAGAGTCCAACTGCTGAAAGAGAGAATGAGAGCAGAAAACATCGTCACACTAAAAAGTCTAGGTCAAAATCTGTTGAAGCAAAGCATCGTGTTAAAGATAAATCAGGTGAAATCAAAGATAAGAAAGCGAAGCATCGAGATAGAAAGAGTTCAAGGTCAACATCAGTAGATCGTAAGCATGGCAAAGGAGGCACATCCCAAGGAAATTTTGATGAGGGCAGTTTTGAAGACACAAAGGACTACAAATCAAAATCACCTGAGGGAAAGGATTGCTCTAATGGAAGAGGAGATGAAAATTTAGAGCATCCAGCAGAATCTCTGTCTAAATCAGTGTCAGAAAGTTGTCGGCAATGTGATGGGAGTGGGTTATCCCCAGGGAGTTTCAAGGGGCATGAATTTAAAGACACTAACCCATCTGGTTTTGGATGTGGAGAAGGTGAGCATCATTTGAGTGATCAGGAGAATGGACATAGTGATGAAAATTCAAAACTTCGTGAAGATACCATGCAGGAAGTGATTATAGACGTGAAGAATTCAACAAACATGAGAGATGATCAGATGCTGGTCCCGTCAAATCAAAGCTGCAACTCGGCGGTGCCAACTGAAAATGCAAAAGCAGAAGATAACCCAGGTATGATATGTCCTGTCAATTGCTGATGTTACTTGAGTATTTTGAGATCTGAGAATCATATATGTTGCAGGGGATCTAAGTGGAAAGAGAATGGGAACTGAATAATGAAGAACACAAGCTTTGCGCACCAGGTAATGAAGATGAATATAGAAAAAAAATGATTATGCTTATAAGACTTCCTAAAGCTCAGTTGCTTTTTGTGGCTTTCAGGAGTGGGGCCTCAAAATGTTTTTGAAGATTCAACTTAGGTTTTTATGAGGAATAACTACGACAAAAGACCTGTATTATTGTATTTGTGATTCAGAAGTACTGGGAGATGGAAGTAATTTAGTTTCTTCACCTAGACATGTGGGGGAGAGCTGCGTCAACCTTGATGGTTATGATTTCTGATCGACAGAGGATAATTCCTGATAGATCATGACGTGAATTATGATTGTCTATGATTGAGGATTTCTGCACGAGGCAATAGTCATGGCTGCTGATGAGTCCACATTCTGATTTAGGGAGGTCAAATTTCATGAACGAGTTCTTTCCGAGGAGTGAACTGTTACTTCTTAGGACAAGCTCACATCACATGGGAGATGCTTCCACTGTTTGATTTGGCCTTGGGAATATTCTGTGTTGGTTTTTATGGATGTCTTTGTCTATTTCTTTTTTGCAGGTGGTTGTGGAACAGATCACTGATAAAATCCTTGACCAGTTGACACGGTTTAAGGTTTCAAGAAGCGTCCTGCTTTTGCAATGTCTAATGATCAACCATGCAACACGCATAACATGCTTGTTTTACTGCTTGGTTGATGTATGTTTGATTGTTACTTTATTAAATATACTATTCTCCTTTTCATTTAATGTAAGGTCATATTACAGTGTTAGGATCTTGACATGTATTTTTTGATTTTAGAATGTGATGGAATCTGAAATTTCATAGCATATGCCGTTCAGTAATTTTATTATTTAGCAAGGAAACCCTTTTGATTAATAATCCTCATTTGACTTATCCAAAGCTTAGTGGGCTTATATTAGCGTGGCCATAATGTGTAAAGTTGAACCTTGTACATAAGCTACCTTGCCCACTCTATCGCTGGTCTTGGTATTTTAGCTAGATTCTATGCCCTTTTGGGAATTTGCTTGTTATATGATGCAAGAGTCCTTTACTATTGGCAACCATAGGATCCCTTTCATTTACTCCAAACAAATGCAGGTTATATTCAAGTGAACTCAGTTGGAGCTTTTTGAGATACAATTTTGCTGGGTTGATTTTCTCTTGTGTAAATGAAGGTATGATAGATTCTGATGCTCTTGGCTTAGAGCATATATCTCCGCTTTTTTCCCCTTTTTCTGTCAAGCGCTGAAAGTAGTTGGAGTTCTGAATCTACTTAGTCTGCATTAAGTTCTGTTACTCTCAGTATTGTTGCCAATGCTTTTACCATCATCTGGTTCCTTATGTTGTCCTGCATCTGTTTCTTTTTCTTTCTTTTCTTTTCTTTTTTCTCCATTTTTTTCTTTTTCTTTCTTCCCAAGAAATTGTCATAATAGGTAAAGCTATCACACAAGGTCAAGTGAAACCAGATGTTGCTGCAATGAGTTACATCATGTTGCATGTGAGCAAATTGGCTGTTACACATTACTTAAGTAAATGGGAAATGGAAATGTTGATTTTGACAGGTAATTCTCCATTAAACCATTTGGGTTTGAGTTCTACTAGTTGTTTAGGAGCGTATTCAATCCCAATTACCAGTAACATCTGTATTCGAATATTCCTGCATTAGCTTGATCTTGTCAGCTTATTACACACTTCATTAATTATTTATGCTATTCTACTCAAATTGATGGTTTGTCTTATACCCTAAATTTTGGTTTTGGTTACATATTGGTGGTATCAGATAGTTTCACTTAATGATTTCATCGAGTTATTATTATTATTATTTTTTAAAACTATGTCAAGGGAAAGGTATTGAACTGTGGCCTTGTTGCTCAGTGAAGCTGGAAAACAGACATGTTTTGTTTTCCCCTGTTCCTTTGAATGCAAATGAGATTTTATTTTAAACGAAAAAAGGAAAGGAAAACAAAATTGTTTGAATGACAACCGTAATTTCCCCCTTTTATTCTTTTCTCCTTTGGCCCGACCCTCCCGTTTCTTGTTTTTACCTGTCTTGGTTAGGATAAGCTGTGGATATGAATGATCTTGAGAGCAGCTGCAATGAATCTCATCTGCAGATGATTGTGTGAAGTTTGACCTTTGCAGTTCTAATTGTTTTTCCTTTTTTTTTTTCAATGTTTTGTCTAATAACCAGTTGTTTGTCAGAGATGCCGATTGTATGTCTCCCTGGCAATCAGATTAAGCTTTTATCAATCAAATAAGATTTTGTTCTCAGCTGGAGCAGTTGTTCAAAATAATTAACGTTTCTATTGGCCCCGCATACACGTTTCTGCCTGAGGATGCAATTTGGAAATTTGGAGAGAAGAACGTAGTGGAAGTGTGGAAAGTGTATATTAAGGAGAGTTGAGAATCGTCAATTTTGCCCGTAGTAATCGTTTAGCTTTTAAAAATCCAAGAGCACCCTATAATTATTTCGGCACATGCGTTGAGAGTAAGTTACCGTCGCGACTCTCTGTATGCAATTGCACTTGTGGGTCATCCCAGGAAATTGAGGTTAAGTAACCGACCCCAAGCGGCCGGTTGTTGGTTTTGGGGTTAATTTACTATTGACAGCCCCTTGTTGGAATAATCATGGCAGTGTTCGAACCTGAAAGTCTCTTGGGAGGACCCAATTGCCATGGCCGGGGTGTGGGGTTTTTTTCTTGGGGTCGAATATTTGCTTTATTAGTCCTGACTCTTGGTACTGTGGAAAGAGAGGTGGCCCCGTGAGTCTATGGTTTAATGCTCAGATCCAAATTAACGTGATTGTGTTCATGCTCAGCTTCCCTTTCTTTTTTATTTCTGGTGGATTGGGGAAGGTCAAATTATTAGATCAGTTACGCTGCATAAATGATAAATCTAAGAAAATTCCCATTTGGGAATTGAAGGTTCCTCCCCTGAGAAGAACATGTCAAGTGGTGGACTGTATAATTTATCAGAGAATTTTGATGTAGGAAAAAAAGAAACTTTTTTTTTCACCAGAGTAGGAAAAAAAGAAACTGATGCTTGTGATGTCCCGTGGAGGGGTGGTTTATTTTATGTGACGTGATTTGGAACGCATTAAAATAAAATTAAGTTACAGTGATATTGCGTAATCAGGGACAATGACATGGAGGCAAAATTATGGCAGCCCAACGTTGTTGATAATGACGGCAACGACAGAGATAATGACGGGGATAAGGATGATGATGGTGAAGAAGGTAATAATAATGGGACTGTTGTGAGCCTAATAGATGCAAGTGGCCTAAACCATATTCATACTGCGTCCCCACAAAAAATTTCTGTTCGTTAAATTTACAATTAAGAAAGGGTCTGCGTCCCCACATCAAAGTCGCTTCGGCGCAAGTAGCATGTTGCTAAGTCAATACATTAAATGTTTTTGGTTGGTCAGTCAATTAACTCAATTACTTTATTTGGTCCATTTTATTGTCGGCTTTAAGGGACGGCGTCCTTTGCTTTAGCAATGGGATAATCAGATGAACACGCAAAATTTCCCGGCTTTTTGGGCCCATTTTCGGCATTTCTCTCAGAAATTAATTTTCCTTTGACAATTTAGTTTTGCCTTTTGATGCGCACTTCGGAATCCATTATGGTGGACACTCGGCACAGCTTACATTTCCATTTGATACAACTTGGTTCTGCAAAATAATGCTGCAACGCAAATGAAGCGGTGCCGACTGTGGGTTTGATGTAACATGTAAGCGTTGCCTTGCCTCCCTTACAGCATATCATATTGACATATTGTGCGAACGGGAATTAAAGCGATTTTTTTGCCATGCTTAGGAACTGTTTAGATAAAACCAAATCATGATTTGGAGAATAGCTTCTAAAAAATAGATTTTGAAAAAATAGATTTTGTGAAAAAAATGATTTTAATAAAGTAAAAATGTTTGAGTGGTTGTTATCATAATTATTTTTTTCATGTGTAACTTACTAAAAAGGATCTAATTTGATATGATAATTATATAAAAATAGATTTTATTTTATATTTTTGTTTGAAATAATAAGTTGTATATAAAAAAATATAATTAATTAATATTACTTCTTGTTCTTAATATAAAAGCTAACTGGATATTCAATTTGATTTTGAATATAAGATTTCAATCTACTTTATCTTTTATATTTATTTATTTTTTATATTCCAAACCATGGTTTTATATCATATTGGTTAGAGTTAAGCAAGAAGTTGAAAACGAAGAGTTCAAGTTGCGGAAGGAAACTAGGCACCGGTGCCTTAATTCCAACCAACTGCCTGCACCTGCAATTTTGGTTTACTGGCCTCGTTGACGTGTTCCTCCTCACGTTCATAGACAGGTTCCAAACGTAGAGAACAATCATTATGATTTATAACAACATTATTTGTGTGTTCTGTTTTTTTTTTGTCCTGATGTTTGTTTGTCCACTTGGCAGCCCCTGTTCAGAAGAAAGGCCATTGATTGATTCACAGAGGAAACCACCGTACTGCTCCTTCGCAGGCTCCTTTTTTTTTTACCCTTTTTGGAAAAGGGATCGAGAAGTACAAAAGGGCAATGAAGGTAATTAAACGCTCCTGCTGGTTCAGGCCCATAATTTTATACATGTAGCAATCAAAGTACTGCCTCATGTCATTGAAACTTCATCCAGTGTTTGGGAGGGCTTATTCTCAGAAGTAAACTGCCAGACCGTGAGTTGTTAAAAAAGCTAGGAAGAGTAGCTTATGAAACTGTGGGCAGAAGCTTAATGGTACGAGTTTTGCCAATTATACTGAGACACGTGGTGAGATGTTATTGGCAAAGAATAACGCCACCTTCACTAATGAGCAAAAAGATCTTCCTGATGCTTTAGTTTATATGTTTTGCTGGGTGCCTCTAACTTATGTTTTTGGATCAAACTTGAAGAATGGACGTTCAAAAAATCAATAAAGTATATTTCAGAAAATAAAATAATAAATATATTGGGTATTATTTTTTTTTCATTTCTATAATGTTTTCAAACTTAATCCACTTGTTAAATTTTACTTCTTCATATTAAATTAATTTAAATTTGTTATATTATGTCAATTTATTTTTTTTATCATGTTTCACTTTATATTTAAAGTGCTTTTTTTTAATCATTTTTCTAAATTTTAAAATTTAGTTCACTCATTAAATTTCACTTCTTCATATTAAATTAATTTAAATTCATTGTGTTATGTAAAATTATTTTTTAATCATGTTTCATTATTTATTAAAACTCACATCCATTTTGATAATTTTACAAATAAACTTATTTTTACTCAATCATAATCCAAACAATCTTTTATCAATCTCATTTTTACAAACTGGCTTTTTCAAAATCCAATCCAAACACAATTCAACTTATCCAATTTAACTTTTACCCTATCTTACTTTTCTAAAAAGTCAGATTGGAAATAAGCTGTTTTTCTCACCACCATTCCAAACGGACCCTTTTAGTCTGCTCAAATTAGTTAACCAGCTTTTATATTTAGGATCGGAGGTAGTATTATTTTTTAAATTAATTGAAAACTCTTGACCACCAATGGTGAGCCGATTTCAATCATGATTTACAAAATACAAAGTAAATATATGAGAAGATTTTTATCTTGATTTATGTAAAACGTGTTTAAAAATATTTTTGAATGTTATCCAAATAGGTCCAATATTAGTATAGGAAAATTGATTTTAAGAAAGGCACCAAAGTCAACACTTTAACACGTGTCTAACTGCCTGATGGATTATTACATTATTCAATCCTATTCTATTTATAAGTTTTAAAATCTGAGACAATGTGTGGTCTATTTTATAAGTTTTAATTTACGTTTATCTTAACATTTAACATGTTTTTTCTAATGTTGTCCTTAATTATTTCTTTCTTATCACATTTCCCACCCATTCTTTTCACCAATTTTCTTATATATTATAAGGGCATATTTGAAAAAAGAGAGTATATTTCTAGCCTATTTATTATTTTTAACTAATTTTAATTGATTATTTGTTATTCACAAATTAGTTATTTGAAATTTATAATAAAGACCGAATGGAGCATTCCTCATTTATATCTTTGATAGTTTGTTCAGTATGAACTTTGATAATTGTATTCCTCATCAATATCTATTAATTAATATATTTGTAGTATAAATTATACTACAAAATATGTCTTATATTTAGGACTCTAAGAGTAATGGATATCCCAACAAATCGTTTTTGTATACTTTGTAATTATTTTATTGATTGTTGATTTCTATTAAACTTTCTTATCTCTAACAATGACACTTCATTTTCTTATTCTCCATCCAGGATAAAGCGGATTCATTTCTCACACAATTTTATTTTTCCCTTTCACTTCCAACAGATTGTTTATCAGACACTCTTTTGTACAAATTTTTATACGAGCTTGATATCACCAACAACTTCTCTTTAAGAAAACGCCAGTGATAATGTTGATTTCGTTTAAAAAAAAAATTAATAAAGTTTTTATCACAATATTAAATTTTAAAATCCATATATAAATATATGCTATATTTATTGAAACCTATAATAATGTTCACTGAAGCTCCGGAATTATACAGTCCACAATATTCTTTCCGTCTGTTATAAGTATGGCGCGCCGAAGGGATGATGAACACAAAGAAAACAAGGAGATAAAAAAAATCTGAGCCTTATAAAGACCGAAACTTTCGGATCGCGCACAGTCACTCTAGTAAGGGGGATCACAGGAACGAGATTGAGACGTTCGCAAAGAGAGATGCGGTGCCATGTCGTGACTATTCCCGGAAGCGATTACCGCTTCTTCTCCCCAGCACCTGTATCTGTCCCCTCCAACACCACTTCCAATCACAAATCTCTCAGTTTCCCCTTTCGAACCGGCGGTTTTGGCTCTCTGAGAGTTAAAGCCGCTGTGAACGACGGCTATGTGGCCGAGGCCTCCAAGGCCTCCAAGTTGAGCTTCTACGAGCTTCTGGGTATTCCCGAATCTGGGTCCTTGCTTGAGATCAAGCAGGCGTACAAGCAGCTCGCGCTCAAGTACCACCCTGATGTGTCGCCGCCAGATCGGGTGGAGGAGAATACGAAGAGGTTCATTCAGGTGCAGGAGGCCTATGAGACCTTGTCTGATCCTAGAAGGAGAGCTATGTATGATAGAGACATGGCCAGAGGGATCCACTTGGCCTTCTCCGCTCGCCGGTGCTACTACGACGGCGAGGTATTATACTCTTGCTTTTTCTGTTTTGTATTATTTATGGCTTTATCTCTCTTGCCCCCTTTTGAATTTCTTATAGTCACGGCTCGTTGGCTGTCCTAATATTTTGGGTTGATTTTTCTCTTACTTTGCTATGGTTGATTATTTGATTGTAACGGTTAGTTTAGGTGTTAATTGCTTTGGTCAGAGAGGGTAGGTCATATGGTCCTGTTCATGCCCCTCGTCCTTTATGTTCGGTGTCGCTAGGAATCATACCTTGATTGGGTTGAAAGCTGGAAATTTGTTTGGGGATTTTCCCTTGTTCTTTAATTTATGCTGCATAAATTTCTGGTGGTTTTCTTCCACTGGAGAGAAGGTTTTGAGTATTTGTGGCCAAGGTTAGAGAAGACTTCCAATCCTGTGGATGTCACAAGACACAAGTGCCTCTTTTTTGGCATCAATTTTAGATTTAGATAAAACCGTGCTCTTGTTTCGTTGCCCCACAAGAAGTGCGACACCTTTGCTGCATTAATTGACAGAAGATTTATACAAAATTGATAGATAGTGATTTGATCAAATTTTGTTTTTTGTGGATATTATTAGCGCAGAATTGAGCTGCTCTGCCTCTTATTTTCTATGTCGTTCGCGCACCTACGCGCACACACGCACACCAGACAATGTCAACGGCCATTAAAAATTAGAGAATGACAATTGAGGATATCTTGTGATGATACGAATCGATGATCTTGTTATTTCTTTATTGGTGATGATGTAGCTGGAGCTTTTTGTATGCTGAAGGGACATGAATCTTAAAACTTATTACAATTAGGTTGCCCAGTTGTCCCTTTCATTGTGCGGGGTGCGTGATGCTATTACAATATTCTATATATAATCATCTGAGTTTGTGGTTTTGGGATGTGTCAGGTAATCGAACAGAGAAGTGAGTGGAAAGCCCGTTGGCAAAGTCAGCTATCAGAGCTGAATCGAAGAAGCAAGCTCAAGGAAAATGAAGAAAATATGTCGTGGGCCGCTCGAATGCGTCGTCGAAGGGCAGAATCGTGTAACGAATCATAACTACTTAGCTTCTCTCTGTGTGAATATGCATACTTATAGGTGGATATAAGCTTAGTTTCTTCCTTGTATAGAAGGAAGATAAATCGGGCAGTGAGATAGAGATTTGTGTCGGATTCACCTCACACTAGTAGCTGAGTGTTGTTCCTATCTCTTTCTCACTCCTTAATATAAAGTCCTGATTCTCCGAATCTGTTGGTCGGTGTTTAAGCCGTTGCCTGCAAGAAATCTTCATGTTTGCTTCCATGGAGCTTTACTTTTCTCAATTTGATGAGCCTAGTCTTCTGGCTTTGAACGCAACGATTGTATATATTATTGCATCAGAAAGGCTTGTCAGCAGTCTACCCGACCCTTTCATGTCAGGACTGTCCTTGGTGGTTTGATCAGAACATTTCGATTGTCGAGACATAATTAAATTGATCATACATTAATTAGCAACATAATCGGACCGTTTCAGATTGAAAAGCAGGACCTTCTGGGGAGCGATTATAGAATCATGTGAGAATCAAATTTAAAGCTTAAAAGCGGATGAACTTAGATCAAGGAAGAATTGTTAAGAAATTTGATTGTTAGAGTCTAGACAGCATTTTTTTTGCGTGGGATCAATAAAACTGTGTAACCAACAAATTAACTAAAGGGAATTCAATTTGAAATTGTTGCGTTGATTGTGCATAGTTGTAAATTATCACTTAGGGGAATACAAGATTAATAAGGGGGGGGGTTGAAAAAGTCAAAAACAGTGGACATATTGGAGTCGCTGGAGCGTGGACTGTAGTGGAAAGAAGAGCAGAGGATAGGGTTCGGTGATTGGTGAGTTGTCTTTTCGGCTCAGGAAGGGTTTTTACCTTATTAGGACGAGATTAGCAGAGACACGTCAGATAATAATTTACGTTGAATCTGCAAATATTCTAGAAACTTGGCATCACAGTTGTTTTGTCAGGGGTGTGGTTGTACCGGACTATTTCCACCAACATAAAATGTTTTTCCATCATAATTAAAATTTTGAAAAAAAGTCAAACGCACTCTATTAGAAACATATTAATATTTAGTGTTCGACAGTTTATCGAATCGGATTACTTCTAATTTGAGTATACCGATGACTAGAAAAAATTAAAAAAAAATTAACAAGAAATTGAAGATTAAATCTAACAGAAAAAATTAGCCTCTCACACAACATACAATAATTAAAATTTGAATAAAGAGGTGTCACATTTAGGACCTCAAACAAAATTGTCTAACAACAAAAACTGAAAAAAGAAAGGGATCAAATGCAGAAAACAGAATCGAATTCGTAGTTTATGAAGAAGAAAATTAGAGTCAGAATGAAGACGGAGAGAATACCGGCTAACCTGACCATCTCAATTTGCCTTCTGCGCACACTATCTTACTCCGTTAGTTGTTGCATATATGAAACACATTTAACCTGCATAAGTTACAGAAGAAGCTTTTCCGGGGAGAGTATAACATATATGCATCATGTTTGTGTATATGTGCACACATAAATAACTGGATATGTATATGTACGCCCTATACAAAAATAACTTGTCCTTATGACTTTGTAAATGATATTTCAATCGTAAAAAATATTTATAATATTTGAAGGGATCTGATAAAATGGAATATGATAATATTATAAAATACAAATTATATAGTAAATTGCATATTTATAAATTATGAATAGTATAGCTGGTTTAAAACTTCATGCAACGCACAATCTCATTATTTAAAAATCGTGTTTTACATTATCGTCAACAGTATTCGACATAACAAATATTGTCAAATAAAGCTACTCCATTAATAAAATGCATTCTTTTATTAAAAAAATATTGTCAAAAAAACAGGTAAAATAAATATTAAAAATATTACATATTGATATTACGTTTTAATATGTTATTATGAGTATTAAATATAAAAATAATCGTTATGCTATTTGAAAAAAGAATTGGAAAAAATCATTCATTAAAAAATTTGCTAGTGAAAAAGGAACTGATAAATTTTTATATATAGAAAATATTAGTTTTGTGCTTACAGAGTAATGGTATTTTGATTTAGACTTTAAGTCCTTCTCACTAGTAAAATTTTAATAAAAAGTTTCTCTCGGTTTTTCTTTTGAAAAAAATGTCTGTTAAATTTCAAAATTCTAAATCAGTATTGGTTGTTACACTAGTAAAAAAAATAACTACACTTGAAAAGCAAATGACAACACATTTTGTAATAATTCTTGTTTGGAATTTTGAAATTCAACTACTCTTCCGGTTCTAAATATAAGATCTTTTTTTATAGTGTTTCAGTACTAACATTAAAAAAAAACAAGAGAAAAAATGTTAAAAAAATAATACTTCCCCGATCTTAAATATAATATTTGTTTTTTGTAGTGTGTATACTACAAAAAGCGGAGAGACGTCCCGGGAGGATGTTGTTTTGGGGGCGGTGGTTGAATTTCGGAAGAGCGGAATTTGGGTGGATGGAGAGAAAAAAGTGAATAATTAATTGGTGGGAGTGATGGTGAAAGATGGAGATGTATTGGGATTTGATTAGTGGTGTTGTTTGTTTCGACTCCACCCCACACTGCAAGTGGAGCAGCCGACACTCTACTTGTTTCTCCTCCTTTTTTCCACTTGCTTCTAGAATTAATGGGTAATTGTGAATTGTTAAGAGCAAATTTCAATCATACTGTTTTTTTAATATAAAATCTAATTAACTAGTTTAAATAAATTAAAAATATTAGCTAAATTAGTTATTCTTCTGATCCTATTTGTACATTACTTCTAACATGTTTGACACAGACAAAAAAAAACTTAAATTTCATTAACTCTCATTTAAAATTTAATAACTTTTTAGTTTTATCTCTGTTTAATATACATCATACCCCACATAAACAAAATCAATACAAGAGTAAATGAAAAGTAAAAATTATACATCCATACAAAAAATTTCTCTTAATATTCTATAAATAGGACTAAAAAATATCTCGTCTCTGCTGTGTAAATAGAACCAGAGGAGTAATATAATATGTTTTTTCTAAAACACTTTAATCATTTTCCTTTATTCCTTCTCTTTCTCTCCTACTTGATCATTGTTAAGGGAATATCAATAAGATTAAATTAGAAAAAAATAATAAACATGTGAAATAGATTTTATATATAAGACCAGCATTAAATCTTGAATTAGGCTGTATGGAGGAGTATTAATTTATATTCTTAAAATGATCAAATTCAATTCAACACTCCGCAGTGGCACTAATCTCTCCACTAAGCGGATTAGTGGAGTGGAAAGATGAGAAGTCACTTTTTCTTACCATCTTCATTTTACCTTCAATTTGTCATTTATGGCGGCGACATTCTTTTCCTGTTGTGCTGCCTAATGAATTATGAGATAATGATGTCTTATTATTTTCTGAATTTGTTAGTAGCATTAGGTAATTGATCTAACTCCAACTAGGGAAATAATGTCATGTCAGTAACGTGGATAAGCCACTGCTTTGGCATGTGAATGCACCTTTAAGTTAGAATTTGGGGTCTGTTAATCTACGCGCCCACTCCTGATTTTGTCTTGGTGGCATTTTTTTTCTTTCCTTTAACCATTTTCTCGCTGGTCGTTTATCTTCCGCTTTCAAGTTTCAGTTCAAGCAATAATTTTGCCTCTGCGTCAAATCCACGTTTTAAAAGACATTCAGGTAGAAATCAAATTATGATGTTAAAAGTAATTTTACAGTATATAAAATAAATATATAAAACAATTTGCCTTAATTTGTAAAAAAATAATTTTTAAAAACACTTTTAGAATAACTCTTTTGGATTCCCTCGACAGTGCAACTTCAGGTCTACGTAAAAGATATTTATGCTCTTCTCGCACAATTTTATATTTTAATACTACTTTCAGTTCTTATACAAGATTTGGAGAACTCATTTTTAGATATGAAAAAATTATTTGAGTTTGTTATTTATAATATATAGGTGTTGTTTTTTTTCCCCTAAAATATTCTTATTAATCATATGCATTAGAATAGAAACCTTTTAATATGTGCAATCATTATGAAAACTATTTTGGAAATAAATAAATAAATATAAGAGACAAAATAGATTTAGGTCTTATATTTAGAATCAGATTAAATCTCCAACTAGTTATTATATTTAGAATCGAGGTAGTAGGCTCATCAACAAATATGCTTTGATATGATAATGCATTTGCTCAGTTATACAAGTATAAAGATTGTTACTATTGTTTTTTGGCCAATTAGGTTGTTCCGCGTGATTAGTTGGTATTAATATCTCGTCTAAGCTAATATTAATCAGACGCATGTTAGGATGTACTCCGCGTACTAAGGTCCTGTTTGAATTTTGTTCGATAAATTTATTAGTATTTTCCTTCCAGGTGAGTGAAGGAGGTCCGCTTCATTCACAGCCAGATTCACAATTAGCCGTGTGAGTGAAGTGAATAGTAGTTGGTGTTAATAATAGCTGGAGGTAGTTAGGAAATTTGTATTGCTCCTGTTACCACGATGCTAGGCTTACCCGCCTTAAAATATAAGAACTAAATAACTAATTTATAAATATTAAAAAGATAAGTTAAATTAATTATTTATAATAAATATGTTTTAGTTTTTCTGAAACGTTCCGTTTGATTATTATCTATTGACTACTTATTGATGGAAAAAAATTTTGATCCATGCAATCAATAAGGATAAACTTAAGTAAGAAATTATATAAATGTGATTATTGTCTATTTAGGATTCAAGAGGGATAGAGAGAGTAGTTTTTTGGTCAGTTGGGGGCGACAACACCATATTAGTCAGATAATGAAAGTGTGACTGCATTGAGGTACTATTTGGTATGAAACATTAAAAATAAGAGATAGGGATTGAAATTGAGATTGAAAAAATAGTGTTTAGCATGAGAGATTACTTGTTCTATGGAATTAGACAAACCCATGTATGTAGGATTGAGGAATATTATGGGGGAAAGTGGTATTTTCCAATCCGATTTCTATAGGTTTGTCTAATCCCATATAACAAGCAATTACTCATATTAAAGACTTTTTTATTTTTATTTTTAATTGCAATCCTAATCTCTATCCTTCATTTTCAATGCTTTGCACCATACGGGACCTAAATAGCTAGAGTTATACTTCCATTATAGTCAAAGATTCCTCATCCGTTTTTCTCAGCTATTTAATAAACATATGGAAGTGTGATTCACGCAACTTTGTTGTTCTCATGTTATCACAGTAAATCTTGAACTCGCGGCATTGTAATTGGAATGCCAAAGATCATCTTAATACTCACATTCGATTTGTGGTGGTATATATATGAATCGGTCGTCGGGTAAGTGGGTCGGACCTCATCCACAGCCCTAGTGGCCTGGACTTGGCCATGAAGCTTCATTACTTTAAAGCGGTGTGTTTCTTTAACATTCGAGGGGTTAGAGATGAAGGAACTGTCAGTGGTTTTGGTGCTTCCACGGCCAAAAGGTTCTGTCCAGCAATGGATGTGAAGGGAGTTTCGTGATCATCACATCACCTGAGGTTCAACTGGGAAACCCCTGGTCTGAGCTGCAAAACAATGGCCATGTTGCTTTGAGGCTGATTTCAAATCAGAGTTTAAGTAGTATGCATGTGTTGTGAAAGTTAGGACCGCAAGGAAAGAGTTCGTCTTTTGTACTTGTCTATGATTATTGAAGTGCAGAATACTTTATTCTTCTAGAATATACAAAACTGATTCATTTAACCCTTCATGCTCTTCATATTTTCCTGAATGGCTCCAAATAATGAGGAATGAATAAGTTGAACTTTCCCTTCTTCTCACTCTAAACACGAGATTGTCATGTAATTATAGTTCTCCACCGTATAGGGTGTGCTAGCTAGTGCTTTAAGTGGTAAATACATAATACATTGCAGAGAACTTGTTTATCCATCCAATGAATTGTACAGAATCACCTTAAAAGATGCTTACAAAGGTCGTACAATGTCAAGTCGCAAAATATTAGTCATGGAAGTTAACTTGCTGTGACTATCCCTCTTCTCACGTTAGCACATGACCATCCGTCCGTATAAACTCATGCATTCTCATTGAGAGGAAGTGATGGCTCAGGAACAGATGGATCTTGGATACTTCCAGAATCCGATGGTTGAGATTCATGCTTTGCAGCCGCCTGCAAAACTCGGTTCTGAACATCTAGTGATGAAGGCGAAGTAGGCAACCCTATGCGGTTCGTTTCTACTTTTCCAGAAATCCATGAAACCGCTTGAACTCCCAGCCTCACAGGTGTAAGCAACAACCTTTTGAAAAACAAAGCAACATAATAAGCTCAGTCTTCATCAGTTAAAAGCTCGTAATTTCAGAATCCATTATTTGTCTGTTTTCCAATAAAATTCATCATTTTCCATCTTTTGGACGCCTCAAATCATGAATTTTATGTCTATACAATGCAAAATTAGGTTAAGACAATTCAGGGCTGACCTCGCCCATCAAAAATCCAGAGTCTCATGTAACAATCTCTAGTTATCCAGATATAAAATTTAATTTATAGACAACAGATTCATAACATAAGAATTGGAAAGCTCGTGACAGATGTTTTATGACTGCACATATGACCAACCATGCATTATGAGGTATACTAACCTGACATCTTGCTTAAGATCTTCAGAATCTTCATATGAGGTCACTCTCTGATAGATTGTCTGGTGAATATACAGCGAATGTTTATGAGGAATCGAGAAGAACATAAAGGCGGAAATCATAATTGAACAACATAAGGTCAGCAAAAATGCTATTTCTAACCAGCTCATTTTACTTGCTCCTAAAGGTTTCATTATGATCACACATAACAAAACTGCATCGAAAGAATTTAAACGAAGGTGTTGCAGAAAGAATAATGCATACCAGGCTGAGGCCAAAAACACCAATTAACTGTAATGTCTTCTCCCACTCTGTGACCAAAGAGATCATACTTTGTCATGTCAGAGCATTTTAAGTAGCTTAATCTCAATTCGAGATGATGAACAATATCATAGATGAGACATAAGATTTTGATATAAGAAGAATCACAATTTTTCCTCTTTTCTTTCAAATTAATTTTTCTGCTCCAACGATGCCTTGCAAACTAGGGTACTTTGCAACAAGATATTTTAGCCTTACAAGAAATGAGGGGAAAAAAATGTATGATGAACAAATTTTATGATAGCACATGTAGGATATTGTGATTCTTAAGGCAGTGGCGGGCGCAAGCTCCATATTAGATGCCTTTACTTGAATATAGTAGCTAGTCAGATCGCATTCGATTAGCAGATAGTTGTAATGGATGGACTTCATGATAATATGAATTGGGACTATGAGGTAGTGACGATGGGGCCAGAACTTTGATTTCTGATGCCATCCCCAGACCCCTCAAAGTATTAGGATTTCAATGGACCCTTGATTAGAAGAATATTTTGAGCAGATTTTAGTTGTAATCCTAAGGATCACCATTTTCCAATACTCAACAAATTGATAGTCTTGAGGGAGAAAAGTTACACACCTAATAATGCGTACAAGCCTGCAATAACAGCCTGAATCAAGAGCAGTCGTATTCAGTAGCTAGTAACAAATAACATAGCATGCAACACAATAGCTTCAAAATCAAATTGAAGAATTCTACATGGTAACGAAAAAACTGCCGAAATATTTACTAAAGATGGTAGTTGATAATCTGTTAAAATTCCATTGATTATATATTAAAGAAACTCAAAGCTAACTTCCGAAACTGGTAGAGCAAACAAAAATAAATGACATAATCAACTATAACAGCCAAATTCTTTTTTCATTTGAGTTGTTTGTTGTATTGGAAAAACACAGGTTACCCTGCAAAAAAATTTGGCTCAACTTCATTATTATGAAAAGGAAAATAAAATGACCACAATTAGTCATCCTTATTATGGTAACTTTAAATACTCAAAATCCAACCAAAGTGGCACATAACTGTTTACAAAACTAAAAGATTTGTTACAGGTAACTTTACACTTAGTCACTTACCACACCATATCCTAAAAGTTGCAAAGGAGAAGGGCTAAGTTCCTCTAGAATTGCTTCAGCTTCCTGTAAATCAATTATAATTGCTTAAATGTAAACTCCAAGAAAATGTAAATTGTTACCAAATGAAGCAAGCTTAACAATATGTTTATCTTAAAAATAAAATTATTTATTTACACACATATGTACCCAACCCTATAGAAGTTTCATCCCATTGTTTTTGATAACGTAGATAACTGAATTTGGTATAACTGAAGAACATAGATAAAGCAACAGTTTGAGTAATACCTCATTGAGTAAGGTAAGCGTTGACTCAGGTTTGAGTTCCTTGACGCGGAGGCCTTGTTTCACCCAAGACTGAAAACCACCTTGAACCAAGTATGGAGTCTGTAATATCATGCAGAGTTATTATATCATACCCCAAGATTTGGATTGATTAGATTTCACAGGTTAAGATTAAGTAATTGAACATTTTGTTCATTAGGTCAATCAAGGGTTATAATCTACAGCTAAGAAAGCACTGTTAGCACTAAGTCATTGTCAGCTTGAGCATTGTCAATAAGATCTCCCAAATAACTATCTATTAATTTTGCAGTCTGAGTTAGCCCTATTTTCACCAAAAAAATAAAGTAATTAATAGCAATATATATGCATGACAAAGTTGCTGCTGAGGAGGAAATCAACGCAACAAATACTATCAAGACTTTGAACCATAACTTGGAGTAGAAATGGTACATTCATCAGGAAATTGCAATTAGCAGCAAGCTGACAAGCACATAAAAAAGCTTGTACAATCCCAATCCCCTAGATTACCGAAATTCATGAGCGTGCCAGCTTACTCATACTAATTAACTAAGGTAGTAGAGTATATAATTATCGTCCCAATTTTTCCTTCTACCCTAAACTCAGATCATCAAGATTTCATCTTACATCCACATCAACAACTTGTGTTGTATAATCCCAATCCTCTTCAATCAGCTACAATACTTTTCCCCAGGCCAGTTATCTTCAACCCTTGCCTTCAAAGACAGATTTTAATTTCAATGAACTCTTTTACCCAGGCCCTAATATCATAACACAAAGGAGGGTTTAACAAGGATAAAAAGAATGTCTTGTCATCTTCATCACAAGGGAACCCATATTAAAATTTTCTCAGAACTATCTCAGAAGGCAAAGTTAGACTTGCCTTGACCCCTATTTTCCTCAAGGATCTTGCAATGCCTTTAGAATGACTACCATCAGCATCCATGACTATAACCTTGGAACTGTCCTACAGGTAAGAGAAAACAACATTCTTAGATACCATTCCACACGTCAAATCCCAGTCACATATGATGAGTAAACAGATAGAAACTTCAGAGACATTAGTCTACATACCTTTACAATCTTCAAATTTTGAATAACAACAGCGATCATGGAGTCATTAAGGTCTCTTTCACTCTTGAACAACTTCCTAGTAGAACTATCGACCTGAAGATAAGATAATATGTCCATTTAGTAGTTAGTAGACAAATATCACTAATCCCAGATCACTAATACATCTAGATCCATAAAGCACGGGCTAGTGTTCTGGATTTGTTTAACGATTCAATTTAACAAAAACAACACCATGTGACAATCATCTCTGCCACCTACTTTTAACAATATAGTGATGAAAACTAACCTCTAGTGGAGTTACACTCGCATAGCGAAACCGTGCTGCCCGTCGAAGATCAGGAATGCCATCTTTTTCTCTCAGATCCTGCAGAATGGAAATGACCAGAAAAAAACAATAAGACATTAAATCAATTATGATATCAAATAAAAAAATTGGTCAAAACCTAAACAAACACAACAGAAAGCTTCCTTTATAAAAAGGACCATGATTTGAATTTGTAAAGAGATTTATTGAAGAGGTAGAATGGGCATCAGGAGACAAGGGTGACTTGACTTTTCTTTCATATATTTTAAAACTTTTCCAGAATCCATAGATTATCAAGCAAGAAAATTAAACATCACTTGCCTCATTTCGAATGTCTATAAGTGCAGCATTTTCATTCCCAGACAAGAGATCCAAAGCTGATTTAGGAGATAAATCTCCAGAGTAACCTCCATATGCCCACAACCGATAGACAGCCCTGCACATATCTGACAATTGTTTTAGATAGCCCTCTTCATTGATATCTAATTCTCCTATATAGACAAGCAAAAAATTGAACTTTGGGAAAATACACATTCATACCATATTGTGGCTGAAGATCCCACAAAAACAACAAATGGAACAACTGGATCATCTGGATCCAAGCCAAGACTCTTCTCCAATGAATGAATTGTTGTGAATATCTGCTGATGGGACATAAATCATTATCCTATAATAGAGAGAATGCTGCAATAATTCTAACAAATTAGTCTAGTTTGTGAAATCAGACAGTGCATATTTGGAAGATGGAATATGGGAGATTTCCACTGCAAGTCACAACAAAGAAATTTGCCAAGGCAGAGGAGGTGAGTGACCAGCTAGGAATCATAGTATTAATTTGATAATTCATATATCTAGGTTCAAACAACCATTAACCACACATCAAAGAGGCCAGTTAAGCTAAGGCTTAGGATCAGGGAAGGCTTAAGAGTAGGCAACCCTAATAAAAACTTTATAAAGCCACCAAATGTTACCTCTTGAGATGCAGACCCAATTGGCCTCAATATTTGAGAAGCTTTAGATTCGTATGCATTTACTGCATCCCTGATTCCTACAGGAAGAAGCTCCTTGGCTGAACCATATAGGTAGACAACATAGGAAGCCCCATTTATTAACGAACTCTCCACTACTATGATTGTGCTTCGCAACACGTCAATAGCAAAAGCAGGTACTTTGCTTGTGATTCCACTTAGATCACTTGAAAAGCTACTCAATTTCTTATTAGTTAATTCTCCTGTTTGATTGACAGAAGAAAAGGCTTCACCAAAAGCATTGTCTACAGACTTAGTAGCATTCTCCATGATAGATCTCATCAAAGAAGTGCCCGTATCAAGTGAACTTTGTAAAGCATTTTGTCCCTCATCAATTGATGCATTAAATGACTTGCTAATTCCAGAAAAAATATCACCAATACTTGCTTTTGTGCTGCCTAATGATTCATTGTCCACTATAATTGATTCAGGCATAGGTATGAGCTTCTCTGACACAATGTCAGTACTTAATAAAGTTTCTGATCCTTCAGTTGACTGTTCAGTTATTTCCATCAATCTCTCTTGGACGGATGATGAATCATAATTTTCAACATATATAAGCTCTCCACTAGTCAGAGAATGGTGTCCACTTGCAGTCACTGGTGAATAATTCCATGTGTTCGTAAATTTGCACTCAAGTTGTCCTGATTCATTTGGACAGGAAAATCTGCCAGGGAACTCCACATACACCGATTGTTCGGCACTATTAGCAATGCTAGAGTAGATAGACTTTGTAGCTTGTGCAATATATGGATTCCTCAGGGAGTGGGTTCCATTTTGCAAACCCAGATGTACATCATCCACAGTGCATCGACCTTCAAAATCCTTCTGCAATGGACACACAGATCCCCCATACAATGGAATCTGCAAGATTCATTGTTACAAGGTGAATACCACTGCTCATTGGCCTGAGAAAATGATACTCACAGATCTCAATTTCACAGGTAACACCAAACTGTCAGATTGTTCTCTTTTTCATTCAACAATACATTTCCAAGCACACCGATAAAGAATATAAAGCATTTCTTGTTTTCTACTTTATAGGTTCAATGATCCTGAACTGATTTCACAACAAAGGGACTGCACTCCAATGAGAATACAATCCTCCCAAGCCTTTCTCTTTCTTTAACTTTTCCAACTAGTAGTTGTTACAAGTCATATCTTGAATATTGATATTGTTTTACTATAGGATAGTGTTTGAGCCATTTAGGCATTGATATCGAATTCTTTCATCTCATTTGTTAAGGAACCTGCATGTGAAATCAATCACCTTGTAGAAAGAAAGCATCAGAATCTTACGATTAAAGGAATTAAATTTCACCTGGGAAGACAATGAATAGCTTGGGGTGGCTGAGCAAACAGGCAACATTCTCATATTGACGAATGATAAAGCCCCAAGGACATATCAAGCCACTAATTTCTTCTGTTGAAAATAACACAGGCCTACAAGGATAAACCGGGGAGATAATAAACCATAAAGCAAACAAATGGAGGCCGAATTGAAGTGATTCGAAGACAAAAGAACCAAACAAATTGAAACTTCAAATTTGACTTAAAACGGACTGGTACACTTTAAAGTTAAGTTCTTTTCTGCTTATCTCCGTTTTACAGACAAAAATAAGCAGAATGCATGTCACTCTAAAATCTCACGAGCCATATAACAAGTCTAACATATCAATTGTTTCTGATTTAAACGCTCTAAAATTTCATTTTCATTTCAAATGCAGCTGGAAGTGATTGCCCACAAGCCCATTTTATCTAAGATCATTTCTGTGCAAGTTTTTGTCATCAAAAGATTAAAACCCGATACTGATGTTAATGATGGTTCTCAATCAAAGTAAAGATGCATCGATCTCCAATTCAAATTTCGGAGATTAAAATGAAAAAAGAAAGAACTGACCTTGACTGTTACAATCACCCAGCTCTCTCTCCCCCTCGCCCGATCTTCCTCCTCCTCTCTTCTCTTGCGAGCGAGAACAATATTCTTTGTTTTGTTATTTATTTATTTTTTATGATTTTTTTTTTTTGTGCGCAATAATTTGGAAGGTTATCCAAGCGAAACAGAGGCTATGGTGGAACAAGCCTAACTGATCCCAATTCTCATTCTGGTTTTGTCCTTATCCCCCAAATATCACTTTATATAAACCGCAGCCGCATAAATAAAAGAAACTCTCCTTCACCACTATTTTTTTAAGTTCATTTGGATCTATGTGCTCGTTGGCTCTTCGCACTGTACTTCACCCTTTTTTTTTCCCGTCATATTCGTAAATACCGACAATCTACTTAAATTAAACGCTTATCTATCGTACATGAACTCATCTTCGTTGTTTTCAGGCCAAAAAACTCACCTTCTGGGGCAAGAAAAATCTTCTATGAGAATCAAGTACTACTTTTTATAAGAATTAAAATTATAAACGTAGTAGTAGTATTTAAACCTTTTTGTTCACCTAATGTGGTTGACTCCTTTGACGTCTGGTCTTTACATACACCCACATAGTATTTGCGTGGAGAACAGGGGCGTACAGAGAACGAATTTGATTTTCAGTTTATATAATGCAATAATTCTTGAAAAATATTTTTGCAAACGTAGGTATAATTCCCTCTGAAAAATAAGTTTATAACTTAGTTTAATTTCTTAAAAAGTACCACCAAAATATTTTACAATTAACTTGTTTTAAAAAAATGCATAGTTAAGATAGCTGAAGATGTATGCTTAGTAGCTTAGTATTTTAGAAGATGTGTTTAAAAAGGTGTATGCTCCGAAGACAGAATAAACGTGTACCTAATAATTTTATATCGGTGAAATTGATCAAGAGAAATATACTCATTTAGTCTTTAATATAAGACCTAATTAACTAATTTCAGTAGATTAAAGGTATCTGTTAAATTAGTTAATATGATATGTATTTTCTAAAACACTATGAGCATCTTCCTTAATTCTGTCTTCCTCTCTTACTTGATTATTGTTAAAGAATATCAATAGGGTTAGTTTAAAAAAAATTGATAACTATAAAATAAGTTTGCATATATGACCAATATTAACTCCTCAATTAGGTCATATATTAAGAACCGGAGAAGTATAATTTATTCTAACAAATTATCATCTGGCTCATGGAAAAAATTGGACCACAAAATTATAATCCTGCGATGAATTATGATTAGTTTGTTTTGAGACGTGTAACAATGGTTTTTTTTTCCCATGCCAGGATGAATACAAATGTGTGTGTGGTATATTTGCTGAATGCAAGTTAATTACCCATATTCTTAACTAAAATAATTACGAGACGATGCTAAACATATAAATATTTATTCAAAAAATCCGTAAAGATTACAAATGAACCACATCTAACATCTCAGATTTTCTTAATCAACTGGGAAAAATGAAGAGTCATAAATTATCATTAAAATTACCTCTCATCCTAATTATAACACCTCATTTATAAATAACCGGGGAGATAGTAATATATCTGAACTAGTTGTTAAAGATATCATGAATTTGCAGCAACCCAACCACTTTACAAGTCTGAAAGTTCAGCAGTTCTGCAAATACACCCTCCAATTTTTCTATGAAAAATAAATCAAGAGTGTAATCTTTGGCCGTAATTATAAAGGAATAATTTACTTTTATTTGAAGCATTTCTTACAATGTTTTACTTATATCCCCATTAAGCAGGAGAGAAATATTCTGTCGACTTTAATCAGTTTCTTTGAGGGTATGGCACGCGGGAAGAAATTTAAGTTCAAGTTTCAAACTAAATTAACCTTATTCTTTCCTTACTACTGAAAAGGAAGCATCTTCTGGGCACTTACTTTAATTTCCAAAATCTGATGCGCAAGCCTTCGAAATATCATAGTAATATTAATCACGCCATTAATTAACAACGCCTGCAAGTGTCTCTTTGGAGATTACACGAATTTGAGTTGGTTGGATTCAGGTCTCTTATAGACAGACATTTGTACGTGAAGCTTTATAAAGCAAAAAATAAGAGTATACAAATCCTCACTCATATATAATTAAAAACAAAATCTAAATCCAAATAACTAATATTAATTATTGAAATGACGCTCATATAGTACAAAATCATTTCCGGACCGACGTATATATAAATTAAACAGGAGCAATTGGACGACTTAGTCAATTATCATAGATGCATCCAAAAAATGAATTAATTAAGGGTTGGCATTGTAATTAATTATCAAACCAACCACCATAAAATAGATCATGGAGGGGATTTGTCACCTACAATTAAATTAAACTAACAATTAAGTTCATAAATCATTTGTCCCATGCATGCATGGTCCTCTACACTTCTTTGTCATAACAAGCCACATCACATCCTTTTGACCCAAAACCACAAACGCGTAATCCCATAGTCGATCATCACCAAGTCTCTGATGCGTTTATCATATCATGGTCCTCCATTCTAAATAAGTTACAACAAGTGCTTCGTCTTCATCATCTCAAGTTGCCTTTTCAAGCAATAAAGTAGCTAGTGATTGTGATTAAGCCGTCATTAATTAATAATTGATTTCACTTACCTGATGTATCTAATCACATTTCATTTTCTTGCTGTATATATAAATCCCATCCCATCTGTTCTGTTCTTATTTATGTGATGTTATCCTTCAGGCCTTTCAACTCATATGCATCGGCCACGCCTCCTTTAAAACCAGACACAAGGGTTTGGTATCCGTCCTTTTTTACTGCTGCTAACTATATATATGCTTGTATTTAAATGTTCAATGTTATGTGTAACCAACTTCCCTTCCTGCATTTGAACGAACGGATGAATCAACACATATTTTACTTGGTTCCCAATTTATTTATCTATTTATTGTCATTATCAATAACATAAAATATTAAATGTTGTTAGATACCACATTTCATTAAAACTATAAGGAGATGCGTGGTTAAGTCATTAAAATTGTTTGAAAATGAAAATTTTTTAAACTCAGCATCATTCAAAATCATGAATTACATCTTGAAAGGTTGAAAAGAAAAACCACGTACATCAAACTTTAAATAGGGGTAATCTTGAACAAATATAATTAATACCATATATATGTGTGTGATGATTTATAATAACCACTACTCATTTCTTGTTGAGTAATACATTACTTAATCTAACGTTTATTTATAGGATTTTTTTGATTACATCATGTGTTTAAATCTTTTATTATTTTTCACCAACAGGCTTGGTGTGTGTGTGTGTGTGTTATTGTCCCTTTTTGGAAAAAAGGAAAACGTATCCCACAAAAGGAATTAGAGAACAAGAGAAAAACACGATCTGCAAGCTAATTAAGGTATGCACACTACACACGCGTGAAAAAAACTTTATTGTTGTTGTTGTTGTTGAGAATAGGAAAACAAGTTATTCAATACTCATCATTAAGCACAAGTACATGCTAGTACTAAAACAACAACTCTTTTGATAGCGCAAATAAGCACTTACAAAGCAACAACAGGCACACTGATACTACTTAGACACGCAGATGAACTCAGCGTCAGAGCAAAAGACCGTTGTTTTTGAGTTCAGACTTGAGCTTTCCCAGTTCATCCTCCGGCAATATGATCGTCACAAACCTACCTTCACTACCATTCCTCACTGAACCTTTTGGCCATGGAAGCACCAAAACAACCCCTTCATCTCCAACACCTTGAATGCTGCAGTATACAAATTCTGGTTTATGTTCATTCAATTCCAATCCGTACACGTCGACCTCTTCCAAGTCCACAAATGTCAGGTTTGCCCCGTACACGAAGAAATCACTCACCCCATCATCCTTATCTACTGCTTCCTCAATCTCTTTCCTCTCATCCACTCCTTCATCGGCCAGCATCGTCGCCAGCCTCTTCAAATCTGAGTCAACTATTGAATATTCAGCTTCAACCTTGCTTATGATCTGCTTGTTGCCTAGTACGTCGTGGTTGTTGCGAGATGGATCTTTTCTGCATACTGTCACTTTATTTGGTTCGGATCCAGATCCGGGTCCTCGTCTGACCTCCGCGATGGACCGCCAAATCACGGCACACAGAGATTCAAAAGGAGGGGTTTGGTCAATAGTAGGACCCCAGATCTGTGCTTGAAGGTAATTCATCTGAGAGCTTGTTAGGTGGAAGGAGAATGTGTCCATTTTGCGGTTGTTGGCGGGTATCCAGTGGTCTCCCACCGGGTCAACCCGTTTTAAGGTGATTGGATCCGGTCCGGATGGTGACTGGGGGTGGGGTTCTGGGGCTGCTGTTGGGATTGGTCGCGGAATGTTGATGGGCTTCAGGCCCAAACCCGCCATGGCAAGGCCCCATCTGTTCATGAAGTCAGCAGCCGAATCAGGATCCCCCAGTACATGGGCCCAACTTAAGCCCAATGACATCCCTCCGCACTTGAAATGAGTCACCTATAGAAGAAATTTGAGCACACAAAATGATAAAAATCAATGGTTAGGTACAATCTTTTACGTGATGAATTTATTATAAATTTATAATGAGTAATTTTCTTAAAAAATATTTTTTTTGGCCTGAATTTTCTTAAAAAATAATTAAATAAAAAGCTGAGTTATAAATTTAAAATATGCAAAATTGTGCGCGAGTGAGAGCGACTGCCATGAGGTGGGGCTTCTTTTTCGAGGACAGTAAAATAATAAATGAATGAAAGGCACATTCATCATGGCTTAAAGAAGACGACCTTATCTAGGTATCATAATGGGTAATTAAGGAAACATATGGGGCACCATACCATATATGGTCAGATTATCAATGATAAAATAATATTAAACGATGTAATTATGTCATGTTTAACCCGTGATCATGTTAAAATGAAGTCTGGCATGCGTAAGATTATGCATTATCTATCATAGATTGTACGTACTACGCTAGTAGAAAATAAACGATACATGTACTTTTGCTGGAGTTGTACGTACTAGTCATGGCAAAGTATAAATAAGGAAAAACCAATCCAATTTTTAAGGATGCCAACCAATAAAAGTGTACAAGCTTCATATATACATAAATAGAGTTAGGAGATAATGTCTGTCTAATAAAGCACGACTCTTAAATATTCATGCACTGGCCCACGAGGACACTTGTGCGTGTGTGCATTAAAGGCGCGTAACTCGACTTAATTAATCATTTCAAGGTCAGATTAAATGACAACCCCCCAAAAAAAGTCGGTTTACTACTACGTTTTTTTTTCCCAAATAAGAAAAGGCGTAATAAGCGCCCACGCACATGCTATAGTAGTGTGACGAAAACGAAGGCACGCAGGATGAAAATTTAGCTGGGAGAATCAAACATCCAAGATCTTAATTAATTACGAGAAAAATTAATTTTGACCCCCGCGTCAATAATAATTGAACAGGAACAAAATCTAAAACAAGTACAGGTTAGTATAAGTTTTAAAGTTACAGGTTATCATTTTGTAGGATCCACATCCATTGATCTAGCAATAGTATTTAGTTACTACCACCTCGTCTTATCTATAAGACCTCATAAATTATAAACGAAATCTTATAATTAGGATCAAAAGTAGTATGTTGATTGATATTACCAAACAGTCATAACTAATGAATTACTTTTCTTATTCTAATCTTAAATATAAGACCCTTATACAGTGTGTATAAGGATTTTATGTTTACGATCGGAAGAGTAATTAAGTTGAAGGGATAATAATCCACATACATACTACTTACCTGCAATAAAACGGGAGGGGAGAAGGATAACTCAGGACCAATAACTTGGTGAGAAACGAGGAGCTTGTGCAAAGGCCAATCCTTCATGTGGAGCCACTCGTCTAGGGTTTTCTTGCACTTACCCTCGATGAACCTGGCTCCGCAGTCGTTGCACTTGATGTACGGCCGGCCGGACTCCGACCGCCGGAACCTCCCGCAGGTGATGAAGTAGTGGTTGAACCAGCTGAACATGGTCTCTTTGATCTTCATGATGCTCAGCCCTCGCACGGCCTCGCTGTTAAAGAAGTAGATCACTCTGAGGTAGTGAAGCTTCATGGCCAGGTCCAGGCCTGTAGGGCTGTGGAAGACATCGGTGCCGGAGGAGCGAGCGGGGCCGACGGAGGAGAGCTCGATATCACAGACCAAGCTCTCTTCTTCCTGAGGGAACACCATGGCCGGGAGGGAACAAGGAAGAAAAAGGAGTCAGGAATATACGATGAAGAAGATAGATATCACTAGGAGTTACGAGGGGGCGCAGTGAGAAATATACCTATATAGCAGAAAGTGAGAGTTAAGAAGGAGAATTAGGCTCTTTTTAATTAATGGGACGTCACTATGCGTAGGCTCGCTATTGGTTCGTACAAATGAAACTGTTAGTGATCACGCTAGCCTTAAATATTGAGTTCCTCCATCGTTCTCGTCTCTCTAGCTTGCGGTAATACTCTTGTTATTAATATAGAACTTAATTATTAAATTAATTTTAGTTTTAAATATAAGGTTTATTTTTTATGTTTATCAATTTTCTCTAAATTAATCTTATAAATTTTTTCTCAATCATAATCAAATTGAAGAAGGAGAAAGGTATTAAGAAAGATGATTATGGTGTTTTAGGAAAAACATGTCATCTTTTTTATAATTAACTAACTTACCTAACTTTCTTAATCTAATCAAATTAGTTAAATAAGTCTTATATTAAGGATAAGAAGAGTATCTAATCATTTCACTTCATTACCGCCCCGCCCCGGATTTCTTGTTTCTGACAGTTTTTGGGGGGAAAAATTGTACATAATACATATCCTATTTTTATTAATATAAAAAAATAATATTAAAATTTGCAAAAACAGCACTCATCTGCCTCCATTTATAAGATAGACTTTGCTACTTTGTCTTCTCTAAATCATATTATTATTTTCATTTTCACATAATTAGCGAGATCATTCTTGTGTGGGTATATACCTGTACTTTTTGAGATACAAAGTATACGTTAAATAGAGATAAAATTAAATTTATCAAATTTTAAGATATAATTAATGAGATTTAAAATTTTTTTAATTTCAATGTATAATACGTGATGAAAATGTCTTATATGGAGAATAAGGGAGTTGTATATAAAACGCAGACCATCCAACACTACTGGTACTATTATACTATGATGCTAGCAGTTTTTTTAGCGGGGAAGGGTGGTTTCCAATGGAGTTATGTATGAAATTGTAATAAATACTACCTCCGATATTTAATATAGGACTTTGTTTGACTTTGGTATTAAATATAAGATCTAAATCCACTTTGTCTCTAATATTTATGTATTTTTTTTCAAAATAGTCTTTCTAATAATGATAGTTCTAATCAACACACTTGATTAGCAAGAATATTTTAGGAAAAACAAAACCTATTTATGACAAATAACTAGTTTAACTTCTTTTCTTAATCTCCTCAGATTAGTTAACTAACTCTTATAATTAGGACCGGAGCTAGTATATATTTTGTGTGGATTATTGTTGGGAACATGAATGGGAACCACGAGTTATGTGATGCCACAAGATTAGTAGCTACTACTCTTCTAGTTCTTAATATAATATCTATTTAACTAATTTGATTAGATTAAAAAAGTTAGGTAAGTTAGTTAAGTTAATTTGCATATGAGATCGTAACATCATCACAAAAATAAAATGGTGGAAAGTTAGGTATGACTCTTAAACAAAAAATGATAGCATATACAGTAATGTACAATTTAGTCAACTACAATAAAATATGATAGCAACACAATTTCCTCTTTAGAAAAAAAGAGAAGAAAAGCACGGAGCAAAGCAGGGCCCTGGCTTTGAATGAGGATTCACGAGCTAACTATAGACACAGAGCCAACTTGCGTCATTAAATGAAATCCGAATATCTCAACCACCATACGCTGCGGATTAATTCCCAATAGTTATGCTATGCATTTATCCTTCCCTCCATTTCAAAATATGGGGCTCCTCTCATTCAGGCAGAGGTCTAGTTCATCCTTCACTTTTCAGCTTTTGAGCATTCTATTCATATATTTATATGTTTTCTTAAATCAATCATGAAATATAAAATTAAAATAAGCTGTGCATGTTTGTACTAGTCTCATATCATTTCTCAGGAAAAAAATAATTTTTAATTGAGAAGACTGATATTTAATTTAATTTAAGATTTATGATTAAAAAAAACCCTCGTCTGCTATATCCTCCCTCCAGTCTTGTTATTTATAACACACTTAGAGGAAGGATTCTTCTATAAGGCACCGATAGATTTAGTTGTTATAACATTTTCCTTTTACTCATATTTAATGTTAATGCAGAAAATTAAAAATATTTTCTAAAAATGTATTTAGTATGGGCAAAAGAAGAAACTTCTTTAATTTTTAGACAAGTTTGTAATGAGTTTTTAGAAAGAGAGAAAGGACGGAGAGATATGAGAATGATTTGTAAGTATAGGGAGAGAAAACTTTAATGAAAACAAAATTGAAAAATGTTGTCAATTCTATAATGCTAACTTAGAACTTGCAATGAAAAGTTTCAAAATAAAAAATATGTTTAACTGTTCACTTATTATTGAAATTTTTTAGTAATTATCTTCTTTCTTTTGAATCTAATAGTAATTTTCCCTAGAAAAAAATCTCAGCTATCAAATGCAAAAAAAAAAAAAAGAGGCATATTACCATGGTGACTGACTGGTGAGTTTAGTGGTAGTCACAGAAACCATCAATAAAATAAAATTTAGGGCTTGCTTGGATTCATGATCAATAAGCATATTCACATAAGCTGAGATATAAATTTTCTTACATATTTACTTTCTATTTCGTAAATTACAATTAAAAAACTATTTATAAGCTATTCTAAGTAATCTCTTAATAAGCTGACATTATATTTTCATTCCAACTGCTTAATTATTGGCCAGGTCCCATCCTTTGTCTTCATCCGTTTACTTCCGTGTTTTAGTTTATATGCGCATTAAAGCTTTCCTTATCTGAACAATGTGAGAATAAGTAAAAGATGGTCTACCTTGATTCCATCACGTCAAATTTCAATTCATATATATGTTTCTTTCAGACTGTCGGGAAAAAAGAGTATAGTATTTTTGTTCCATATAACATAAATAATAGAACTGGAGAAGCATAAATACCACAATAACTGTCTACCCACCTACAGCTCACCACACAGATAATAATTTATGACTTGGCATAACATCATTCTCCTAACTGCAGAACTGTCTCCGCCTTCAAGAATCGGTCTCTGCACAGTGCACGCCACTCATGGATTCAAATCATAATACATTTGCTTTCCCCATTGCATTGCAGCGATCAAGGAATTTAATTTTTATTCGTTCATTTAATCCTACATTTATTTCTTTTATGGTATGTATGCACAGCATATACAAAAAGAACGTCTCAGTTACTATAATTAGCGCGCGCGCGCGCGCGCACACACACATATAAAGGAATTGACGTTTCATGTTTGTATGTCAACCAAGCAGAGACGCAAGTCATGAATCCGACATATATAAATAAAGCTCCTACGTACGAATGTACTCCCATCATATTTATAAGGGAAAAAAAGAAGAAGTGTTTTTTTAATGATATTTATAAGTCATATCGTTAAACTTCTCATATAAATGTATGATTATGTCTTCCATTTGCTATTGTATAGAATTTATATTCATAGGACACAGTGTACATTAAATAGAAATTAAAAAAGAGTTACTGAGATTCTATAACCATGCCGGTGGCCCATCCGCGTCCCAGTTGTGTGAAGTCGGTTGAATCAGCACTGAATTATACAGCATGAATGTGAGAGTTTGTGTTCCCCAACGGCCCCTTTGAGGGGTCCCTAGTAAAGGTTTCCAAACTAATTATCTTAATCTCATTATTATAACTGATACACGCAGAGAGAAACATGTTGGAATCCCATCAGTTGTTAACTCTGTAAATATCTTCCTCCAGCCCCAAATATCAATCCGACCCTTTTAGCCGGTAGCCTCAGATATTTTCAGGTTACGGGGAGGGGGTCCTTAATTTGTAGGGTACTTGATGGACAAATAATTGACTGCGGTGGGTTCATCGATTGAGCTTTCTTTGAAGAGCACCATGAATGCAAGTGACCCATCATATGCAAAAGTAGCTGCACATGAAGATTATTTCTTAGGAAACGCTAGAGCGAGTGATCTGCTTTTCGTCATCATGGATTCTGGTTTATGGTTTAGGATTTACGTTAGCTTATATAATCATTATTTTTTATTAGTTACATTATTTCAATTATCATTATCATTTTTTACTAGTAATTATCATTAAAATTTTGGTAATGAATTTTTATCTGATTTCTAATAAAAATCAAAAATAATTTTTTTATAAGACAATTATCATTTTAAATACTCTTCAGTTTAAAATTTTAGGATCAAGGATACTGGTTTTCTTGAGGTCCCTTTTTTGGTATGTTGTTCACGGTCCAAATTTATAAAATTAATGTAGGTCTCATGCATCATAGGAAACGAGATGAATAAATCTCATTATTCATGAAACATGAATAATTATTTCACTTGTTAAACTTTTATATCGTATAAAGATATTCAAAAGGATAGACTGCCTTTTATCTTTCATATCCTGAAAAAAAGCAACTAGTTTTCCCAGCTGCAAAGGATATTTTCAAGGGAAAATGAAAAGATGTTGAAAAATATGATGATTCAAATCAGGCACCTAGGAGTTCAAAATGACAAAAAAAAGAAGTGATGTCAGATGGAGTATTTTGCAAATGTAGTTAAATAACTAAAATACCTTTATATCAAAAAGTTTATTAATAAGTTTGGTATTGACAATGACAAATATTGAATAACAAATGATAAAAAATATATTAGTAATAACAAATTATTTATTAACAAATTGTGAATTGATAATAATAAGTGTTGAACAACCAAAAACAAGAAATATACTGACAATGACAAGTTTGATAGTTTTTTTACCAAATCTAACCCAAAGACATTTTAGTTATTTAACTATATTTGTAAAATATCAGATCAAGTACTACTTTCTTTTTGGTCATTTTCAACTTTTAAGTGCTTAAATTAAAAATGAAAATTTTAGGATTCTTTTTTCTAAAATTTTTCCTATTTTCAATTAAAAACAAAAGAACAAAAGAAATATATAAGCCGTAGGCTGGTAGGCTACACATAAGGCGGGGTTGCCAGGAGCGCACACAGTGGCCTCCTCAGAGAGGGGAAATATTTTGGGCTTCGTTAACAAGGCCAGCCTCCCTCTCCCAAGCTTATAATAGAATTTAAATTTGCATAAAAGCTCGGGTTTCTCAAGAAATTTCCCGCTCCCCACAGATTTTAATGCAAAATGCTCATATGATTTTAATGAAACATCAGTATATCAGCAACTGCATCAATCCTGCTATGACTTGCTAGGTGCAAAAGAGACGACCATCCGTTTTTTCTAATCAACCTCGCTCATTTAACAGTATGGATGTGAGCAAAATGATGGGAATTAAGAATTTACAGGAAACTGAACAATGAATGAGACTACTACTTTTCCTTCTCTCGCACATATTTTTGTAAATAGGGGTTCTATGTTACAAATCAAAATTGCGGTGGGGTTGCAGAGGCCACATCTAGTTTGTTTCTCTTACATCTTCTATTAGAAAGAGCTTCTCAGCTCCGACCAAAAATAGAAAAGAAAGCAGCACAAGCTCTCAAGTCTCCCCTTCTCAGCAACCTGCAGCTGCCTTTGTGAAGCCATCTCTGTACCAAGATATCTGAAGCAAGAGCGGCACCCCGAGATCTTGGCCTGCTGGCACTGCAACATGGTACGCAACCATTCATGACAGAAGTTCCTTCGCATTCAGTATAAGATCAAGATGACGTCAAAAGTTTTCATCCCAACATTTCAAAGATCAAAGCACACGATCAATCATTACTTGCTGCCAAAGAATGAAGAAACAGAAGACTGCATCGAGAATCTTGGAATCTATTTCTAGACACAGATGCTGCTGTCCTGCCATGTGGGTTGAGTGAATGGAGAGTTCCATGTGTTGATATGATCGCCGTATCACTTGCAGCTTCAAAAACCATTCAGTATGGAATGACATACGGCAGAGCATAAACATCTGGCTCTATATGCAGAGCTTCCGCCCAAACCTGCTCTGTTCCCACAAGCTTTGAAGACTCCCCCGTTGGCCTTTTCTTTGGTAAACCTTGGCTGCCAAACAACCACTCTTGATCATCAAAGTCAGGCTGCTCGTCCATTTTCGGTACTGAATATACCTGGCTCAGGTACTTTGAATCTGGATGGGGCGGTTTTGCAGAAGTTTCTTCATTTACAGGATCAGCTGGCACAGTAGCACTGATGGGCTTGTTTAGGGAATCTGCAGATGGCCGAGCTCCAATGATGCCATTTTTCTTCTGTTCCTTGTTATCCACCTTAAAGTTGGTGGCTGCTACTGGACTATCGGAGGCATGTGGAATGGAACTTTGGCAAGGTTTCACTATCCTTCCATTCTCGGTGAATGGATGAGGGGAAGAGGATTGTCTAGGCAACTTGCTGGGCCAATTGTCACTGGCTGTTTAAAAAAACAAAAAACAAAACAAAACAAGAAGTTAATGATAGACTTGTGAGCCAATAACAAATCAGAAAGAGCACACACGACCTGGGAAAAGAATTTACCCACATTAATGAAAACACAGTTTTGGTGTGTGCACGCGTGCATGTGAAATCAAGGGAATCCCGACATTAAGTCAAAGGATTCAGTGTCTGGTATTCAGGTCAACAAAATATTACTCGAAACACTAAATGCCCTATTTGCATTCACATACAACTGGAAGAGCTCATTGAGGAGAAATGGAACGTGATTTGTCATGAAAAGCACTCACCATGCAGGATTCCATTTGATTCTATGTCCTTCCGTTTCTTGAGGTTTTCCCCACCAACAGAGTTCTCCTGGCTGTTCTTGCTAACCTGTGGGAAAGAATTTGTACTCATAGGGCCACCTTTGTTGCTCACTTTAAACATATTTTGCACTGTGTTCTTATGTTCAGTTTGCTCCTTCACTTTCTCCTTTTTTTTCTCTTTATCCCTGTCTTTGTCCTTCCCATGCCCCTTTTTCCCCTTGTCTCTATCTTTCCTTTTGTCTCCTGGTTTATCATCTTTCTTTTCCTTGCTTGTTTCTCTTGTTCCCAATGTAGCTTCCACAGCTCTGTTAAGGTTCTTCTCCAAAGATCTGGGCATTCCACCAACTCTGGAATGAAAATTTCCAGCATGATTGTGGACTGTTGCATTTTCAATAGGTCGGGCCTCAGCCCGGATTCCTTGCCCATCAATCTTCTTAACATCAATACTCTTATCCTTGATTTTTTCCTTGCCATCAAGCCAGGTACTGCTATCTTTAGGCAGCAGCTTAGGAGTCGGCTCATCCTTTTTTTGGCTATCAAAGGTAAACCTCTGAACGAACTGATTATCAGCCCTTCCATCCTCCTCCTTAATTTTCCTGCGCAACTCCTGACCCAATTGATTGCCAGCTCCACCATCCTCTTCCTTAATCCTTCTCCCCAACTCCTGAAGAAATTTTGAATCTTTATTCTCCTTGGCCAGGTGATTATTTTTCTCTCTGGCCTTCTCTCCATTGTTATCAGCAAAATGTTTGGGAAGTCTCCCCTCCAGCAAGATACCCTTCCTATCATTTTGCTTAATTTCTTTTTTGATGACTTTACCCGCATTGAGACCTTCTGTTTGTCCAGGGAATCCCTTCTCATCAGCAGTGTTGTTTTTATTTTTATCCTTTTCCTTTTCCTTGTCTCTGTCTTTCTTCTTTTCTCTGTGTTTTTCTTTTTTATCTTTCTTTTCTTTGTGCTTTCCATCCTTTCCTTCTTTCTCTCTCTTTTCCTTACTTTCCCTCTTCTCTTTGTCCCTCTTCTCTTTTTTATGTTTCTTTTCTCTTTGCTTTTCCTGAAAATCATCAGACACAAAACAAATATCAAGAATAATTATCAAATGAGGACAGAAATAAATGAACATACAACCACTTGGCTGTATCAAGTAAAAAGTACAATAAAATCATGTTCACAAGGAAAACATACATAGACAAGCATACTTAAGCAGTCTGCTGTCAGATTGAAGAGAAAATATCACAGCAATCCCCATTACCTTATACCACTAGATACCAACCACCACAAAATCATGGTAATTATTATTCTTTATACGTAACCCGTTGGATAAGTGAAGTCCCCCTCTCTCAAATATCCTAACGAAAAGACTCCTGGAAGTAAAAGATTTTTGCATAGCCCACTATGACCCACAAATAAACCAGGAAACTCCAACAATAACAGGTAGAACATCCTCCAGAGTACCAAAATCTTCTCAAACAAGAAAATGATACTCATCATATTCATCGGAACAAATTAAGGCAGAAAGCAAACAGCAAACTAGCTGCTCAATTATCTTCTTAGTCACAACAAGCAACTCACAACTCCACCAGATGAGATCGGCAGACCACAATGTATCCAATGTTTAAATAAAAAACAAACATAAAAACATCTATCCATAAAAGTGTTAAGCCATATAGAAACCTAGAATATTTATCGTGCATCACAAAAAAAAAAAAAAAACAAATAAAGAAAGAAAACTTCTCATTTAGTTTAGAATTGGTTGCAATTAAGCGATGGGAAGAAGAGCTCACTGTTGATTATTGATGCATCAAGGGGATTAATTTTCTCAAATTCATACTGGATATGCCAGTTACTCCTATTCTATAAAACACTTATACAAGTGAGGTTATCTACTATGCACATTCCATTTTTAGAGAGTACCAGACACTTCAGAGGATCTTCCATATCTAATAGGGCCTATCTTCATAATTTCAAAGAAGATAATGAGCAATGAGTAATGTTATTCATTTATTAAGCTAAAACTTAACAGCATATAATATAACTGGCCATGACAAGGTTTTTCCATTGGCCATCCACCACATTTCTTATCCATACATTAACTTTACACTCCACGCTAAGACTCTGCCATCCCCCCAGGCATACTTCTCTAGATTTTCACTTTTCATGTTCCTGAGTCATTTAATATCAATCGTTTTTAGAAAGGCATCAGCACACATCAACCTGAACTTATCAAGTAGCGTGCATTCCCCAATTGGTTATTTTACTTCTCTTAATCCGATCTAGACAATCTTCGATTACAAACTGCAATGAATTCAGCAATTAAACATTTTACACCATATGTAAGCTCAGAGAGGGCCACGTCACTAAAGGTAAATATTAAATTCGATCTACAGAAACAAGTAACATTAAACTCAATGGATGCAACATTTATTTCTCCGAAACAAAATGCGTGAAGCTTCTAAAGAGCAATAAGCAAATAAACTCTAATCAGGTCATCAAGCCAAATTATTCATTTTATTAAGGCCATTTTTCCTCCCACTTCTTCCACAGGAAAATGTTTTCACACTTTGATCAGAGCATAATTGATTAATTATGACAGATTCTTTATGGGAGTAAAAAAATCTATGGCCATTCGAAATGAATGGGAAAGAAATAAATTAAAATCAGAATTGTAGGATAACCTAACGCTATTTACATAAATAGAATGAGAAGTTTATTCAAAAGTAGAAAAAGACAGAGCAAGGCAAGGAAATTTGAGCAAAGGCCAAAAGTGATCTTCAAGCAGTGAATCGTTTGATATCTAAGGAGAGAATGTTGCCTGACAGCCAGACCAAAAAGTTAGTTCATTTTGCATTTACTGAAACCTCATTTGATTCCATTAGGATTATTGATGGGTAATAAATCACAACAGATCCTGCAGGTCAAGGATAACCCAAATAAAAAAAAAAAAAAAATCCGACTAGCAAAACAAAATGACATCCAAAAGTCAATATTGGCTCATACCTACTTGCACTTATTAGGCAAATAACCAAAAGGAAAAAAAGGGGAAAGAAGCTTTCAAAAATATTTGTTAAGGAGAGCTCCTTTAGTTCTTTAAGCAAATGATTATCATGGATGCCTATAATCAAATGAGCACAGGTCTTAGTTTTCAAAATTCTCACTCCTACTGATGCAAAATCAATGGCGTGCAAGCGTGAAGACAGCATATGAGTCAAGACAAATCTGAAGACACTTTTGCCAAAGCCACAAGTGAAGACGGTAGCCATTTTGGCCTTTTTGAAGCCACATAAGACACATGATATTTCTTAAACAGAACTGTACTTTAACATCTCCGTTGTTATTTCACAATTGATGGGACCAGAATAATCATACCATATTGGCAGCTCATATCTACCACCTGCTTCGTGTCCTCTTAAACCACAGAATATGGCTATTATTCTGCAAAGAGCTGTCCTAATCCTATTATTTCATTAAAAATTCTTTTATTATATATATATATTTTAAGAACAGCCTGGGAGGGCACAAATCTGGGTGAGCCACCTAACGAATTGAAAGCTAAGCTTTGTTCTAAGATGAATAGAAAGCAAGAAAGCAAAAATTATAGCATCAGAACAAATAAATAAGCAACTATAATAAGCATGTTCAAGAGAGGAGCACAGGGCACGCAACAAACATCTGCAATAAATTTCTGCTCGAGAGATTCTTGAAGCTTGTCATCCATCTAACTGTGCCATGTTACTTGCAAGAATTTCAGCTCCAAATCTTGCTTATCTTACATAACAAGAGTTTATGCATTTTGATCAACTATTAATCAGGACGTTACTTACACAACCAGAAACAATTTGAACCAAATATTACCTCTGCCAAGCCCTTATTCTTAAAGGGTAGGTTACACACGTGCACACAAAAGTTTTCAAAAAACAAGAAATCTTCCTTTTGTCCCTAAATACGTCTTCATAAAAATTTCTATGTAATACTTACTTCCAAAAATACCCCTTTTAGGCATAATATTTGTTTCTAGGAAGGTATATACTACATACATATATATCATCCACAGAGGAAAGCGCTGAATACTTCCCATATCCAATGAACAAATGATTCACTTCTCCCCACAATTTCAATTTCATTACAAATTTCTAACTGATTATAATAACCACAATCAAATACACTTTGTCAACCTATAGGACTCTCAAGTTTAAGACACGTAATTGCTTATTCCATTATCATATATCAAAGAATATTTCCTTGTATCAAACAACAATCAGGTCCATACAAGATTCCCCCCCCCCCCCCTAAAAACATAAACGGCCAAAGAAGTCCAAAACTCATAACTTCAGAAAGTGAATACAGATGCAAGCAGGTATATTCATGCTTCAGAAGTCAGAACCCTTCCACAGAAAAAAGGCTCCAAAGCTTTAAATGTGCATGGAGCACATGCACATACACGCATGCACTCGCACGCACGCGAACTCTCATACTAGAAGTCAGAACATAAACATGTCCTCCCCGAACCATCATCAATTATCACATGAGATCTCAATATAATAAAGGTTCTAGAAAAGTTTCATGAGAAAAATACTGATATTGACACAAAACTGATGTCAAAGACTTTCCTTTGCCACAACATGTACAAGAAGTTATAAAACCAAAAACATCTTTACATGGAATCACAGCATTACAACATAATAGACAAGTTAAAATAATAAATTCTCATCATTAACTAATATACAGGAAGAATTTCATAAAAATCAGTGTGAAATACATGAATGAAGCTGAGCATGTCTACTTTAAATTATCATGTTATCCTTCCACCCTCGTCAACAATTGACAGATTTGCTCGACTTCGTCCTTAAAAAACTCGTATGTCTTATACAGTCATACTACAAATCACAAGGTCCAAATTCTGAGTATCACATAGAAAATCCAAATATGAGACTTATGAAATGAAAAAGAGTCATCATTTAATATGTCATGCAATCAGACCTGCTTTCATATTCCAATAACAAACTTCCGTCAACCCAAAAGTAAAATCACAACTTTTCATAAAATAGCAAAGAGACATTGCTTCTCCAATCATCTTAAGCTGAGCAGGCCAGAAAATTAATTGAACTCAGCAGACGGATATCTTACAAGACCTTTTATTCTTTCAGACACCTACTCTGGTAGATGCCGTTTAAACTTTCCTATATCATCAGCCAACTTATAACTGGTTCTACACAAACTTAACTTGTTCAGAGGTAATACATAAAACATTTTTCAAAGGTAATCGAGACGCAGTAGCGAATCCTGTTAAAAAGTAAATCAAGTTTCCGCTAAAATATTGTTAATACATGTTAAAAACCCAGCAACTCACAAGAAAATCATTTTAGCATCCAAGTCACCGTTATCCCAATTAGATGCACTCTCAAATACAGGAAAAGTATAATAACCTTTTTAAATAGGTCCAAGTCATCTGTTCTCCCCTTCTTTTCATATCCTGGTGGTGGAAATGGAAAGCAGCGCGACATTGCACAAAATCCTGATATACCCAGTGTATGATCTTTCAGAAATCGAGAATACTTCAATTATTCCACAGTAGTGCTGTTCCAGTAAGGGAACGAACCAGCAACAAGGCTCCTGTCCATGCACCATGTCAATGCATTCATTTCCAGCTTTAGTATTCCTCCATAAGCTTCTTACTCGCTAAAACAAAGGCTACAGAAACTACCCACGTTTATTTCCCCTCGAATATTTCCTATATTTGATTAAATCAATGTGTTGCACAGCAACCACTCAACCTGACTAATAAAAACACGACCCCGGTAATTGCAAAATATTAAGCTGAGACTATGTCAATCCAAATGGTTTCTTGAATTTTGGAAATGGAGTGCTGCAATCAGATCCTCGTGGCAGTTTTGGAGGCCAATAAAATATCATCAGCTCCTTCCTATTTCCTTTGTCCAATACCAAAATCATCACCCAGTGAAGGCCAAAATACCCAAACTGCTAATGATTTCTCAAAGTCTTTATGTCGGCCAACACAGTTAGTCAATCAGTACACGCAATCTTCTTCCATGCTCAATGTTAAACACCATCTCAGGCAATCTCCAAGTGCAAGTGCTCAATCAGTGTATTTCCGAATCTATACTCCAAATCTTTGAGAAGATCGGTGCTCATGCCCATTTCACGCAAACCCCACAGAGAATGAACCCAGTGCACACTTCTCTGCTCTGATGCAGAGTAAACTGATCAAACCGGAAGCTTTCTGCTATGATCAAACAGAAATTTTCGAATTCAGTGACTATCCAGTTACGATCCAATAAAACCCTAGAAAATCCACTAAAACAAGTTTAGTAATACCGACCCCGAGAGGAAACCCTAATTTTATTTCTGAAAAAAAATGCATTCGAAAAAGCAGTGGAAAAAGGGCCCAGATTGAAGGAAATAGAAAGAATCAAATACTCTTTTTTTATACCCAAGTAATAATAGGTATCGATCAAAAGGGGGAAAAGAAACTTGATTCGAAGCGTTAAGAGGAAAACTTGGATGAGAAAAAAAACGAAATTGGATTGTCAGGAGCTAATTGACAAGGAGAGATTATCTTGTCCACTGCAAGGTGGGCATTGTAGGAGGTACAGGATCTCTCTCGCACGGATAGATAAATCGTAACATATATCTGTGTCAATATGAATATATGTATGTTATGCAGGAGGGGTATGAGAAATCTCGCGGGAGAGTACTTTTTATGTTGGTGTGGTAGTATGCTAGAGCTAATTGCTCCCGAAGCTAGATTCTGGGTTTTTCTTTCTCTTTTCTTCCCCACTCTTCCTGCGTCTGTCTGTGACCTCTCTTTGTAGGTAAGTCTGCGTTTGTGTGCGGGTGTTTCTGTTTCTCTTCTCTTTTCTTTCAAGGGAGAGAGAGGGAGGAGGAGAGAGAGAGAGACTCTCCTTTCACTCCTGAATAGGTTTTTGTTCGGAAGCTACACGCGACGAGCAGGGGCAATTCGGGGAAGCCGGGTCTCATGCGCCCTCAGAAACGAATCCCTGTGGGGCCCCGCATGTGTATTCTTCCTTCAATGAATATTAATGAGAACTTCAAATTATGTTATTACAACCAAAAAAAGGGCTTTCTGTTGAGTTTTGCCCCCCAAGATACATTCCTGGATTCTTATCTGTTCAGTTTTGGCTACAAATTTTACACTGTATACACATAGACATAAATCTTACTACCTTCTGTCTTTAATATAATACTACCTCCAATCCTTAATATAAAATCCTATTTGATTTTTATTTTGGTCCTAAATATAAGATCCCAATCAATTATGTCTCTCATATTTATACATTTTTTCAAAGTAATCCTTTTAACAATGATAGTTCTAATCAATACACTTGATTAGCAAGGATATTTTAGGAAAGACAACACCTATTTAGGACAAATAACTAACTCAACTTACTTCCTTAATCTCCTCAAATTAGTCAACTGGCTCTTATAATTAGGACCGGATGTAGTATCTTATTTGACTTTTATTTTGATCCTAAATATAAACTTCAATCCATTTTGTCTCTAATATTTATATATTTTTTTCTAAGATAGTTTTCTAACAATAATAGTTTTAACCAATAACTTGATTAGTAAGGATATTTTAAAAATACAACATCTATTTATGACAAATAACTAACTTAACTTTTTTTTTAATTTCATCAAATTAGTTAACTAACTCTTATAATTAGGATTGGAGGTAGTATTTGTTTATCATCGCTGGTTGCAAAGGTTAATCCTTCATTGCAATTTTAGCATGTACTTGGGATTTGTTGTATTGTGGGATTTTGTGTATACATGCAAAGCAAAAGAGGAAGGGTTATAACCAACACGATTTGAACTTTTTTTTCCCCCCTCTCGTGTATGTAGCCATGCAGATACATTATAATAATTCTAAAGGCATGCTCATATCCCTGATATGCTAGTACAGCGAGGGTTTAAATTTCCCATCATTAAGCCTTAAATGAAATTAATGACATTTGTTGTTCTCTTGGCCTGAGTCTCTTTAATCAATCATGCCAATATAGTTGGCCTAACTGTTAGAAGGATGTATTTGTTCAGTTTATGAACCAATATTTATATTAACAATCTTTAATTTAAAAGAGCTTATTTGTAAATTTGCTGAGAAAATTTTTCTTTATAAGCATTGTTGTTTAGGAGTTTTTTTTTAATTCAATGTCATCCTAAAAATTCAAAAAAACGTCAAGATATTGTCACGCCTCATTAAAAAATTAACGTTAACTTTTTAATGATAAAGGATAACATTACTTTATTTTCATATTTCCCAAGCAACTTTGAACACACAAAAAAATCTAATGTAACATTACTTTTGAGTAAAAATTTTACGAACAAATATATACCTTAAATGCTTTTAAAAATGTACGATTTATATAGTATTTTTGTTTTAGTTTTGTTCACTTTACTCACAATATATTGAAGGTATTCAAAAATTGTCATTTGAAACTTTTGAGTTTCAATTGATATGTAGATCAAGACAAGCAAATATCACTAAACATTCGCTTGTGTAAATATGTCACCCCACTTCTGTCCCTATTCACTTCAATGGTTACATTAAATGCTCGCTCTTGCCGTCTCACACACACTTCAACATACTATCTTTTAAGTGGAATTTTTCATCAATGACAAAAACGACGTACCAACTTTTTCTGGGATGATTTATTTAAAAGGTTTCAAACAAAGATGTAAATTTAATGTGTGCTCGTATACCTCTTCAATATACAAGACCTTTGCCCGTTTAAACATAGCGAAAATATTAACAAGCCATGTATCTCAATGCGCATCAAAACTGAATCTATAAATGTCAACGTATTAATGTCTACATGAAGACTGCAATCACATACAATTCTAAGATCACTCAACAAAATAATTTTTCCTTATTATTTGACTCAACAGATAAGGATTTTAAGGGGCGATTTGAATGAATACTAGATTTGCACACAATAAATTAAAGAGAGTTTTTTAAGGTAACTTTGAAATTAATAAAATAAAGAGAGATGTTTTGTTTACAAAGATTGAAGACAAAGAAACTATTTTTTCTTCAAAATAAAGGTTGGAAATTTCGAATTAAAAATATATATTTAAAGAACTATTTTCAATTGAATTCCACAATACTTAAACATCACCTAACATTGTAAAGGGAATGACCAAGAAAACGGGCGTTGAGGGAGAGGATATAAATCATTTAATAGGAGCAAGGAAGAGAGGTGGAAGTCACGCGCCGGCAGTGAAGGTGGTGATGGAGGGAATGAATAAAATACGGAGAGACGCCATTTGCCAAAGCACATGTGAGTGGGCAGCCGCTGCTGCATTTCCAGGTGGCACCACCCCATCCCTTTGCTTCCTCTCTGATACGGTATACGGATTTAGATAAATAGGGCTTATCAGTTATTATTCAGTCCCAAGAATAATGACTTCCTTAATCAATATATAGATTATATCAAAATTTAAGGGCCTTTTGCCTTTCAAACGCTGAAAAAAATTAGTTTCCACAAAATGAAACACAGTGGATTTGGAAAAACATGGACCTCTATGTATGGCCTGGCTTGTGTCAAAATCTTTGTCAAGAAGTCGAAACGCAAGCGTGCTGTTTTCCTTGGTGCAAGTTGGGGGCCCAAAGCCCAAAACCAAAAAAAACCCAGCGTGCCGTTTTTAAGTGAATAAAAATGCACAATAATGAAATAACGACCTCAACTGGAGCAATGAATCCAATAGCATCAATAACTGCCGATTTTCTACTACCATATGCCAAACCCTAAATACAAAATGCTCATATGATTTTAATGAAACACAAGTATATTGACTCAACAACCACATCAAACTTCCTATGGCTTGTTAGGGTGCAAAAGAGAAGACCATCCGTGTTTTCCCCTTCAACCTTCCTCATTTAACATCATAAATGTGAGCAAAATGATGGGAAATAACAGAAATTACAGGAAACTGAACAATGAATAAGACTACTACTATTCTTCCTATCGTACATATTTTTGTAAATACGGTTCTATGTTACAAATCAAAATTGCGGCGGAGCTGCAGAAGCCACATCTAGACTGTTTTTCTTACATTCCAATGTTCCACTAGAAAGAGCTTCTCAGCTCCAACCAAAAATAGACAACAAAGCAGCACAGGCTCTCAAGTCTACCCTTCTCAGAAACCTGCAGTTGCCTTTGTGAAGTCATCGTACTAAGATGTGTGAAGCACGAACGGCAACCCCAGATCTTGGCCTGCAGGCTTTGCACCAGGGCACCCAACCATTCATGACAGAAGTTCCTTTGATCAAGATGATGAAGTCAAAAGTTTTCATCCCAACAATTTTAAGATCAACGCAGAGGGTCAATCGTTACTTGCTGCCAAAGAGTGAAATAACAATGGAGAATCTCAGAATCTATTTCTAGACGCTGATGCTGCTGTTCTGCCATGGGGATTGAGAAAATGGAGGGCTCCATTTGCAGATACAATTGCCGTACCATAGCAGCTCAAAAACCAATCAGTGTGGAATGACATATGGCAGAGCATAAACATCTGGCTCTATATGGAGAGCTTCTGCCCACACCTGCACTGTTCCTCCAGGCCTTGAAGACTCTGCTTGTGGCTTTTTCTCTTGTAAACTGTGGCTGCCAAACAACCACTCTTGATCATCAAAATCAGGACGCTCATCCATTTTGGGAACTGAATATGCCTGGCTCAGGTACATTGAATCTGGATGGGGCGGTTTTGCAGAAGATTCTTCAATTACAGGATCAGCTCCCACGTTAGCACTGATAGGCTTGTTTGGGGAACATGCAGGTGGCTGAACTCCAATGATGCCATTTTTCTTGTGCTCCTTGTTATCAACCTTAAAATTGGTGGCTGCTACCGGACCATCAGAGGGATGCAGAATGGAACTTTGGCAAGGCTTCACTATCCTTCCATTCTCCGTGAATGGATGAGGGGAAGAGGATAGTCTAGACAACTTACTAGGCCAATTGTCACTGGCTGTTTGGAAAGGAAGAAAAAAAAATAGTTAACGACAAACATGTGAGGCAATAGCAGATCTAGGAAAAGAATTTACCCACATTATTGAAAACAATGAATTTCAGTACACACACACACACAACACCACGGGAAACCCAACACTCTGTTGAAGGAAGCAGTATCCAGAGTTGAGGTCAACAAAATACTACTCAAACACAAAAGGGTTAAAGGTCTCGTTAAGGAGAAATGAGAATATGATTTGTCATGAAATGCACTCACCATGCAGGATTCCATTTGATTCCATATCCTTCCGTTTCTTGAGGTATTCCCCACCAACAATACTATCATGGCTGTTCTTGGTAATCTGTGGGAAAGAATTAGTACTCATAGGACCTTTGTTACCAACTTTAAAATTAGTTTGCTCTTTGTTCTTATGTTCAGTTAGCTCCCTCACTTTCTCCTCTCTTTTTTTCTCTTTATCCCTGTCTTTGTCCTTCCCATGCCCCTTTTTCTTCTTGTCTCTATCCTTCCTTTTGTCTCCTGGTTTATCATCTTTCTTTTCCTTACTTGTTTCTCTTGTTGGTGCTGTAGCTTCCATTCTTCTGTTAAAGTTTTTCTCCAAAGATCTGGGCGTTTCACCAAATAGGGAATGAAAATTTCCAGCATGATTCTGGAGTGTTGCATTTTCAATAGGTCGGGCCTCGGCCCAGAATCCTTGCCCATCAATCTTCTTAACATCAATACTCTTATCCTTGATCTTTTCCTCGCCATCAAGCCAGGTACTGCTATCCTTTGCTGCCAGCCTAGCAGTCCCCTCATCCTTTTTTTGGCTCGCAAAGGTAAACTTCTGAACAAACTGATTATCAGCCCTTCCATCCTCCTCCTTAATTTTCCTGCCCAACTCCTGACCCATTTGATTGCTGGCTACCCCATCATCTTCCTTAATCCTCCTACCCAGCTCCTTAAGGAATTTTGAATCTTTATTCTCCTCAGCCAGGTGATTATTTTTCTCTCTCGCCTTCTCTCCATTATCTGTAAAATGTTTAGAAAGTTTCTCCTCCAACAAAATACCCTTGCTATCCTTTTGCTTAATTTCCTTTTGGATGAGTTTAACTGCCTTGGGACCTTCTGTTTGTGCTGGCAATCCCTTCTCATCAGCAGTATTGCTTTTATTTTTATCCTTATCCTTTTCCTTGTCTCGGTCTTTCCTTTTATCTCTGTGTTTTTCTTTTTTATCTTTCTTTTCTTTATGCTTTCCATCCTTTCCTTCTTTCTCTCTTCTATCTTTACCTTCCCTCTTCTCTTTTTTATGTTTCTTTTCTCTTTGTTTTTCCTGCAAACCGTCAGATGGAAAACAAATATCAAGAATAATTATCAAATGGGGGAAGAAATAAATTAATCCACAACCACTTCACAGTATCGCAGTAAAAGGCACAAAATGCAATGATTTCGGCAACTAAACATTTTACAGCATACATAAGCTCAGAGAGGATCATGTCACTGGAGGTAAATATTAAATTTTATCTATATAAACAAGTGACATCAGACTCAATGGACAGTGCATTTTTTCTCCGGAAAAAAAAATGCAAGAAGCTTCAACAGAGCAATACGCAAATAAACTCTAATCAGGTCACCAAGCCAATCTATTCATTTTTATTAGGCCACTTTTAGATACTTCTGTGGGATTCTGACCACATACTGCCACTTCTCCATAGGAAAATGTTTTGACACTTTACTCATCAGAGCATACTTAATTAATTATTACAGATTCTTTAATGGGGTAAAATATTTGCCTAATTCAAACATGAGCAGAAGTGAGATAAATTAACAACACAATTGCAGGAAAAACCAACACTATTTACAAAAATAGAATGAGAACTCTATCCAAAAGTACAAAAAGAGGCAGGGTGAGGAAATTTGAAACAAGCAGCCTTATCCCACTAAGTGGGGTTGGCTACATAAATCGCACAATACTATTGTGTCCCATCAACAACCAAATCCTTAAATAAGTTGTTGACCAAAAGGCCCCATTTGAGCGTTCTCGTTAGTCTTCCCTTACCCAACGATCTTTGGGCAATGAGACATTTGATATCTAAGGAAAGAAAATTGCCAGAAAGCCAGGCCAAAAAGTTCGTTTCGTATTTTTGAAACCTCATTTGATTCCGTAAGGATTATTATAATGACTATAAATAATAAATCATCACAGATTCTGCAGGTCAAGAATAACCCAACTAGAAACCAAAAAAAAAAATTCAGAGTAGTGATACGAAAGGACATCCAAAAATCAATATTAGCTCATACCTACTTACAGTTATCAGACAAAAAAAAAACTTCAAAAATAATTGTCAAGGAGCTCCCCTTTAGTTCTTTAAGCAAATGTTTAGCATGGATGCACACAATAAAATGATCAGAGATCTTAATTTCACAAGTCAGACTCTTGCTGATGCAAAATCAATAGAGTGCAGGCATGAAGATACTATCAAGTCAAGAACATTATGAGGACATTTTGGCCAACATCCTAAGTGATGACAGTAGTCATTTTGACATTTTTTACCACAATTAAGATAAGAATTTGCATCTGACTTTTCCTTAGATAGTTCAGGTTAAACAGGTAAGACATGATATCTTTAAATTGGAACTGTAGTTGAACCTCACTGGTGTTATTTCACCATCAATAGGACTAGAATGATCATGCCATGGACAGCTCATAACTACACCTCCTTCGTGTGTACTCTTAAACCACAAAACATGGCCATTATTCTGCAAAAGGTGCCTTTGTCCCTATTATATCATTAAACGCTTACAATTTTTATAACTAATCATCAAAACTGCCTAGGAAGAAAGAATTCTGGGCAAGCAACCTGAACATTTGCAAGCTAAGCTTTGTTCTGTAACGAACAGAAAGCAAGAAAATAAAAATCATCTGAACAAATAAATGAGCAAGTGCAAGAAGAATGTTCAAATAGGCGCACACGGCACACAACCAACATCTGCAACAAATTTTTGCTCCAAGAGCTTCTGGGAGCTAGTCATCCATCTAGCCAAGCGATGTTACTTCCAATAATGTCAGCTTGAAAGCTTGCTTGTCTTGCATAAAAAGGAATTTATGCATTTTGATCAAATATTAATCGGGATGTTACTGACACAACCAGAAATTATTTGTACCAAATATTACCTCACCCAAACCATTATTCCTAAAGGGTATCTAATCTATCTATATATGCATATGCATATATATATTTTACACAAAGGAAAGCACTGAATACTTCCCATATCCAATAGGACAAATGATTTACTTCTCCTCACAATGTCAATTTGATTAGAAATTTCTAACTAGCTACGATTATTTCAATCAGATAGAACTTTGCCAACCTAAAGGGCTTTCAAGACATGTAATTGCTTATTCCATAAGAATATATTAAAAAAATATTTCCAAGCAGTGAAAAAAAGTCCGGTCCATATAAGCCCCCCCCCCCCCAAAAAAAAAAAGATAAATAAATAAATAGTCAATGAAGTTCGCAACTCATAACTTCAGAAAGTGAATACAAACGCATGCAGGTATACTGATGCCTCAGAAGTTAGAACCCTTTCGTAGAAAAAGGGTCCAAAGCTTTACATGCGCACGCATTATACATACTCGTACTCACTCTCACTCTCTCTATAGAAACCAGCGTCAATTATCACGTATGATCTCAATTGAAAAGAGGTTCTAGATAAGTTGCCATTTTTTTTTTTGGCCAGAGTTGCCACTTGAAATATACTGATGATGACACAAAACTGATGTCAAAGACTTTGCTTTGACATGACTACATATGCAGGTTGTCAGAAAACCAAAAACAATTTTACATGAAATCACAAAATTAAGCTATAAGAGACATCTCGGATTGCACGAAGATTGTTTCACCTCTACCGGGAGTGGAATATAATATATGATTTTACACATACAATAGATCAACAATCCTACCAAGGAAGCACAGATGGACTAAATTAAGGGAATAAATATTAAGCACTAGCCGATATTGTGATCAGATTTCATAAAATCAGTGTCAAAAAAGTAAGCTGAGCATGTCAACTTTGAATTATCATGTTATCCTTCCGGCCTCATGAGCAATGGCAGATTTGCTCAAATTTGTCCTTTTAAAAACTTGTATGCCAATACAGTCATAGTACAGATCACAAGGTCCAAATTTTGAGCATCACATAGAAAATCCAAATATCACTTATAATATGAAATGAAATTAGACCCATCATTTAATATGACATGCAGTCAGACCCGCTTTTGTATTCCAATAACCATCTTCCATCAACCAAAAACGTATAATCACAGCTAATCATAACTAGAAAAGAACCATTGCTATATTAGCCTCCAGCCATCTTAACTATGCAGACCAAACACTAATTGAACTCAGCAGACAAAGATCTTACAAGGCCTTTTTTTAACCCTTTCAGACATATACTGTGATAGATGCCATTTCAACTTTTCTACGTCCTCAGCCATCTTATAACTGGTTCTACACAAACTTAACTTGCACAGGAGCAATGCATGAAAAAATTTTCAGATTTAATTCAGACGCAGCAGAAATATTGTCAATGGACGTTAAAACCCTGCAACTCACCAGAAAATCATTTTTGCATCCCAATTACCGTTATCCCAAATATATGCACTCTCAAATACAGGAAAAGTATAACAACCTTTTTCAATAGGTCTACGTCATCTATTCTCCCCTTCTTTTCATATCCCGGTGGAGGAAATGGAAAGCACCGCGACATTGTACAAAATCCTGATATACACAGCGTATGATCCTTCCGAAATTGAGAATGCTTCAATTATTCCACAGTTGTGCTGTTCCAGTGAGGGAACGAACCAGCAACAAGGCTCCTGTCCATGCACCATGTCAATGCATTCATTTCCAACTTTAGTATTCCTCCATAAGCTTCTTACTGCCAACAGACAAAAGTTAGAGAAACTACCCACGTTTACTTCACTTGAATATTTCCGATATTTGAATTAAATCAATGTGCTGCACTGCAATCACTGAACCGGACTAATAAAAACACAACCCGGTAAATGTAAATGTATTGAGCCGAAACCAAGTCAATACAAAAGGTTTCTTGAGATTTGGAAACGGTGTACTGCAATCAATCAATTCCTCCTAGAAATCTTGGAGGCCAATAAAGAATCATCCGCTGCTTCCTATTTCCGTTGTCCAATACCAAAATCATCACCCAGTAAAGACCAAAATACTCAAACTGCTAATTGACTTCTCAAAGTCTTGATCCCGACCAACACAATTAATCAATTAGTATAAGCAATCTTCTTCCATGCTCAATGTTAAAAACCATCTTAGGCAATCGCCAAGTGCAAATGCTCAATCAGTGTATTTCCAAATCTACACTGCAAATCTCTGAGAAGATCAGTGCGCATGCCCATTTCACGCAAACCCCGCAGACAATGAGCCTGGTGCACACTCCTCTGCTCTGATGCGGAGTAAGCTGATCAAACCGGAAGTTTTCTGCTATGATCAAACAGAAATTTTCGAATTGAGTGAGTATCCAGTTACGATCCAATAAAACCCTAGAGAATCCGCGACACAAGTTTAGTAATACCGACCCCGAGAGAAAACCCTAGTTTTATTTCTGAAAAAATGTATTAAAAAAAGCAGTGGAAAAAGTGCCCAGATTGAGGGAAACAAAAAGAATCAAATACTCCTTTTTTATTTTTTTAATAAATACCCAAGTAAAAATCGGTATCGATCAAAAGGGGAGATGGAACTTGATTCGAAGCGTCAAGAGGAAAACTGGGATGAGAGAAAAACGAAATAGGATTGACAGAGAGAAGTTTCAAGGGAATTGATGAGGAGAGAATATCTTGTCCACTACGAGGTGCCCATGGCAGGAGGTACAAGATCTCTCTCACGCGCGGATAGAGGTAAAAAGGGCAACAGGAACATCCGTCCATATGAAATCGACATGAATATTATATATGTTATGCCGGGGCATGAGAAATCTCGCGGGAGGGTACCTTTGGTCCTGCCCAAAAAAAAAAACAAACAAACAAACTAGGTCGGGTGCTTAGACTAACCTGGGGCCAGATCGGGCCGGACCTTGCGTCCCAGAGAATGGTACCGAACCAACTCTTTGTCAAGAGAAAAGTTAGTTTAACTATTACCAAAACTGTTTTCTAAATTTTTTTTTATAAATTGAGATAAATTTTTTTACATATTAATTTTATATACTGTAAAATTACTTTTAAAACTATTATTTGATTTTCATCTAAATACCCTCTAAGAAGTAAGAAGAGATGAGGAAATGATGATGAAATAGAAAAAAGAGAGTGAGTAAGGAGCATGGTAGTCCCTTCTTCTATGCGCAAAACTCAGAACTAGGCACCAAAATGCGCTCCACTTTGGACAACAAAAGGCGAGCATTGAACTCTTCCCCAGTTTGCGCCTTGTCTCATCTCGACACTTTGGCTATAGAGCTATCACCCTTTAACAATGTTCCGCTGTTTTTTTTATCTTTTGGGGTAGGTGTAAGTATTCTTTAATTAAAAGCAGTTATATTCAAAACATTATAGAATACTAAATATGAACACCTCTCTTAATAAAAATTTAAATATTAATTTGAATTGTTGTAAGGGACGGATTCCTTTTATTAGACTGCATTATTTAGTCATCCAAAGACATGACTAATAAAATTCTAAATGCATGATTGTTTTCTTTTTCATCGTTATTTATAACAAATATCTTAGATAAAGAAGAAAATTACGTGAAAACAAATTATAGTATAGTGACGAGGGTTTAAACTTCAAATTGAACCCGTAGAAAGAAAATCTTAATACCGTTTTCTCCCTTTTTCTTCTTTTTTTTTTCCTTTTAAACCAGCCATCTCAGGGGTGTGGGCTTTGTTGTTGAGAAAGATGTGTCTAGATATCAAATATCTATCACAACTGGTGCCAAAATATGTGTGTGTATGTGTACACATCACAACAGCCTTGAATTTTAAACATAGAACTGTCTTTGTCAGTTTTGTTCAGTTAATTATGCTCTCGGCAAATGGACGATTTAGAAAGTAATCCGTGTTATCATCTGAGACTTGTGAGTTTAAATTGATACATATGCGAACTGAGGTAAATATTAGCACTGAACTTTCGTTCATGCATTCATATAGCACAACCTGTATCCATATTCATTTTAATTAATTGTCGTGCTGAACATGCTCTTTTTCTCTCTGGCGCATACACTGTTCATACCATCACGTTAAAGGGTCTCAGTGCGTCCAATTTCCCCCTTCTCTGTCATGAAATTCATTCGTTTAGTGGCTCATTTGTGGACTAGGCTTCATTTGATTGTTTCGTGGATTTACAAGTGATATTTTCCCTCACTTGTTTGATTGCATATGAACTTTTTCTCATGTGACCTCTTTAAAGGATCTCAAATAAAGTGACACGTAAATCTGACAAGAACTCCTATGACTCTCCAATATAATCAAATAATCAATACACTTTATAAATCTATCAAAGACAATGTTTTTATTCAACTTAAAAAGGACCATGTTCGTATCACCTAATCCAACGCGAACGGCGAGTTACAAGGGTTATCAGATCAAGTAAAATGCCATATCTATTAGTCAAACAAATAATTTATGAATATTAAAAACTAATTAAGTTAATTATTTATTATAAATAAGTATTTTTTTTCTAAAACACTACTATTGATCTCAATATTTGACTTAGCATATAAAGTTCGTAGTTTTTGAGTTGAAAAAGAATCTGCATACATGGGAGACTGAGCTAATTTATTCATGGCAATTGATGAAAAAGAAATTAATTTTACTTGAAATTAACGACTAAAATTTTGTGAATTTAAAGAAATAAGTTTTAAGATTATTTTGAGGATACTAAGTACTTGCTTGGATTTTTTTTTTAACAGAAAAAAGTATCCGCTTAGATTAGCAGTGAACAGCTTTGATTTTATATGATCATGATTTTTATAAATAACACTGATTAAAAGTAATACTCCTCCGGTCCTAATTATAAGACCCAATTGACTTATTTGAGGAGATTAAAGAAGTAAGTTAAGTTGGTTATTTATAATAAATAAGTGTTGTCATTCTTAAAATATCCTTGCTAATTAAGTATATTGGCTAAAACTATCATTATTAGAAGGATTATCTTGGAAAAAATGCATAAATATAAGAGACAAAATGGATTGGATCTTATAATTAGGACCAAATAAAAAGTCAAATTGGGTCTTATAATAAGGACCGGAAGAGTATTAGTTAATTATGATTTTTGTCTGGATACCTTTTCTTACGAGTGATATCGAAAATGTGAATTAAATTTGATTTTATTTATTAAATTTACTTATAAATACATAATTATCAAAAAGCGGGAGAAATATAATTTTTATAAGTATAGATCATTATTATTATTTAAATATAATTTTAATTTGATATTTATTATTAACAAGGGGTAGTTAGGAGAAACTCTTATTACTCAAGCGTGTGATCAGAATTAAAATCACGATTCATTAAGATTTCAAAACATTTAGCCTAACAAAATAAATAAACTCTATGATCACTTAATTAAGTTCAAACGAACTTATTTGAAACCCCACAACCTAACTAAACAGACACTAAATAATTGTGATCTAGTCATGTTTAAGCACTTGTTGGGCACCATTTATATATAAGTATTTATAAGCATATTTTATTTAATTTGGGACAAAGCTCCTTCTATGTACATACCTTATACTACCTCCGATTCTTATTATAAGACACCATTTGACTTTTTATTTGGTCCTAATTATAAGACCCCAATCCATTCTGTCTCTCGTATTTATGCATTTTTTTCCAAGATAATCCTTCTAATAATGATAGTTCTAGCTAATATACTTAATTAACAATGATATTTTAGGAATGACAACACTTATTTATTACAAATAACTAACTTAACTTACTTCCTTAATCTCCTTAAATAAGTCAACTAGGTCTTATAATTAGGACCGGAGGTAGTATTTTGTAAGGGGGCAATGGAGACGGGGCAGAATATGATTGGTGGAACTTGGAAGCCAGCAGCTAACAGGGGGGGAGGTACGCGCGAGCAGTGAAGGTGGGGATGGAGGGAAGGAGGAAAAACGCCAAAGCGGCAAAGCCCATGTGAGTTGATTGCCGCTGCGCTTCCAGGGGGCGCCACCCCATCCTTTTGCTTCCCCTCTATTGCCTTACACGTGTCACTCTCCTACTCTCTTCTGCCGCCTTCCACCATCACACACAACACAATCTCAACAACATCAAAATTAGCTCAGAATTTCTTATTAAAAAACAGACCAAAAAGGTAAAAAAAACGCGAATCCATTTTTAGTAAAACAAATTTCTACTGGAAAACTTAATTGGCTGAGACAACTTAAATGCTCTTGCAGTTATAACCTGTAAGTGTAACTTTTCCTTTGTTATATGCAACATATCTTTCACCACATATAATTGACTTCTGTATATATATAAATGTTGCATACAATTAAAAAAAATTACACTTACAAGTTATGGTTGTACTCATTCAAATTTAAGTTTTTTTAGCCACTTAAATTTTGAAACAATGACTTTTAACTAAATTTTCTTTTAAATTATACATGCATTTAATATATAAGCTGCACTCGCAAGAACTTGCCGCTGAGTGTGCAAAATAAATGTTGCCCAATGAATTGCATTAAGAGTTGTGGAAACTGAATTGGATTTCACAAACATCTTTTTTAAAAATAAAAAAAATCATGCATCCAACCAAACGAGTAATTGGACCATGTGCATCGGCACATCGCATACCTGCAGAAAACCCACAATATTCCGATGTCAGAAAAGAGCACTGAGTCCATTCTTCTTTGATGGGCTAGCTTCTTCCTTTTCTTGTGTTGCCATGGGCTCCTCCAAAACGGGCATTCTTATCCAATGCTCCATCGAGTCATACGGAAACTTCCTTACCCCGAAAAATAATCTCCTGCGTGCATGTTTTATAATTAACTTGTTTTATTTAAATTATTGATGATTGATGCGTTTTTTTGCTTAATATCCTTAATTAATTACAAATATTTTAAGTACTTAATCAAACTCTTATGTCTAATGACTCTTATTTAGGAGTTTCATTCCAAAATAACAAGGCGAGAAGTCACCGTAGAAAAAGTGTGATATTATCGTTGAGTTATTTTTTTATAATGTCCAAAAAACAAAGATGACTTAAGAAAATGTGATTTACTAAAAAAAAAAAAAAGAAGTGGTGCACCGGGGCCCCGCATGCGCAATGCAACTTCAAATTGGAAAAATCGCAGGTCGAATAGGATAAGTACGATTCAGCTCAAAAAAAAAAAAGAATAGGATAAGTACGAAGACAGTATCACCTGCGTCACAGCCTACTCCTGTTTTGAAATGACAGCCGTTGCTGTATCTCTTCAAGACATCGACGGACGCACATTCATTCCCCAATCCCTCTATCAGAGAGGTTGTAGCTAAGGTGGACCGTGTGTGATCTCATCCTCCAAAACCCCTCATCCTATAAAATGCTAGATATTTTCCTCTCCCTCATTCCTCACTCACTTCTTCGGCTTTCAAGCTTAAACCCTAGCCGCTTCCATTCTTTGAAGCTCTCCATCAAATCCCGGTCCTCGTTTTTCTGTGGTAAGCCCCTTCCGGCGTCATCAATCTCGTAGATATCCCTTCTATATTTCGAACGATTTTATGCGTTTATGTGCACACTTTTCTTCGGTCATTCCTTTGAATTCCTCTGATTTTTTGGATTCATTCTCATCGCATTTTTATTGTTTCCCCGTTAATCTATTTATTGTTTCTAGTCTGCTTGGGTTTAATGTGATTTAATTAATATCCGGATGACTATTTATCTTATTCTGTTTTGCTATTTTGGAAAGTTGTTTGGTGGTAATCGGTCGGTATGTTTTCGCACTTATTCACTCGTTTATCTGCTACTTTCGGCTGGGTGAGATGTGAGTCCTAGGTTCAGTTATTTTCTTGTCGATGCGACGCTGAAGTTTCGTCGATAGTTGCTTACACAGTTAGGCGTTGCCCGGCCGATGCGCGGTTGGGCTAGCTTCAAGGAGAGGAGCGGGATATTCACAGTGTCCTAGGGTTTTATTTGCTAAGACTACTTTTTTTTCCCCGAATTGGCTGTATATCTCTTTGTTTTGTCATTCAGACATTGCCGTTTTATTTTTCTATCTCGTTTGCTTATTTTGCTCACCAGTTCATGGTGCCTGTGGGCTGTGGCTGGCTTGACAGTGCTTTGTTTTTGGTCTGTCTGCTAAATGCTATGTTGGTTCTGTTCGTTGTTTCAGGCCATAAACTTTTAGTTACAATGGCATTTTGCAATAAGCTTGGGAATCTTTTAAGGCAGGGTGCTGCACAAAACAGACAAGTACCAGTTGCATCAATGCTCAATTATGTTCGCTGCATGTCCTCCTCCAAGCTTTTCATTGGCGGTATTGGTTATCGTTGAATGGTTCTTTTTAGATTGAAGCATCATATATGGATGCAAATTTTCTGACCAGTACTCTCCTATTGTTTAGGCCTTTCTTATGGAGTTGATGATCAATCTCTCAGGGATGCATTTGCTAGCTTTGGAGATGTGGTTGAGGGTGAGTTAAGCTACTTTGTGTAGTTTGTGCACATAATGAAGCTTTGTACATCCTGTATGGGTTATCTTAGAAGATCAGAGAAATTGTATAGATTTCTTTGTTCTTAAGTTTTTGCATGTCGCACTTCTGTTACATGTACATGTTTATATTGTATCACTTATTTTATTTATAATTGAGTATCAGCCTCCTTGCCTGAGATCAGCTGCTGTTTGATAACAAGTCATTTCAGATGTGCCGTTAGATGTTTGTCCATGTAGGAATAGTTATTAAGGCACTGGTACCATTATTTTTTTACTGGGGTATTTCACGAGGATATGACCAATGTAGCAGGGTTCTGACATGCATATTTCTGAGTTTATGAAAATGACTTCTTGCGGGCATGGGTAATTGGAGCTGGTGAGATAAGTGAGTGCTTCATTTTTCTTGGTTATAGTGTAGTAAGAATGGGATGAGCGTGAGTCAAGGTGAGACCCCTTGCCTGTTGTAATAGTTGTCTGCCTTGTCCTATCATGGTTTATTAGGCGTATTGATATTCATGTTTCTGTTTCACAGCAAGGGTTATAACTGACAGAGACACTGGAAGGTCAAGAGGGTTTGGATTTGTTAATTTCTCCAGTGATGACTCTGCAAGTTCAGCTCTTTCTGCAATGGATGGGCAGGTTGGTCCCCCCCCCCCCCCCAAAAAAAACATCATTCGTGTTGAATTTCATTACTAGTGATAAATTGTTGACTGACGTGGTCTGGTTCATCAGGAGCTAAATGGGAGAAACATTCGGGTGAGCTATGCAACTGATAGACCGGCTAGACCTCGTTCCTTTGGTGGCGGCGGCGGATATGGTGGTGGTTTTGGTGGAAATGGGAGGGATGATGGAGGATTTGGCAATCAATCCTTCTAAAAATTTCCCACCTTATCCCTTTGATCTTTAACTGTGGCTATGTTTAGCTAGTTCGTGAATTACTTGATTTTAGTCAAGTTTATGTGACTCAGCACCTAAACTTTTAAAATTTGTGGAAGTTCATATGCAGACGCATTGTCTCGAATGGTATTTTTTGTTCAGATAATTGTTGATTTGAATCTTGTTAACGAATCTCAGCTAAAAAAAAAAGAATCTTGTTAACGAATCACATTTGAAATTACGCGAGCAATCGTTATTGCTGTTGCTATCAAATGTGATGATTAGAGGCTTATGAATTGGACGGCTGTTGTCCCGTGCTACAGGAAACATTTCTTATTCTCTAATCCAATATGAAGTGGTGCGCGCGTTTCCATTGGATTACGCAAAAGGATCTTGGCAACTTTTTTAACGGATTTTTGCTTAAAGATTGATTGGTTGAATGGGTGAATACGCGAATCATTGAGGCATTGGAGCGGGGGTGAGTAAGAATGGGATTCAGAATCACACGCACGTACATTGAGACGCATGTATAATCTTGGTGCAAAGCAGCACATGCTTCCACTTGGATCCGTGCCCGTTGTTGTTGGCTGCCTGACGTTGCCTCCGCCCGCCAATTTTCATATGCTGCTTTGCTCGATGTGTAGAGAGAATGGTGGTGAAATGGGAGGGACGGAATAATGAGACCATGGTAATTCATATGTCAATCTATTTAAGTAATTTTAGTAATTTGTTAAAAAAAAATTTATTAAGTTAGTTATTTGTAATAAATATAAATTAAATTTTTTTAAAAAGTATTATTAATCTTTTTAATATACATAAAGAATGAATAATAAATCTGTAAGATAAAATGAATTAAGATTTTATATTTAAATAAAAATTCTCACTGACTCTTGTTATGTTGATGACTATGGTACGAGAAAATGTCAATGATGAGGAGTGAATTGAACGAGATTCCCGGAACACGCCGTTTTGCTCTTCATTTGCCCATATCGTTCCCATAATCAGACGAAGGTACGTGTGTTCAAAACGTGAGAAATCCTTAAGGTTATTAATACAAGATTACTTTAATTTTTAATTTAATCTTAAATATAAGACTTTAATTTACTTTGTCTTCAATATTTACTCTTTTTTTTTTTCAAATAATCTCTATATAGTAGTTATATATGTTAAGAAGTTATTATTAATTTATAATTCTGACACATGATTAAGGGTATTTTAGGGAAGATAATATCTATTTACAACAAATAACTAACTTAACTAATTTTTTTAATCTCTCCAAATTAGTCAACTAAATCTTAGTATTTTAATATCTTAGGACATTATTTTCTAATACAATATCAAAATATAATCCTATTCATGACATATGGTTATCTCACTCCGTCGGATTCCATTCTCATTTACACTACATTTCCATTCGCATTCGCGTGACAACTTTTGACGAACCGAACGGACTGATGGCTGACAGTGGTTATACTTCTAAGCAATGTTTTAAAAGCCGGACCGGAAATTGAACCGGAAAAACGAGCGGTTCACGGTTCTTATGGTTCAACCAGTCGGACCGGCGGTCGGACCGGAACATAATAATTAAATAAAAATAATATTATACTTTCTTAAATCTTATATATAAGAAATTTTTTTTGGGATGAAGGTCCATGATACATTGACACTAATACCCTATTTGAAATTTTTTATATATATTTTTATTTTTGTCTCTATTAATTATTGGTATGCTCACTTTATCCCTTAAATAAGAATGATTTTAGAGGATAAATTACATATTTTATATATATTAATCATATAATAATCATTAATAATTACAATATTATAACGTAAATATTTTTTTTTTAGCCGCTGGTCAAAAAACCAAATATTTTTATAGCCTTTTTAATATATAGTATAGTAAATCTTTAACTTTTGCAATTTGTACCAATAGAAATAACTTTATCTCACAATTAATTTAATTTTTTCCCTTGAAAAATAACATTAAAAAAAGGTTTAATTAATACTCATTTATAGTACATGTCATCCTTGCTCAATCTACCTTTGCGTGTTGGCCCGAAAAAGAACTGCGTCTGTGTACGAAACACGCTTCTCTATCTCCACTCCCGAGGTTTTACTTTCTTTTCTCCCCTACTTCCATTCCATCACTTGCACGTCGTCTTCTTTTCTTCGTTATGGACTAGGGAGGTTTTATTTACAGTCCAGATTTGCGAATCGTCGGGCACCCAAGGTAAGCTTCTTATCTTCTTCTAGCCTAGCAACCGACTCCATGGCTGTTCTTGAAGGGACAAAGGATGGGAATAAGATTCATATCCAAAAAAGCTTTCTGCGTCTTCTTTCTTCTTCTCCATCCCTGCTCACAAATTTGAGCCGGCCAGTTTTTCAAAAACCGCTCCGGTTTCCGGTTAAATGGCCGGCTTGAAGCGGTCCAAGGCGGCTCAAATGATAAAGCGGCCGAATCATGTGAAACGAGCCGAGAAGTGTCCCGGTCACCAGCTGGACCGGTTTGACCATCCGGTCCGATCCGGTTTTAAAAACACTGCTTCTAAGAGAAGCATTGAACCTTGGATTTTTTGGGTTAAATAAGTGAGTCTGGGCTTTGCCATGAAGGACGGGCAAGTCTGGGCTCATATCTGCCCTCCTAATTCGTATTTTTTGTCAGGTGAGATGTATGAGCCCGATTCGTTTTTCCTTTTCGGTGATATGGGTCCTCATGTTTTTAATGTCATGTGGAAAATCTATCATATATTATGCACAAAAGGAAAGAAAAAATAAAAGCAATTTATATTATTTACTAATTAATGATTAACCATTACCCGGCTCGTTTTCTAATTTCGTAAGTTAATACACGCGCTATACTGAGAGTCTCGCTCCAAAAGTTCTCAGTGCAATGAGAAACCCAAGTGTTTTCCGGTGAACCTCCAACGGAATGGTAAAGTCTAAGAATTTATCATTCAACTAGGAAGAAATCTCACATATTTTCTGGTTAATTCCTTAAAAAATCGATGCAAATTATTCTGAAGATAATTCGAAAGTGATGATTTCATTTTTTTTCCCCAATTAAAAAGGAAGTTGATGGTGAACCTCCAACGGGAGGGTGAAAAAGAAAAACAGAATAAGTAAATGAAAGCAAACCCAGACTTGTCACCAAGACCATGGAAGAAACATGGTATTTTAGATGTAATCGGCACAGAATTCTTTATTGATACCATATCTGACTCCATTCATATTCTGCCGTTGAAATGTCTCTTGCGGTGTGAGATACAAGTCACACACACGCACACCCATTTCCAGAAATGCAATGGGAACTTAATTTGTGCTCCATGGGTGAGATAAAACAGCATCATTTACAACGTAACATGCAAATAATATAACTACGTGGGCCTGTGGGTCTTGAGAATTGACGACTTGTCCTCAAATAAATTGAATGAAGAGGGAATCCCGTAGCAACACATACGGCTAAATGAACAGAGGACCCTTTGGCAGCTTTGTCCTTGTACGACGATGTCAGCTGTAGATTTCTCATGTTTTCCCCATTTGCCTGTACGGGTGTCTGCGTTTGAGCGTTCTTTTCCTCGTATGAATGGCCTGCTGTGTGTGTCGGTGATTGGTTCTAAACATGTGAAACTGGTCAAACACCGACAAATCACACCTAAATACCCCAGACCCATATTGCCACATACATTTTTTATGTGAGATTTTTATCGCCTCATGGGTTGGGGATTTCGTTTGCCTCCTTTTGTGACCGCACACGAAACTACGATCCACATCAAACTGGCTTCATCACAACGTGGTTGGTCCCACATAGTTTGTCTGGTAGCAGCAGCATCAGTCATCACAGCCAAACAAGAAGCCTTCTCTCTGTTTAGTACCAATCAGTGTTTAACACTTGGGATCACCACATTGCATATGCACCATCCACTCATCTTTCTCACTTGTCATCTCATCCGCTTGCATGCTTCACACAACTTTTTGGCCCTCAATTTCATACTCATTTCCCTTTGTGCCATTGAGCTGGATTCATGGAACTCTCGTCATACACACACAGATTCTGATAAAAAAAAATCTTGATCTGAATTAGTCGTTTGCTGGGGTACCTGGTAATAAGATTTAGAAAGACAAAACCTCCGGACACCGAGAGCTCCAAAGGAGTTTAAAAAAAAAATCACTTCCATGCTCTCTAATTAGTCTCTTCTTGCCTTTTGTTTCTGTTATCATGTCTTTCTCACTAAGAGCTTCTTAATTAATCTTGTCTATATTACCAAATTAAGTAGCTTCTACATTAATCTCAAAATCCTGCTTCCTTACCAATGGGATCCTTCAATTAATTGCGAACATAACCTTCCAAACAGATATATCGAATTAGTTTGCTTGAATGTTATTTTCTCAACTCAACTTAGGTTTCATTTCTTTTGAGAGAGTATGCTGTAACCGATATACAGAATTTAGAATGCACCGACTTAATATGGAAAGATGCACTCCTCATGTAATCTAATCATATCTGTAAACTCTATTTAATAATATCAAAAATTAATTAATAATGATGTGATATATTTTATTTTAACAGATTTAGCTTATATTGGGTTCCATCTTTTTTTGCTGCCCATGCCATTATTTATATATTATTTTGATTATGATATGATATGGACCCATATGACTTATCTCTTGCTTGAATAATGAATATTCGTATTATTATGCCTGTGCATTGTACATGCTATGATTTCTAGTTTTAAAAATCCTAATAAACCTGGACGAATGTATGTACAATTAATTTAAACAAAAAGAGTTATTGAAAAAGATTTTTTTGGGTCAATATTAACAAGGTTGACTTTAATTGTAGATCCAACAACTTTCTTCTGTGCTCAGATCTTTCTCAATCTAGCTAATAAATACATTCATTCTAAAGAAGATGAACTGGGGAGTCTCAGCCACGTTCTTCACATAAATACTCATAACTCCATCGTTAAAATATTCGATATTTAATTGGAAATAATTACCGGATAGTCAACTAGTTTGATCCTTCACACACACACACACACACACACACATTAAATGGAGTTTGAAATTGAAGTGATGCTGAGTTTTTTAATTAGACAAAAGTTTGCCAGGGAATCTTCCTTTACTCGCGACGCAAGCTTAAATTATTGTAGTCAAAATTCCAACCTAAATTAGGTACAGTTCTATTGATACTATGGTGATTATAAGTGGTGGTGTTTCCACTAGATGTGTGTGTGTATTTAATATAAAAGATTTGAAAAAATTTTGTAACATGCATGAAAACCTAATTAACCAAAAAAAAATAGTGGAATAATAAGGTGGGGTTTCAATAGCAATTAATATTTTAGGATTATTCTTCTAAACTATCAATCTGATGTGCTTCGTGAATCAAGTGCAGGGAGACAAAATTGTATCTGTACGTATGTATTGAATGGAAAACTGGGGGACCAATGATGCTGTAAATTAAACTTGATTTCATGTTCCACCAAACATCAAATGCATTTAATTTTAATTTCTCTATTAATGCATGGCGCATGCCATGCCACAATTAAGGAAGGTATTGAATTGATAGATTGGCCATAACTCATAAGATGGTTGGTAAATCTGAATATCTAGTATTAGACATATGTCCCTAGCTACTTCTTAAATTTAATTGATTTTAATGAATGATAGACAATTAACTTAATCTGTTGACTCTCATTTTATGATAATCAAATTTAGGTTACGTTAGACGGCCAGTATCTGCAATGAGTGTTGAAATTTATAATGGGCTTGTACCAATTCCTCTTCTGATAATGGAACCAAGCAACACTTGTCGGTTTTGAAATTGAAAACTGGGTAAAAATATAAACGGTATCACTGTTTTTATCATCTCCATCATAGATTTATTATTATTAACGGTATCTATCTATTTTTGCTATTTTTTAAAGTGAATGTATCATGATTATTTTCACATTGATTTTATATATTTCTTTGTTATTTTCATATGTAGGAAATGATCTTATATATCAACAAACTTATCAAATACAATAAAGAATGTCATTAATAGAAGATTTTGATGCTCTAGAGATTCATGCTAAATTTTGAACACAGACACAAGCCTAACCCACCCTAATCAATTTTTCCCCTTTAAAAATGGAGGGCTTGGAGATGACAATCATCATGATTCGTACAGTTACAGGTGAATATTTCGTTAATGAAAAAAAATGAATCAGAGGTAAGCTGGGTACTATGCAATGGATAATCGCTCCTTTTGGTTGACAGAAAAAAATATTTTTTTTTATCTTCTATTATTGGTGAGAAATTAAATTATCATTTTTTGCACGGAACATTTAAATATTGAGATTTTGGATTATTAATGTAAGGAAATTGAAAACGGACCTTTTTTTAAATATAAATTGAGATTCATTCACACAATTTTTATATATTCAAAATTCAATTAGTCAAATGTTGACAAAAAAACAAACAAATCAATGAGTACAATGGCAACACAAGTCGGTGAAATATTACCTCCAACCCTTAATATAAGACTTTATTTGATTTTTATTTTGTTACCAAATATAAGATCCTTATCCCCTTTGTCTCTCCTATCTATATATTTTTTCTAAGGTAATTCTTCTAATAATGGTAGTTCTAGCCAATATACTTGATTAGTAAAGATATTTTAAGAAAGATAATACCTATTTATTACAACTAACTAATTAAATTTATTTTCTTAACCTACACAGATTAACTAACTAACTTTTATATTTAGTACCAGAGCTAATAATAAACTTTGGATAGTGAATACTGAGGGGGTGACAAAAAGTTGTGGTGAGTGAAGTGAATTTTGTATTGGGATATCAAAGAATGCAGCTGTAGGGGTGGAATTTTGGATGAAGTGAAATGTATCATAATAATAACAACAACAGCAACGATGATAATCAATGAAAATAAATTAACCTTTTTTGTTAAAAAAAAAAAGTTGTATTAGTCATGATTCGCAATTAATTGAGATAGCTAGCTTGTTAGGATTGTGTCTTTGTTCTATTCTTTTCATATAATGTTAGCACATCTCTACTTATGCTAGAAAGGATTGTTACAAAGTCTCAAATAACGAATATAATTACTACAAAGTCATAATAATAATAGAGTAATATGTAATAATAAGTTTTAGAATAATAAATAATAATTACTCGCTTGTTATTGAGACTAATTAGACATTATATTGTTTTGGGATCTCATTTTAAATCTCCCAATAAAATAAAAAGGCCTCATGGTTTTAACTGCTAATTGACCTCTCTCACGCGACTCCGAATTTTTATAATATAAATGAAAATACGCTCCTGGCTAGATTTCACCTCAGATTTAGATGCATATAAATTTGTATTGTAGAACCAGAGATGGATGACGCTGTCTCGAATATTACAAAACGCCACCGATCTCAGTGAGTCTTGAGCTATTTGGTTGAATATATAATATAATATAATATATATGTGTATATATGTTAATTCAATATTATAAATAAAATATACTTGTTAAATAAATATGCATATACTTGCTTGACTTGGAAGTTGAGAGCGTGTATTGGACAACAACATCATCACAGATTCTTATTTCCACCAAACACCGCCCCATGCTCTCTCTACATGTGCCTGCCTCGTCTTCGCTATTTATTAAAATTGTTCCAGCATTTCTGTTCCTTTTTAATCATCCGAATTCCACCCACGGAACGTTCATTCTCACTGGCATCAACAATCTCATGCATTCTTGTTTATAGTTTGAAAATATGCATATTGACTCCACCAATATCCATTTCAAATGTTTGGACAACGTGTTAAGTAATTAGTACTACTTCTAGTCTTTAATATAAGGCTTTGTTTGACTTTTATTTTGGTACTAAATATAAGACATCAATTCACTTTGTCTCTCATATTTATGTATTTTTTTCAAGGTACTCCCTCCGTTCCTTATTATAAGAGACATTTGATGCTTATGGCATGTTCCTATATATAAGAGACACTTACAAGTTGTCTCTACTTTTTTGCGTTGATTTACTATTTTACCCATATTTATTATCTCCAACTTACACTCTCTCTCCCTCTCACTTCTCTTTCTTTTAATAATTTAATTGTTCTCTCTCATGCTCTCTCTCCTTATTAATGAGGGCATTTTTGGAAAAAAATTATACTTTTTACACATTAATTGTTTTTAACTAATTTTAACTGTTTTTTTGATCAACGTACTTCGGTTATTTGTCTCTTATAATAAAGAACGGAGGGAGTAGTCTTTATAACAATGATGGTTCCTGCTAATACACTTAATTAGTAAGGATATTTTAGGAAACACAATACCTATTTATTACAAATAACTAACTTAACTTCTTTTCCTTAATATTCTCAAATTAGTCAACTAGTTCTTACAATTAAGATCGGAGGTAGTATTACATAAGTTCCTAAAATTGAATCCGTTAATTTATTAGTTTTTAAGAATTGTAAAGACTAAATATATATACAAAAAAAACAAATTATGCGGAATTATGATGTGTGTGTGTGTCGTTATTGTGAGCTGGAGTTGGGAATATGTATAGATGCAGAAGATATAACAGTGGGGAATCCATGATTGCAACTCACATGGATGCATGTTTGCGGAATCAAAAAAGAAACAAAAGTGTGTGTGTGTGTGTGTGTGAGTTTATAAGGCATAAAGATGGAAGTACGAACCATTTTCTTTGGTTTTTTTTTTTTGGGGTCAGATAGTGCGAACCATTTTCTAATTCTTCTCACTTGGGGGAGAATCAGAGAGGAGAAGAGGAAATGAACAATTTTGATAAGCTCGATTGAAAGAAATTAAAAAGGCAGGCTTATAAAATTTGGAGAAAGAATATGTAAGATAAACTTAAAATGAATGCATAATGAAGGCAGCGTAAAGTTATAGGGTGCTTAGCCTGTTGAGTCATGAGCCATTATTGTTGCTATGTACAGTACTCCACATGAATATGCCTCTTGATGAGTTCCCCCACAGTTTGATTTGCGGCCAACATTAATCAGCCACACTCAGCCTTATCTATTAATGATGTTCACTGAAACTCCTTCCTTCTATTTCCTGTTTTGGTATGTTTTAGTCTTAACACTGACACTGATGTCTGATGATCAGTGTTACCTGCAGCATTGACGCCTTCCCGCATCATAATTAATATTCATCACATGCATCAACATCATCATTATTATCCCAACCAACACTCTTCATGTAAGAACTCAGTTTAATGAATGCCTCAGCCTTACATTCTCACTCTTTATCTGCTTCCCTACTAACATTACCACTTCATACAATTTGCAAAATACCACAACGACCCCATGACATGTGGTGTTTCATCACAACACACACACAAACGTACATAGATTGAATTAGCCAGTATGTATGAATTATAGATGAATGTGCAGCTGGGCATGATTGATTATATTCATCATGATAGGAAGGCATCTCCAAAAGCCAAAGACAATCCACCAAAAAGCAAAAGGCATAAATTAAGCCAAATTGACCTTTGCAAAATAAATGAAAAACAAAATGTTATAACAGGGCCAGCAAATGAATATTGAAACTCATGTAATAATTTTGTTGCAATTACTTTTCTGTGATGTTCTTAAAAGAGTATGAATCAGAGGGCTGAGATCGACCGCCTTCGCACCAGACCCCACCCGCCATTATTACTTACACCACCGCCCCTCTCACATCCTCGCCTCCATCCTATCTCCCTTCCGTCCTTCTCTGCCAATCTTATATATATGCCTCAATATTTTACACCGTCTTCTTCACAGGGTACTTCATTGAACCCGGCCACAAACAAAGAAAAAGCAATAATTTAACCAGTAAAAAAAAAATATTTATATATAGAGAGAAAAGCCGGGATGATGGGATGACTATAATCACGAGGATTCCCCGGGCTGCTGGTGGCTCCCGTGGCTTTCCTTTTTTACCCTCGACTGGATCCCGTAATAACTGACGTACCACTTCACGAACTTCTTCAGCCCCGTCGCCAGATCCGTGCTGGGCTTGTACCCGAAGTCTCTGTAAGCCAGGCTCACGTTTGCGTGCGTGTACGGCACATCGCCGTTCCTCGGCATCGTGATCACGTGCTTCTTCGCCTTTGTGCTCAGCAGTCCTTCCAGGATGGACACCAGTCTCCCCACTGGCACCGGCGATGTGTTCCCCAGGTTGTACACCCTCAGCTGTGCCGGCCTCCGCTTCTTGCCCCCGCTCCCCGTGCTCTTCTCCGCAGTGTCCAGCGCCCCCACGCACCCCTTCACCACGTCATCGATGTACGTGAAATCACGCGCCACCTCCTTCGCCTCCTGCGTCTGGTAGATGTCGATGGTCTTCCCCTGCAGTATGTCCTTCGTGAAGAAGAAGTACGCCATGTCGGGTCTGCCCCAGGGGCCGTACACAGTGAAGAATCTCAGTCCGGTCAGGGAGAGTCCGTAAATGTGGTTGTAAGTGTGGGCGATTTCCTCGCCGGCTTTCTTGGTGGCGGCGTAGAGACTCGCCGGCTGATCGGTCCGATGCAGTTCGGAGAACGGGTTTTCGGTGTTGAGGCCGTAGACGGAGCTCGAGGACGCCCAGACAATGGCGGGCTGGGGATTCGCCGCCTTGGCGATCTCCAGAAGGTTGACGAATCCGGCAATGTTGGAGCTCACATACGACTGCGGGTTCTGCATCGCGTAGCGAACCCCGGCCTGAGCGGCGAGGTGGAGGATGTGCGTGAAGGGAACGACGTCGAAGAGTTTAGACAGCAGGGGCCCGTCGTTGAGGTCGCCTTCGACAATGAAGATTTGATGCTTGGAAAGAAGCGCTTGTCTGGCGCGCTTGAGGGAGGGATCGTAGTAGTCGTTGAAGTTATCGAGGCCGAGAACCCCGTCGCCGCGCTTCTTGAGGGCCAGGGAGCAGTGGGAGCCGATGAAGCCGGCAGCACCGGTGACGAGGACGGACATGCCATTGGGGCGGCGAGGGGCGGAGGAGTGGCGGACCTGCTTCTCCCAGGCGGCGCCGGCGCCGTAGAAAGCGGAGGAGAGGAAGTTGTGGCGGGTGTGGAAATGGTGGGGGGGAGTGTCGGAAAGAGGGGGGTAATTCAGGGTAAAGAGGAAGACCAGGACGAGAGCGACGAGGAGAGTGGCGCGGAAGAGAAGCTTGGAGGAAGCATTGAGAAGCTTGGTGTTATTGATGCGGCGGAGGTAGCTGTTGTAACGCTCGAGTTTCATGGTCTTGCTGGTGTCAGGCGGGGAACCCATTACGGAAGATGAGGATCGGTGGGGTGAAGAGGGATGGATTTGAATGGGAATGGAGATGAAAAGGGCTGATCAGCAGGGCAGGGAGGGGGGGCTCCAAGGAAGAAGAGAGAGAATTGAGGTTAGAGCCCTGAAGATGAGAGCAGCATGAGAGGGGTCATATAAAGACAGAGGCGATGAGAGAGAGGGGGGGATGGTTGGAGGCCACTTCCTTTTTCTGTTATTAACTCTTCTCACTGTCACACCGATGGGAAGTTGTATTTCCTGTTCCTCTATTGTTTTTATTTTGGCAAATCATTTTTCATAATTATAATTAATCATAATATGTACTACAAGAATACAGAACCAGAAACAGGGATAGATCACGGAAGTCGCCCGTGTATTTGAAAGTAACCATTGCCCATTGGCGTTGAAGTAAAAGAATTGTCTGAAGTGATGGAGTCATGTCAACAAATTTACTCCGTCATCATGTCGGCATCAAAACAATTTTAATCCCACATTCCCACATACGTTTATTTCCATTGGAAAAAAATATGTAAAATTGAGGGGAAAGTTATATTGGGTGATATAAAAAATAGTTTTTTTTTTTTTGGTTGGGTGAATGAGTGACATAAAAAGTACAGTAACTTAATTCTGATGTGTTTGCATATTCGGAGTGAATAGGAAAAAGGGGAGAAGGAAGGGAGAGAGGGGAAGGAGACGGACAGCTATGGATGAGCGAAGAACAGGGAGGCCATGTGAGGATCCCGTGTTCCCACTTTTTGTATTTTTTGTGAAGTTTGATTTCCCGAGTGCTATAAATTACATAGTCACTCACTATTCCTATTTATATTCACCCATTTTTTGTTTAATAAAAGAAAGGCATACGTGTGTTAGATTAACTGCTTGAAGATAACAATAATAATAATAATTAATTGCAGGGGTAAAACCATTGGCATGACCCATCCCGCGGAGTTTGGCCCCTTGGCATTAATTTATTATTAGGCCACCCCCCACCCCTTCCCTTTGCATCGCTTCCGACCTCACTGTTCATATGTCTTATTTTAACATCAGCAGCTGATAAACGCTCTCAATGTCGGACCGAATTCACAAATAGAGGTAATAATTAGGCACACAAATAACGAATGTAGGAGGAGGTGGACAACGAAGGTGGGATTAGATTGAACGGGAAGTGATATGACATGAGGCGTCATGATGAGGGGCCACCGACAGTAATAATAAAAGGATTAGGAATTTAATTGTGAAATGGATTGATGAGCATGCAGGGGAGGGACATCAGCGGACTGGAGATTGGGCGGGATTGAGTTTGGGAGTCTTAATCCTAAAATGACGCCCCCTCCTTATTTCATGCAAAAACACCAAACACCCCCTTCCTTGGTCGCCTCTCTGCTTCTGCATTATTATTAATCCAATTAATCATTCCCCTCCCGTTTTTAGTCCTCCTTTTCACTCAACCATCACCTTGTTTCTGCTTCCCTTTCACATTATTTTTACACCATCACACACAATTACCCTGCTTCATGTTCAAACTTAATTAATGTGATGGTTAAATGTGATGTTTAATACTCCTTTGGTCCTATTTATAGGACAGGAAGAGAATATACTTTTTGTTTCTATTTATAGGATATTAAGAATTTTTTTTTGTATGGATGTATAATTTTACCTCTCATTTATTAGTATATTGATTTTGTTTACATGAGGTATAATGTATATTAAATACGGATAAAGTTGAAAAAAACTTGAATTTTAAATGACAGTTAATGAAATTTAAATTTTTTTTGTTTTATGTGAAATATGATAAAAGTGAATTATAAATAGGACTAGGAATACACATCAAGGTCTTTTTTTAATAAATAATAAATAATCTGATAAATACGCCGATCCAAATTCTTTTTTAATTTCGATGCATATTTACCCCCCAAAAAAAGCACTTTTTTGCATCCCAAATATTATTTAATTTTTTATTCAACATAACTGATGTCGATAGCTTGACTTTTTTTTTTTTGGGTGGGAATAAAACAAAAAAGAATCGGAGTTCATCACATATGCAAAACTCACCACTCGTATACTATATATAGTATAATCATGCCAAACTGCATGTATGGTCATATATATGATTTGCATTGTTGAATAAAAATAATAAAATACCAAGTCAACCTTCGATATGACCATATATTGTTGCTAAATTGAATTCAACAGCAACTTAGATGGGTTCATTTTAATTGTATTTGACAATCAAAATATATTAAAAATTAAAGACTATTCAAATTTACTTGAAGCTCCCCTTCTTGCTGATGCGTATCATATTAATCGCTACGTACTAATAAAAGAGAAAATATTGGAGAGCATAAATTTCCCATATCTATTATACTACTTCCGGCCCTAAATATAAAAGCTAGTTAACTAAGTTGAGTATATTAAGAAAATAAGTTAAGTTAGTTATTTGTAATAAATAGGTGTTGTCTTTCCTAAAATATTCTTGCTAATCAAGTTTATTGGCTAGAACAATCATTATTAAAAGAACTATCTTAGAAAGAAATGAATAAATATGAAAGACATAGTGGATTTGAGTTTTATATTCATGACTAAAATAAAAAGTCAAATAAGATCTTATACTGAAAAACGGAGGTGGTAATTAGCAAGCATCAATTATGTAAACTGACCGGTGCGACTACATTTTATTACTCAACTTAGCCACCTCCCTCGTATATATGTATATGTTTGCCCCAAACGAATGCTTTTCATGTTGCTCAAATCAGCAAATTAATTAAGCACACTAATTTTTGCTAATGATTTGGATTCTAATTAATTAGATTGAGTGACCCTTTAAAGTTGGAGGATGGAAAACATATGCACAGTTGTTCATAAGGGTAATATAGACACTTGCAACTCGTAATTAAGCTCAACGCACACCTGAATGTCATTTTTGAACCAAACAAGAGATTAATATTATAATTGCGACAAATGCAAGTTACTTATTATTACATATAAAATTAGCTTATCATACTTAGCTTGCACTTTCATTCGCATTCAATTGACATAGAGACATACATACATAGAGGGCATGGAATATTAAAGAACCGTCCGTCCGTAACATCTGATCAATTAATGCATATCCAAATAATATATAGTAACTGTGGAAGATGAAAGAGCAGTTCAAAACTTCAAATTACTTAACAGAAATAGAATCAGTTAAAACCAGGTAATATAAATAAATCAGAACGAAAATACAAGTACTACCTCTCGTCCTAATTATAAGACATGGTTTTTTGACTATAAACGAAGTCTTATAATTAAGACCGAAGGTTGTATATTATGATCTGTCTATAAGTAATAAATTGCAAGAGATCAGCATGGATGCGTGCTGATTAAGGCCAATTAATTAACACACACGCTTGGAGTCATTTTCGCCTTTAATTAATTAATTGCCTCCAATAATAATAACTTGATCCCAGCATCTGTCATTGATTTATTACATTTCGTTTACGAATCTTAATGAGAAATAGCACGTAGGCAGTTTCATTGGACATCCATCCATGTACGTTGAAGTAAGTAGGCCGTCAGATCACTCGTTCATTTTCACAGGCCTACATATTTTTCATATTCTTTCCTTTATATCAACCTTCCCTGTCAAAGTTTAATACAATCCCTAACTCTGATGTGCATTGATTCAACTTTTACTATATACATCCCAACATTAATTTTATATTTGTATCTGTGCTTTGCATGCTTTGATTAAGGCCATTTGTTTTTTTTTTCAAAAGGAAGAGTACCAAAAAAAAAAACATAGACTGCGTGCGATTTAACTTTCTATTTGAAAGAGAGTGACAACTTAGCGAATATGGAAGAGGGGTGTGTGGAGGAGAAATTAAAGCTGATTTGCTTACTTGCATGCTAGTTAATATGATATATAAGTGATTGATAGATTTGCGTCGTAATCGATTGAAGACGACGACATGTGTGCGTGCGTATTTTACCACATCAAGACATATCCACGCAATTTTGTGTTGCAGCAGATCAATTCAATTAGAATTTTCTTGATTCGTTACAGTTGTCAATCGATTAGTAATTAAAAAAATATTGGATATTATATTGGATGGTGTGTAATACATAAATGTCTTATAAGTGCAACTCTGCTATGATGAAGACATGTAATAGACAAATTAAAAGAAAACACACACAAATGGCAAGTGAGAATGATGTAGTGGACACACATGGGCCGTGTGTTTTGATTAAGGGTCATAAGGAAGTGTATAGAAAGCAAAGCATCAATTAACAGGAACTGTGCCTCATAATGTGACAAATCAAGATCTTAATCTTTGTTTAAGAGAGATACTCATATTTATTGTCAAACAGTGTCTCGAGTTGAATTACCTCTAATAGTAAAAAGATATATATGCCTAACCACAAAAAAGAAAGAAAGCAAGCAAGCAAAGCGTCTTAACAGTCATTAAGTTCACTTGATTTTTGACAGATGATGTATGATAATATCAATATATATATATATATATATATGGAGAGAGAGAGAGAGGGATATCATTTGAAAGGGTTTAGATATAGAAACGGGATGGAAGCATGAATGATTAGAGGGATAATAAGGAGGGAGCAGCACTAAACACTGCATGTGATTAGGTATCACCGACGCCTCCGAAAGTCACTGATCAATATGAGCCACTTTTCTATATTCTACATTCCTCTTTTAATTCTCTATATTCCAAAAAATTATAATTCTCTCTGCTTTTTTTTTTTTAAATTTTTTTCCTTTACTTTAGAGGCAATACGCCGATTATAATTGATAAAACGCACTGCTTTTTGAATAAGTTGATATTATATATTGAGACGCTGTTAAAGTAATATTGATTAATGATTGGTAGTCCCGTACTGATACATGGATCAGCGGTGCTGGGGCAGGAAGATGGAGTTAATTAAACTTTGACTTCAGTTGATGTTTAGTTTATTTCAATATTGTGCGTGTTTTCTTATTGATATTCCGTTCATCTGGTCAAATACTATAATAAATATCTAACGAGATCGATCACATAAGAAAAAATCCATATATATATATATATATATATCTAATACGTAGAGGTAGACGCTTGGGAAGAGAATGAATGAGAGAGTTATTTTAAAGATGAATGTCCACAATCAAAATTTAACTTATGTTAAATAGTTTAATATGTGGAATTTAAAAAAGATGTAAAACAAACAAGAAAAAAGGGACAAAATATGAAGTGAAAGCATGCTAGGGTAATGGACGGATTACACGTACATAAGGGTTTCACATGGAGCACATGCAATGCTGAAATGATGTGTGTTCCACATATATATGGGGGTGTTTGGAAGCAACCAAGAAGCACTTTTCTGTAAAACAAGACAAATTTCTTCACATATTTACTTCGTACACCGTAAAAAACATGTTTAAAATAATGATTTTGATTTTATTCAAACACCCCTTGTCTTTAATACTGATCCAGATGACCAATCCCAAATATTTAAATGCATATTTATTATTATAAACATATTACCTCTTATCTTTAATATAAGAGCTTGTTGACTAATTTGATTAGATTAAAAAAATTAGTTAAGTTTGTTATTTGTAATAAATAAATTTTATTTTTCCTGAAATACTCTTACCAATCAAGTGTATTGATTATAGCACTACCATTATTACAATAACTATTTAAAAAATAGATAAATATAAAAAAATAAAATAAATTAAGATCTTATATTTAAAATTAAAAAAATTAAATAAATTTTTATATTAAGTATGGGAGGTAGCATATAGTTTGCTTGCAGGAGCATCTCAAAACATTAAGTTGGCACACTCTTTTAATGAGGCCACTCTGAGGCTGATAATCCACAGTTCAGATGTGTGTTTTTAGTAAGCATTGGGTGTAAAAGAGGGAGGCCCGCTTTGAGTTGGTGTTGATAAAGAGAAGTGATGAAGGATGATGTAATAGATAAAAGGCGCGTGTATGTGTGGGGCTCTTTTATTGAATTGCAGGATGGGCCCACTCCCTCACCAACAATATGCGAAATCTCCAGGAACCTTCACGTACTATTACACACACACACACACACACAGGGCATCGGGTGCCTTGTGGAGGGCCGTGTCCTCTTTAACTTTTTCCCATTTTCATCACATCCCCACCACTTCCTTTTCTTCGTTTTTCATGGTAATTAATATACTGCCTCAACAAGTTAGATAATTAATTTATATCAATTAAATAATGTGTCCATTCATAAAAATCTTCCTTTAATTTGTGTAACTAATATAAATAATTTGTGAAAAATTATAAACCTGAGAGATAACAGGGAGAATTAGAATCTTATATCTAGAGTATATAATTGAGTAAAATATATCAAATATATATAATGTGGCATATATATGTATGTATATTCACGAAATCATTGATTGGGCTTTAATTTGCTGATATTTTAGGCTTTGGGAATGTCTGAGACCACAGATACCAATAATGAAGACCATTATATATATATATATATATATATATTGTGCGAATCATCAATCCATATTCGTTTTAATGCGATTTCGTTTATTCAAATATCTCATCAATCGCAAGACAAACCAATAAAATATAAAGTCTGATGAAGAATTACATGGGAATTGAGCAACCTAATGATTACTGCGAATCTCATCATGCATTATTCGCAGCACAAGAGCATTCACTGGGGTCACAAAAGTCTGATTCTAATTGGGTCTGGCCTTTCATGGGGCATTAATAATGTTTTCCTCTAAATGTTTTCTTTTTGCTTAAATCCCATTTTAGTCGGCACTTGTGTTTAGAATGGATCTACTTCCAGCCAAAGTAACACAACGCAGAGCTACCTTTGACTTTGTTGCGGTTTTCTTTTGAATTGGATTGCTGATCCTAATTAAGTGGGGTTAAGTATGTTTTGGTTCCCATTAATTAATTATTATTATGTGAATTGCTGCATCAAAACATACAAATTTGAAACAAATATTTTATATATATTTAGGTCTTGCTTTCTGTTGAATCAACCTCACGGAAAGCGCCGCTTGGTGGAAACACGTTTGTCCTTTGTTGAATTTGCAAAATTTAACCACCGCATCAAGCTTAAAAGTGAATTCACAGATTCTATGCCCAAAACTAGTCCTCGTTTTTCAGTAAGAAACAAAACCAAAAACTCAAAAAAAAAATAATAATAATAATTAGAAGCTTTGGCCTTTAAGCTGCTTTTTGAAAAATCCGACAGAGTGGTGGGGCCACATTTGACTTTATTATCCATTTTAGGGGCAACGAAAGACTCGGTTGGCTTCTTCCACTCGCATTTCTTTCTGTGCTTCCACACTTACCACTCCAATGATCTCCATTTTCCTCCAACACTTATCCATTCTCTAGTCTTGGCTCCTTCCAACTAATATTTCTAAATTAATCCAATTTACCAAATTAGAAAACCTCAATGGCTAATCACGTTATTATGCAGAGAAGGGGCAGAGGAGTTCGTGATGGATTGGAGGACACTACAAAGGATCTGTCAATATATAATGCATTAATTGATGTGAATGGCCAAGAGATTTAATGAATGAATAGGGATGGATGTGAATGTGGGGAAGCCTTAGGGCTGTTAAACTCTGGAAACCTGAGAAGCAGATGAAGCCTTTCTATCTATCTATGTGAGCATATTGCTGTTCCCTTGAATCACAACAGAGCAGTAAAAGCAAAGGATGATTCAAATTTATTGCAGATTTACGGTGAGGCCGATTGAGAGCGACGAGGGTGAGTTTCGTGGCTAATAATTGGTTGCTTTTGAGCTCATTCACATTCACGTAACTCCTACATACTCTATATATCTATGAGTATGATAATGTCATCATATAAATGCCACACATCATTTCACTTTCCCCGTCTCACTTCCCAACACGTTTCCACTTACTGTTGCATTTGTCGTTTTCTCTTCTCAATGCCCTCCACCATCCTTCTCTCTCTGTCGGCACCCCTCCCGTCTTCGCTTCCTTCCATTTTTAACTTTTCCCTTTAGCCAACCAATCTTTCTCTTTTTAGTTTTTACCACGCCAAACCTGTTACTATCGTAGCTAGCTCTGAAATTATGAATACACAGTTCGTTTGCATTCTCCGGCTGATCTTTTATGTTTAAAGCAACTAGAATGGCGTTATTAACAACAACAAAAAGTGATTAAACTGACCCACAAAACTTCCCTGTTTCTAGTTCCTTCCGCAGGCTTTGGATGCCAACCTGAGAACGTATATCCAAATCTTTGACCACCCACTTCACCCAATATGTATAATTGGCTAAAGAGACATCAGATTCATTATATCATGGTTCATGATCAGTTTCAAATGTACTTCTCCTGCCATTCACACTGATCAAATAAAGTATTTTGGCTTCCACATCAAACTTATTCTACACTTCACGCGCACTGACCCTACTTGTTGGCTTCTCATCCCCCCCCCCTCCCCCCAAAAAAAATATTTGCACATTTCATGTCATACTCCTTTCCATTCAATCGTATTCCCTTTCTTAGACTTCGCACCAATTGTCACCTCATTTCAAATTTTGAGAAACGTATTATCACTTCTCGCTCACATATTCTTTTATCTCGTTCTTGTTATTCTTGTCTTTGCTCCTTCGTTCTTACCAATATCCTCTTGAATAATAGATTCATCGTTATAATCACAAACTGCAATTTATAAACCTGGACTTTAAAGGAGAGTTCGGCTCACCTGAAAACCGTTATATCCTCTAACACCTGGCTTTTGGATATTTGGTTTGGGCAGTGGCTATCTTTGCGTCTTTAAAGTGCGTATTGCAATTTATGGTTGGTCTTTTCAAGGTGTTTGGTGTTGATGCCAATACTGATGTGAATTGTCTGACTATAATTTACGACAAATAACAGGACCCTTTTATTTTGAGGGGCAAAACGTGGATGACACTGGGCCCTTTAGATGCTTTGATGTGATGAGTGTACAGTGTTTAGCTACGCCCCCTGGTTTTTTCAATCGCCCCTACGCATAACTTCAAGATTTTTCAGATGGGTATTTTTTTCCAAATTATTTGCTTTCCATAAAAGTAATTCACATGAGATCTTAACTGAACAGACAAATACATATAGCCACATGTAACGGCTATTTCGATTTCAATTAGCTGAGAAATGTCTCCAAAATGGGATATTTTCTATACGTTTATAAATTAATACTGAATGGAATGTGTAATGATGATCAAACAATTTCGTTTCATTGTTGCTTTATATCTTCAACTCTCCCCTCAACAGCAGCTAGTTGGTGATCCGGGAGTTCCTTAATCACCTGCATTAGAATAAAGTAACTCTTCTGCTTTATGATAGAATGGATATCCACTGTAAAGTGACGATGATATGACTAGAACACAACATTAAGTGGCATCGAATCACAATAATACTTGAGTGGCGTTTGGTATTCACCTGATAGAGATACCAAGAGACATAAGCATCAATGGCAGCATAATCTAGTTGCTGCTCCGATAACGGAAGAGCTTCCCAATTTCCCAGTCTTATTTTGGAGGGTTTCTTCAGCTGCAAATTTACATGTCCAATGTTGTCAACTGGAATGTTCCAAAGTTATACATAGACTGTGGAGGTAAAGATCACACCGGTTCAAAACCCACAAATTGCATGTTTGTTGTCTACATGTGGGACTCGTTAGAAAATGATGACAAAATGTATGTTCGCAATAATTAGTTGGCTTACGCAACATAGAAGACTGCATTAAAAAAATGCATCAATGAAAAAAATGGCATCCGAATTCCAACTTTTACAACACGTTTGATGCTTTGGGCTGGATTACGGAGACCGGATTTGAAACAAACCTGTTTGGATAATAGTTTCTCAGTCAATGATGTAAGACCAAAGCTCTGAATATCTCCAACTAGCTTCTGTTTTGCAAGAAAAGAAAGATCTTCTACACCTTTGATAGATATTTCATAATCTTTAAAAAACTTGCGAGCATCACCGCCAATGCCAACCCCAGCCTGTGCATATACCATTGTATTAATAGTTACAATTAATAATTAATGCCTTTAAATAGAAAGATCAAAACGAGAAAAAGAAAAAGCTTTCATCTTGAAAATTCATGAACCTTCAAAATTGTAGGGTCTTCAAGCAAAAGCTTAAGACTTGGTGGGATTCCAGAATGGATTATATGTAGAACATGACAACGATCAGTGTCATCACATATCTGCATCACTGCTACCTTCCCATTCGGAACACCTATGGAAAGTTTTACATAATATTGATTCAGTAATTGTGACATTCTCTTTCATAGAATTAAGGTTTTCTCAGGGCAGCAACGATGACACTGATCATTTTAAACCAATAAAAATATCACCACAGGAACACAACCTAATTTCCAAGATAGCACCAAATTTTGTGCGAAGACAGATTTTCAACACAAAGTAATCAATAGTATATTCTCTGCATTTTAAGTCCAAAGGGCCTTCACAGGAATGAATCATGAGTAATAATCGGAAAGCGTTGCAAGTCTAGTTCTTCTCCAGTTTAGATAAACAACATTAAGAAAGTCAGTGTTCGAAACTTGGTGCAGTAAATCTTGAGACTTATATTGCAAAATTATAATTATAATCATATTACATTTTCTAATGCTTGGAGGGAAGTTCCAGGACTACTCATGTCATAATTGTGATTAAATGGTGCAGTTATGGATCATACTTCGCCCATAAAAGGCATGTGAGGATCCTTCACTCCTCATGTGTCAGGCTTCTGAATAAGTAGAAGAACTTGAGTTCCTACTTCTCTACTCCCCCCCCCCCAAAGGTTCCATCTATTTCTCTTTCTCTCCCATCTTTCATAACAGTGATATCAGAGTGGGTCGTTCCAACATGAAGGAAATGGACACAAAGCAGGTTCACATCTTAGCAATGGAGATGCAGAAGGCAAAGGGACTTCCGCAGTTACATGCGTGGCGATCTTCATATAGGGCATATTGCCCTCGCTTCTAGTCCTTGGGTTTCTGGCTTGGTCTTTGCCTATTCCTTTGCATTAAAAAAAAAAAAGGGGAGGAGTTATGTGTTGTGACGATGGTAAGCATATTTGAGGGAATTACAGGCCTTGTTGCTAAAGGACGTCTGAGATGCTACGGAGAAGAGGCCAGGACACTGATCACTTTTCTTCTAGATGAATATGGAATAACCCAAAAAGAATATTACAGGAATGCTTAAAATAAATTTGTCAGCTAATCTCGCAAAAAAAAAAATCTCGTTAAGAGTAGCAACACTTGAATATCCCTCTCGATCTTTCACTAAAGAAAACTGCAAACTATAAGACTATGAGAATGGACAATATGGGAACAGTGCAGTAAACCTGCAGCAAAACAAACTCCCAGAGCAGCTAAAGTAGTTGGATCATACCCCTTCTTTAATGTCACATAACAAATATAACAGTGAAGCGCAAATATAATAGCCCAAAATCAGCAGAATATGACCTTAAACGTAAACGATCCAAGGAGTGTGATCCTACGATGTTCTAGGAAAACGCTAAATGCACCTAAATAAGAAACCAGTTACGTGCATGACAGCAGCTCATGGGATATCAAGATCAATCGTCAACCCTCCATCCTAGGTCTACAAATTATGTAACAATAGAGATGTAAATGCGGCAAATTTTGTAGACCTAATGCAAACAGAAAAATTATGAACTTAAGGAACAGCTGAACTGACCTCTTCTAAACGACGGTCTCCACTCAATGTCAAGCCCAAGTACAATTTGTTCCATGTTTTTTTTCTTAGCATCCAGCCCATTTAGGAGCTCCAGTGCAGCCTTCTCCACACCATTGGCAGTTTTACTGTACATGATTTTGCCAGCAAACTTCATTATAGGTAATCTCATTTTCGAATAGCCTGTAAAAGAATAATATAAATATTCCTAGTCCGAACAGAAAAATGAGAGGAAACATAAAGCTCATTTTAGCAGTTTATTTAAGATGCAACTCTCAGGGATGAAGAAAAGGCACGTATCAAGGCTCTTCCGCAAGGTGAGCAATATCTAGAGGTTTCCCCCACTCCGCACTCACACAAGCAGCTCAGAACTATTGAGACATTGCACTTGTATAATCAGATGGCGGTCCTTTCAAAACATCATAATAGATAGTAGATAGAATAAGAGGTCCTTTGAAAATAAACTGCAGTTGAAACACCCCCCCTTCCTTAAGGGCAGAGAAATGAGATTTAGGCTGTCAAAGACCAGTACGTGAAGACTATAGGCGTATTTTTTCAATTGTTAAAAGACAAATAAAAAAGCGCTCATAATTCCAAGATGAATAAGCTACACTAGATGGTTATTGATGCACCATTAGCATCTGTCGTAAACAGTGGAGTACATTTCCCCATAGCACAAATATGAGCATAAATATCATGCGCTTTCAACAACCGAAGGAAATGAATGAATGGTGCAAGCCGATGCCCGAAATTCTGGCTTTCCATAACATGATTTCCAAATGAAGGCCAAGAATTAAAAGCACTATAAGAGGAGCAGTTCAATAAAGAAAACGGCTGAAAACATGATAACAAAGGAAAGAATCAGCAGGGAAGGAATAAACATGAAGTGATTGAGTTTAGTTCGATATAATGTCCGAAACTTTGTGATCCTAGCGTAACGTACATTTTGTCTATAATAAATTAGAAGCCACGAAAGTAAGAATGAAATAAGTCCCTTTCTGTTAAGAATGAAAAGAAGTCCCTTCCCCCCCCCCCCCCCCCCCGGGGGGCGCTCTAAGCTAACTTACATAGAAATTCTTTGCACTTGTTGCAAAATTCAAATAAAAAATGACCCTGCGAACGGCATCAAACAAACAATGCCTCATCATAAATAGAACATACTCGCTATATAAGTTGAGCAAAGTTAAATGACTAATAACTGACTTAAAAATAAAAATTGAGCGAGATACCGAAGCTGCGGAGCTGGATAGAGATTGGCCTTAATTAAAAAAAAAAAAAAAAACCCCGGAAACAACCCCCGGGAAAAAGAATCTCGTGACCAACATTTTTCAATAAAAATGGAAGTAGGAAGAATGAAGTCGAGGAGTGAAACGAGTTTGAGGGAGAGAGAAAAAGAAAACCTTGGCAAGGTGACAAAGAAAACGGAAGAGGGTGTTGAAGAGCGACAAGAGATTTAGGCAAACGGCGGCGGATGCGACGGGAAGAATCGCAGGCGGGAGTGGATGTGCCTGGAACGCAGTGATCTTGGGAGGGATCGAGAGGACGTTTGCTTGGCGGAGAAGATTGAAATTGAGCCTCGATGGCTTGGATGGCATGTAGATCTTGTTCCGACAAAGGTTCATCTTCCAAGTCACAAGTGAAGGAGGCGAACCGTGAAAGACTCTCTCGGCTTTCCATTTTGGTCATGCAGTGTAGTGGATGCAGGGAAGCATTCCTCCGAGAATTGTTCGAACAATCAAACCTAAGCACAGCGCGGTAAATCACTAGGCATGGAAATCAGGGGCGGCATTTGAATTTTGCCATTAGCATCTGTTTTGCCCAAAATGCAACGCAATAATCTATCACTTCTTTATTGATAAAGATTCCATTGATTTCATTCCTTTTCTTTTCTCGCCAACAATATTCATCAAATAATTAAGTCAAAATTCATTAAAAAGATTAACAAATTCCTTGCAATTCTTTGAACATTCGACATTTTGGTCAAACAAAAAAAATTACTTTCAATGCGATTGAATCATTTCCCCGTAAAAGAAAAAGTGCAAGTAATTCGAAAACTACTGAAGTCTCAACAGTTTTATAAAGCTTATCGTGCAGCGACCAAATGTTGATATCAATATCGACACATAACATTGAGATTATAATATAATTATAAATACCAAAAAATGATTAAGAAAAATCCCAAAAAATATATCCCTAAAAATTTCAAAATCCCAAATAAGAATGACTATAAATATGTGTTGTCATGTGCTTTCAAATGTTGTCAATTATTATTAAGATATAGTAAATAAAAATGATTTGAAATTTTGAAATTCAAAAATATTTTCTTTGAATCCTTCCAAATAATTATAACTTACAAATAAATTTTATTTTTTTGGGGTGAAAAACGGGACAAAAGCCCAAACAAATTAAAACAACATGTTCCTAGGCTCAGCACCACCTGATCCGTCCCAACTCCCTGTATCTTAGTCATTCGGCTCAATTAAATATGCATTCATGAACGTGATAAATACTACTTCCGGTCCTAATTATAAGAGTCAGCTGATTAATTTGAGGAGATTAAAAAAGTAAGTTGAGTTAGTTATTTGTCTAAATAAGTGTGGTTTTCCTAAAATATCCTTGCTAATCAAGTGTATTAACTGGAACTATAATTATTAGAAGGATTATCTTGGAAAAAATTGAGTAAATATAAGAGACAAAGTGGATTGGGGTCTTATATTTAGGACCAAAATAAAAGTCAAACAGGGTCTTATATTAAGGATCGGAGATAGTATATAGATTCCTTCTACAGTGTAAAAGACGGCAAGACAGTAAACTTGTAAATAAATTTTTTATTCTTTTTACCTGTAAAAGTTTTATTTGAATAAAATTTGTCTTTGTATAAAAAAATACCTTCATACCTTTTATTCTTTTTTCTTGAGCTCAATTCCATTGGATCCTTTGGTCAGAAACAAATTCCACTGAATCAGCTTGTCATAAACTGCTATTGGACCTCAAAAAATGTAAATGATTACCTCGTAAATGACTGCAAACGCACAAGACTTTTTTTTCCCCCCCTTTCACTCTTACATTCAAAATCCAAAAGGTGAGGAAAAAATTAAATTGATATCGACAAATGCAAAGCATTGCAAATAGACGAATATGTCGAAGTATCACACGCACATTCAGACAGAGAACCACCTGATGTATTCAATATGTTTATTTTTTTGAAGTACACGTGCTTTGTAAAGTATCGGTCCTCTGTGGAACCAGAGACAAAGCCACAGCGAATCTGGGAAGGTCAACTAGGTACCATTCACAGACAAGCTACAACAAAACTGATCCCAGACAATATTGAACGATTACTTTTATTCATTACGAACAAATGAGTACACTAAAATAATCGTTCTTGCTAAAAGCTATATTTGCAGGCGGTAAAAAAACTAGTTTTTGAAATTTCCAACAAAATTTTACATTAAATTTAATATTTTATTATTCTTCTTCAGGCAATATGATATCAGGCTTACAAAACAGAGACTTGAAACTTAAATGAATTGAAAAGAACATTCAGTCAACGCATATGGAACCCAAAAAAGGGTGAAAATAGTTGTATGACTAAAACTGAAACCTAATCCTTGTACTTCATCTCAGAAACTAGGAAGCCGGGCATGTCAAATGAGGCTGCAAACTTCTCCACATCAGCCTTGAGGGCTTCAATATCCTTGTTGTCTATCAAGCCCTTGTTGAAGTCCTTCAGAAGTTTGCCATGTTCGTTCTGGATCTTCAGTGTCAGAGTCACTGCACGGTGAAGGAACTCTCCAATCTGTTCAAAGTCCTTCTCAACCAACCCTCTTGAAGTCATGGCTGGGGCACCTGTAAACCGACCCTTCCATCAATATCTCATTTATAATGCAGGCACACAATACATGAAAGCCATTAACATCATCCATCCACAGACACTGTCGTATCTTTATAGTTTGGTTTGGCAATCCCATGGCATAAGCACTCTTCCACCAAAACCATCAGTAACAAATAAAATGGGTTTGCCATTAAATTACTTCCAACACTGGCTTTTCTAGTGAAAGACGTTATGTAATTTTATGAGGTGCTTTATCAGGCCTGTGTGAAAGCTTGGGTATAATTGACACATCTCACGTGAAGTACTTAGAAACACAAACTCAATCAAGTTCCTCAAACAATAATCATAACATAGTTTTCCAAGTATGCATCTTCCTTCCATCGGTATAGAATGGTCTCAGATTATCAATTGTAAATTCAAGTTCATATAAGTATTCTCACCAATGCGTACTCCTCCAGGAGCCAAAGCACTGCTGTCACCAAAAACAGCATTTTTGTTCACGGTAATGTTACAAAGGTCACAAAGTTTCTCCACCTTGTTGCCTGCAAGTATATAAATTGGTTACGAAAATTGCATTAACAAATAGATAACCACTTTTACCGAGTGATTTGGCTACTTTAGTGAGGAAACGATTTGTTACCGGTCAAACCAAGAGGCCTGAGATCCCACAAGACAAGATGATTCTCAGTTCCTTCAGTGACAAGCTTGTATCCCTTGCCCATCAAGAAATTTCCAAGAGCAACTGCATTGGCCTTAACTTGTTTGGCATAGGCCTTGAACCCAGGTGACATGGCTTGTTTCAGGGCAACAGCAAGAGCACCAATCTGGTGATTGTGAGGACCGCCCTGGAGGGAGGGGAAGACAGCAAAATTGATCTTGTCTTCAAAGTCATAAACCGCACCCTCAGGCTGGCCCTTCTTGGGTGGTTTTGGTCCTTTCCTGTAAAAGATCATACCCGCCCTAGGACCCCTCAAGCTCTTGTGGGTTGTTGTCGTGACCAAGTCACAGTACTCAAAAGGGTTATTAGCTTCCTGTAACAAAAGAGAAGTAATCACTGAGACCGTGAGACCACAAATTTCCAGATTTGTATAATTGATCAAAGATACTTCTGAAGCAAAGATTCAATAAATAAATGAAATGTTCAATTGGTCGCCGTATCTCCAATATAATTGCACCAGCATAGTAACAAGAGTATGAAACTGTCCACTGGTTATCAAAATGCTATTAAAAGGGCAACTAATCATATGCACATCCGGTATCAATTTAACAGGCACACATTCATGTAATGAATAGATCAAGAAGTACAGATCGAATAAAAAGTTTGCTCTATGCATATTTAAGAGCGTAGATCGGCACCATCACTTTCGTCTTTTGTTTTATTCTCTTTTCTTTCAACAAGCAATGAAACAAGGCAATAAAAAGTAAAAACAAAGCAAGATTTAAAGTAGAGAGCTCCTTCGCAGAAGCGATGCAAATCAGAATCACACCAGCATGTAATTTCTTGTTCGGCCACCAGCGATAAAAAGTTAGGCAAACAACAGAAACAAACAAACAGAGTCGAGTAATACAAGGGTTAATCAGAGCTCAACACAGATAATTTTGGGGGGGGGGGGGGGAGATAACACTGAAAGAAAAGCCTGACCTGGGCAGCAACAAGACCACTGATGTGGGCCATATCACAGAGCAAGAGTGCACCACACTTATCCGCAATCGCCCTGAACCTCGCATAATCCCAGTCCCGGGGGTATGCACTTCCACCGCAAATGATCAACTTGGGCCGGAAGTCCAAGGCCTTCTCCTCCAGCTTGTCGTAGTCCAGGTATCCAGTACTTGAATTCACTTTGTAAGGCAAGCTCTCGAAATAAATGGAGGTTGCAGAGATCTTCTTCCCCCCGGCAGTGTAGTACCCATGCGTCAAATGACCGCCAGAGGGCAGATCCAACCCCATGATGCGATCGTGGGGTTGAAGGACGGCCGTGTAGGCGGCGAAATTCGCCGGGGAACCGGAGTACGGCTGAACATTGACGCCCCAATTGGCGGGATCGACGTGGAAGGCCTCGAGAGCACGGGACCTGCAGAGATTCTCGATTTGGTCGATGTACTCGTTGCCACCGTAGTAACGGTTTCCGGGCATGCCTTCGGAGTACTTGTTGGTGAGAGCACTGCCGAGGGCCTCTATGACGGCGAAAGAAGTGAAATTTTCAGATGCAATGAGCTCGATGCCGCGGCATTGACGGCGCTTCTCCTTCTCAATAAGGTCATGGATTTCAGGGTCAACAGCTTTGAGAGGCGTGTTTCCCCAAACTGGAACGGGATCCATGGCCGGAGAGGGGGAAATAGAACGAGAATGCGGAGAGGGGAAAGCAAAGCGTTGATGGAGAGGAGGTAGGCACGAGTGATGTGGTGGCGGATCTGGCGCTTATTAAGGAGTGCCAGCCCACACAAATTTACGGTTTTAGCCTTCTGCGATAAGATTTTTTTTTTTATTGCGGGTGAAATTATCAAACTTTTAGGCAGGGTGCCGCATCGGAGTAGCGATTTCATGGTCATGCTTATTCGCATGTACTCCTAATTATCAATATGTTGTTTTGTCAATAATGATGATGATGATAATATACGTGAATATCAATTAACATGTCTGTACTGTAATATACCGGTACGCGCTGAATGATGTTGTTGTGAATATAATGATTTTACACATGTAATGGTTAAAAACGCAAGTATTTGGATGACCGATAATAAACACCCATGAAGTGGAATTTCGGGGAAATTGATAAACATGTAACAATTTTGAACATGATACGAGTTTTGATGGGCAGGGGCGATGAAGCACACACTGGTGTGGCACCCAAAACAAAATCACAACACATAGAAAGGATTATATTAGACAATAAAGTTGCAAAGCTGCCAACAAATTAAAACATGGGGTTGGAAGTCGTTGCTGCAGGCATGAGGTCATTATGTGAAAACTAGAAAGCGTCATCGTTCCTGGTTCTGGGCATTCGATCGGGGGTAGGTAATGACGCCCTTCAACAACAATAACCCATTAATTAAAAACACACAAAGACAAAGTTGTGCGCGCGGTCTTTGTTGACTACGTACATATAATGCTGCTCAACATTTTTCTGTTATTTGGATTTAATTAGATTCGTTTTCTTATTAGACGATATTATCATATTTATATATACATATATTGCTTCCTTGTTATGCCACTTCATATGATTTTTGTTGCAGTTTTTATTGATAACTTTTTTTAAAATGAATTCTTATATTCATAATTTACACGATAGATATGACAGTATGAAAATTGTCACATGACGGATGAATTTGTTTTTTTAAATGCTCATGAGGGAGATCAGATGCTTTATATACGACCGTGTGATTAAATAAAGGTGCAGTCGAGTTTTCAATATGTAATATATAAATGCTGACGAAATTATAGTCGACTGGCAGTAAAATTCTACCCTTTTTAAAATGGCTAGTCAAACGACGTGCATGCATGTCAATAAATGTATTTTCCCTGGCATTATATTGCACATCGCTGCTACGAGTTCTTGATATATATATGTTTCTCCCCTGCCACTCTCTTATTATGCTCATAATCTAAAAAGGTATTTGATAGAAACTAAACTATAATTTTAAAAGTGTTTTTACAGTATATGAAGTAAATAATAGAGAAATTTGCTTCGTTTTACGAAAATGTGTTCTGAAAAGTACTTTTGGCTACTTCCAAACACCCTTTTGCAGCGTTCTTAATGGAACTTATCATGATCAATATCAAGACATTAATATCTGCAAATTATAAATATCGTAACAAAAGTTCTATTCACAAATAATTCGAAAGACAGTATAGCTAATAATTTCACGAATTTATGAAACAGGTCGAATGATTTATTAGTAAATATATATCTGACTGTGAATATAGTGATGAGAATTCAATTCAAATACTAATATAAAATAGGCACGCTGGCGCTGATAATTTAAATCATGCAACGTCGTCGCTGTAAATAAAAATGCAATTAAAGAGAGAACGAGAGGGTGCAAGGGAAGCAGGGATGAGATGGCGTCGCTGTAAGATCTGGTGGTGCGTTAGGCCATGTTTGGTGGGGAATTATTCAACACTCGAAAACACTGGGGGAGTTGGTGGGGGCATCACAGTCAATTCACCCCCACCAACCCCAGAATCCCACCAGTGCCTTCCCCCTTCCGCCCCTGGCTCTCCAAATCCCACGTACCTGTCACTCGAACTGCTTCACTATCTCCGTTTTTATTCGTTTCATTTCCCTCTGTGGACCCAAAGCGTATGTATGGAAATTGACGTGGACACATAATAAGGAAGGCTAAGGGTTGGGTGGCCTACTCTTAGCTGAGGAAGCGCAAAACCAATATTTGGAGGCTCCCAACCACTGCGTGGCCCCCTTCAATTTTGGTGCTTAATTAACCCAAACCATGGGAACAAAAGAAACATGCGGCCAGGTAGCCGTGAGTGAAGGAAGATTAGCAGTAACCATTGCGATTTGCGAAGGCCAATCCATTTGATATGATATGGAATGGGAGTAGGTGAGGAGGGCAACGTATATGGAAGCCGTCCCTTTTTATATCATATATGCATGTGTGGACCAACTCATTACTAACTATACTCTTTCCTCTCTTCGATCGGCTTCGGTTTGGCATCTCTGCCTTAATGCCATGCCATCACTGAATCCTCTTGCGTCAATTGAATTATTACATATTCTACTCACTCCCTCCGCCAACTTCACCTGCCTACAGTGGCCAACCATGTGCAGAATTTTACATAAATTAACGAACTTAATTAAATGACTTATTTTTTTACGAAATATATCAAAACTACTCTCAATAAAAATCATTAGTTATAGGAATTTAATGAACTAATTCATTTAGTAATATTATGTTAACAAAATTAATGTTTCTCAGATAAAATATGTTATGTTATGAAGCATAATATGCTAGACGTCCTTATTATATAATTACGAAAAAGCGGACGGAGCATCAAATCAAAACATCACCAATATTCATATGATAATGTGCAGTCGAATTTGGCGTGTGTTCTCATTTATGATTTCATCACTTTATCACTTGCGCATTCTGTCACCACCACTAAACTCCTCGACCTCAGATCTAGATCTCTGAATAATCCCCCCAGCATTGGCTCCTTTTATGGTGGGTGTGTGTGTGTGTGTCCTCCTCTCTTCCCGAGAGCCCCTTGTTTTGTGAGTCCTCTTCCCATCCATTTTTCTTTTCATGCCATTGCTGCTATATTCTCATATCCCGGGCGTTGGTGTCGTGTCGGTGGGTTCTTTTGCATATATAGTTGCAAATTGCAAACTGCAAATTGCATCACATGAGCAGGCCCCGCCATCCATCCATCGTTAATCTTTTCTCCCCCCCTATAGTTAACTTTCTATATTTGCTTCAGATTTTATATTAGACTTTTATTTAGGGTATATCTCAAAGTCTTAAAAAACAAATATAATTATTAAAAAATCTTAATAACAATTTAAACAGTCTATAATAACAAGTCTTAAAATAAAAAATATAATTTATAACTCGTCATTCAGATTTATTAGTAGTTATTTTTTTATTGAGATTTTACTATAATTCTCCTTATATGTAATACTTCTTCTAATTTTAATTATAAAAACTCATTTATATAATGACGTGACGAGGTCATCCGGGGGTTGCTTCCACGTCTGTGCATTTACTAATCACAAGCTCACCAACCCCCCGTCCCCATCACACTCGTTCTTCTCATTTCAGGCTTCAGGTGTTGACGCTAAGCATCATATCACCTACTACCATTAAGTAAATGACATTTTAATATATTACTTACTTGTAAAAGCTTCATAATTGGGGGGGAAAAAAAAAGAGCTATACTATCGTGGCTCTGCGCGCAGGTCTCGGCTTCGCAATACATCTCCCTTTCGGCTTCCTGACTCCGTCCCTAATTTTCTGGAGGCTATTTACCACATTAATTTGACCCAAATAGTTCCCGTGAAGCACAGATCTCATTTGACAACGGTAAAACTACAAACTTAAATGCGAATAAATAGCACAATGAGCGCACACACGACGTGTGTATACTTTCGCAAGCTAAAAGGCCTCCCATTTCTTAAGAGCACCTTCTCTGCCAAAAACCAAGGATCTTCTTACCCAGTTATAGCATCCGACCTCTTTCCTTTATTAATAATAACCATTATTATCATTCCGCACACCTAATTTCTTACCTGGAAAGCGCATCAAGGGATCTCCACCGTCCGTCCAATTCCAACCCTTCGAACCTTATTTATACCCTGCTCGCTCTCCCCGTTCTCCTTGCTCTGAGCCCCCCTCACTTCCTCCTCTCCTCTCGGGACGCTGACATATTCCGTTCCCTCCCTTTTCTCACTTCCCATTCCTTTCTCTGCGCAGCCATGTCTCTGCTGGTTGACAAAACCACCGGTGGCCGCGAGTACAAGGTCAGGGACCTGTCTCAGGCCGATTTCGGTCGCCTCGAGATTGATCTCGCCGAGGTCGAAATGCCCGGCCTCATGGCCTGCCGTACTGAATTCGGCCCTTCCCAACCCTTCAAGGGCGCCAGAATCACCGGTTCTCTTCACATGACCATTCAGACCGCCGTCCTCATTGAGACCCTCACCGCTCTCGGTGCCGAAGTCCGTTGGTGTTCCTGCAACATTTTCTCCACTCAGGACCACGCCGCCGCCGCTATTGCCCGCGACAGCGCGTCCGTCTTCGCCTGGAAAGGGGAGACGCTTCAGGAGTACTGGTGGTGCACTGAGCGTTCCCTCGACTGGGGTCCGGGCGGTGGGCCGGATCTCCTTGTCGATGATGGCGGTGACGCTACTCTTTTGATCCATGAGGGTGTTAAGGCCGAAGAGGCCTACGAGAAGACCGGCCAGCTGCCAGATCCGGCTTCTACGGACAATGCCGAGTTTCAGATTGTTCTCACCATCATCAGGGATGGGTTGAAGACTGACCCCAAGAGGTACCACAAAATGAAGCAGAGACTCGTCGGTGTGTCGGAGGAGACCACCACTGGTGTCAAGAGGCTGTACCAGATGCAGGCTAATGGCACGTTGTTGTTCCCTGCCATCAATGTCAACGACTCTGTCACGAAGAGCAAGGTGAGCTCTTCTAGATCCTTTTCCTTGATTCTGATGCATATGATTTTATATCTGGGATTTCGTTCTCGCTATATCAATATACATTCTGGTTATTCGGACCTAACGATGTCTAGGCCTTATGCATTGCATAACTGTATTCATTTGTTGTTAGGAGATCATATCTATTCTGACATCTGGGGCTTGTATGCATCCATTTGCGGTTGACAATTTGCTGAGGTTTCTTAGGCATAGCAGAAGTTAGGTATTAACAGTATGATAAACTGGCGGGAAAGCAATATACAGTTGACCGATTAAATCTCGAATCTATAAGACAATGTGTTTGATATTTACGGTAAAAATAGTTTGTGAAATGTATAAAGTCAATGGATATTTTTATATGTAACTGGCTTTTTGTCATGTATTTGTTGCTAGGCTTTGTAATTTGCAAGTTAACAATGATTAAGTTCTTTCGAAGAGATTCATGAAAACGAGATGGGCTTGAATGTTTACCATTGGGTTACTATTGATTCTATGGGCTTGTTGTATCCAGTTCCCAATATAATTTGCTTCATGCTTGTCATTTTCCGTTTCAACTAATTGGTTGATTGAATCTTCCTGATGACAGTTTGATAACTTGTATGGTTGCCGCCACTCTCTTCCTGATGGATTGATGAGAGCCACTGATGTCATGATTGCTGGGAAGGTTGCTGTTGTATGTGGGTATGGAGATGTTGGTAAGGGTTGTGCTTCTTCCTTGAAGCAGGCTGGAGCTCGTGTGATTGTGACAGAGATTGATCCCATTTGTGCCCTTCAAGCTCTCATGGAAGGTTTACAAGTTCTGACCCTGGATGATGTTGTTTCCGAGGCTGACATCTTCGTTACTACCACTGGAAACAAAGACATTATCATGGTTTCTGACATGAGGAAAATGAAGAACAATGCTATTGTTTGCAATATCGGCCACTTCGACAACGAAATTGATATGCTAGGGCTTGAGACATACCCTGGTGTGAAGCGTATCACCATTAAACCTCAAACTGACAGATGGGTCTTCCCTGACACTAACAAAGGCGTCATTGTATTGGCGGAGGGTCGTTTGATGAACTTGGGTTGTGCCACAGGGCACCCTAGCTTTGTGATGTCCTGCTCCTTCACCAACCAAGTCATTGCTCAGCTTGAGTTGTGGAAGGAGAAGGCAACTGGCAAGTATGAGAAGAAGGTTTATGTCTTGCCTAAGCACCTGGATGAGAAGGTTGCTGCTCTTCATCTTGGCAAGCTTGGAGCTAAGCTTACTAAGCTCTCGAAAGATCAGGCTGACTACATCAGCGTGCCCATTGAGGGTCCATACAAGCCTGCTCACTACAGGTACTGAGCTGACCGGGACATTAGATTGCGAGAAAAAGGGACGCTGACCGCTCGGCTTGATTGTTTCTTTTTGTGGGAGAATGATAGGTTTCTGAACTTCGTAGGATTTCTATTCTGATGATGGGGTGGTAAGAGTATGGGAAAGGAAACCTATTGGTCCATTTCAGATAGGACAAACTAGGTTTGGAATAAGGTTTTGGTTGGGGTTGTGTCTGGTTACGGTTGATTAGCATTATATAATTTGTGTATCGTTGCGATCTCCAAAACATGAAAGAAAAAAAGAATAGAAAAAAGCAAAAGTTATTTACTGCCTCTTATTTCCATTGGTAAACTTAAATTGCTCTTAGAATCGTATTTTGATATCATTTGGTGTTCTGATTTCTGCAAAAGTCCGTCACAATTGAAGTATATTGAAGTTCGGAAACGAACTTGGGGAAAATGATAAAAACTGATAAAGTTGCAATGGTTTAGCTCCTCCGTGCTCCAATCCCAAATTCCGAATCATCGCTGTCTCATAAGAAACTCTACGTTTTTCTTTTTACAAAAAATAATAGAAGAAGCAAAAATGTAAGAGAGAATGAGGACCGGGCAAGAGGAGAGTGAAGAAAACTTGCATTGTTCCTGAACCATACGAAACAAAGGCCCAAAATATCCAGCTCCTTGGAGGGGCAAAGATCTTGTACTGTGTTGTAAATGCATAATTCAGAAGCACAAAAAAGCGAAACTCGAAATAAAAGTATATTGGATTTTCACAAATAATTATCCAATCAATGTCGCCGAGCGGTCGCCTTTTTGTCCCAAGGGAGGAGTCAAATTCTCTAGGTATATTTTGGTCATTCAGCAAAATTACCTGATTTTTTTTTTTTAACCAATTCTCTCATCCCTGGTCATTCAGTGTGGTATTTTTCCTGAATAACTGTCTTGCCTGGTAGTCCTTATGTCGCAAGAACATGGGACTCTTTCCTTTTTAGCTGGCAAAAGGCAAAAGGACTCCTTACTTTCAACGATAATTCTCCATTCCAAATATGATGCTAATGGACAACCAAGGCCGCTAATGCGCACCGTTTCAACCCCGGTGGGACGGTCGACCACGCCGTGCTTTCAAGCTTCTCCATTCGACGCCAACAGCCTGCAGACTGCAGTAACTTGTTCGATCATTGGTTCAGACGAGTGACAACAATGACTTCTACATCGCCATCTCCTTCCTGCCCTGTCGTTGGTATGTTTCTCTTTCGCCGTAAAATTGAAGGATGTATTCTTTTTGTTTCTGTTAGTCTTGGTCAGATATGAATCGCAATCTCCTCATTCTCCCGAGATGCTTATGACTTCTTATCATCTCGACAGCCATCACTCTTCAGCGAAAATATATAATCTAAAACATCAGTTCTCATATCCACCATAGCAATAAGAATGATAGAGCTATTTCTGTGCAGATGTGCTCGCAGTAGCTAGTAACGCATACAACATTAACCTTGGATCTCTTGTGAGTTCTGAGGAAGAAAACTCGATATATGCAAGTGTTTGTGTTGATTAGTCTGGAAATAGAGCAGAGAAGCTCAATAATCCATTTTGAAATACACTTAAATTTCGAACCTAGACATTATCTTGGGAGTTCTTTCATACACCAAAATGAAAATCCTTATAAAAACATCGCTCACTTGGCGGCGGAGTACACCACCGTGGAGTCCTAGCAGGAAAATAGCCGAAACGTAATGACCTAAGATGCAGGAAAAGAAGATGACTCCAATAGACGTTACAAGTTCAGCAAGCCATGACACATTGGTCACAACCAGACGTACTGCTGCGGCGAACGCTAAACTCATCGTCACCAGAGCTAAACCCACCATATGAAACGCGCAGAAAAATGCACTTCTCGCTAAATAAAAGTCACCAAACTGTGCCCACATCAGAAGCAGTGATCCAAGTGTAGAACAGTACATGGCTCCTGTGTTGAAAATCACAAATGTCTTGAACATTGCTCTCTTAACCAACACTGCCATCCCCTTATCAGTATCCTCAGAACTGTGAACGCTGCCGGGCACAGTGAACCCAGCTGAAAATGTCACTGTTACTATCAAAATAGCCACCAGCATCAGTGTGTTTGCTCCCTGCTTTATCCATTTCAGTTTTGGTGCTTTTCTTCGTTCACGAATCATACTTCTTGCCTTGTCACTTATAGGTGCATCTACAGAATCAAATATGGCTTTGGACAGGAACTACATGTTCATAAAAAATGTGAGAATATTAGAACATGTGTACATACAAGTCCTGAATCTATAGAAACAAAAGTTAGTTATAATTATCTAACATTACCTGTATTAGTGAAATTGGTGTTTCACGATACATTTCTAACAGAAGTGTATCAAGTGCTGTCAAACCTTTATAGTTGATGAGATTTACATCAACCCTCTTATCCCGTGTCAGAGAGAAAAGGATGTTGGGGAAAGAGTTTTCTGAAGCCAAATGCAATGGGGTATTTCCCTTTTGATCTTTCTCGTTTATATCAATTCTTCTGCAGTTCCTCAATAGATATTTCACCAAATCATGTCGTCCGTTCTTTGCTGCAACGTGAAGAACATTTTGACCTTTACGATTGAGCAATAATCTAGAATCATCGGCGCATTCTCGTCCAAGAAATTCCCTGACTACCTTAAGATGACCCCATTTGCAGGCAAGGTGAATAGGAAGATGGCCCTTTGCATTCTGTTCTAATGCACTCAGAGGAGATTTGTTTAGCAGGATACGAACGCCTTCAACGTAACCAGTAGAAGCTGCATAATGTAAAGGAGTTCCTCCATTTTCGTCTCGTAAATACATTAGCTCTGTTTTTTTTGTTGCTATTTCCTTTATCAAATCTGCAATCAGTGAAAATGTTGTTTTGAAAGTATAATTGAAAATTTGTCTGAGGGATGTCTCTTGAGTCTCACGTTAAAGTGAGAAAACACCAGTCTCTAATGTCAGTACTCAATAGGATTTTTCAGAATAGTTTACTTCTAGTTTCACTGTTGCACAGTCAGATGAATCTGATAACTTGCCTGTGTCTTTGCCAAAGAAATTCCTAATCTAAAGTTAATTCATGACAAAAAGATTACTAAGCGCATTCAAATGATAGCATTAGCTTTATAATTAATTGAACCCAAACTTGAAAATCCTGAATTGTACATCCAAGATTGACTGATGTTAATGGCACTTATAACACTGCTGACTAAAATGCTTCAGATTTCATAGTCTTGAAGGACAGTCATATAACCTATAGCTAAAGCAGAATTCTACCTCTATATTTGTAGAAACGATGCACAGTGCTACCATACGATCAAGAGGGAGTGGATAAAGACAGGAAACCTATTTTTCAGATAACAGAGTAAAGAAAGTAAATAGATGTACCTCCATTCTTTGTGTCAATGGCAGCATGCAGAGGAGAAATTCCCTGGCAATTTGAGAGGAGCTTGTCACCCGGAAATGGAGCTTCCAACAGAACATCTATTATTTCCTTATTTCCGTTCAGGACTGCCAAATACAAAGGGGACTGACTTGACTTGTTCAAATAATAGGCCACATATCTATCTGCAGTGAAGAGAAGTTTGACCCCATCAACATTCTTCTTACAAACAGCCTCATGCAAAGCAGTATTTCCATATTTATTGGCCAATCTTGTTATGATATGTTCATCTCCATTAACCATCTCCATTGAAGATACCGATCTTTGTGCATGTACACTACACAGGGAGAGAACGATGCTGATAACTTGTGAGCTCTTTGCTCTACACGCAACATGAAGTGGAGTATCACCTAGCTTCATGTCCCTGTGGGTGAGAAGTTGGGGAAAGTGTAGGCCAATCAGTTCTACAATGTCTTCTCTTCCGAAATAGGCAGCCTCATGAAGCAGTGAATCACCTGCTGGCATCGCTTGATCAAATATGGTAGACAAAAGTACCTTCTTCTCCAGACATACCTGCTCCAGAATGTCAACAAACCTTTGTATATTTCCATTTTGAACAGCCCCTTTCAGTTCAAATAAGAGCTGGGTGTTTTTCTCCCAAAGGAACTTTGGTTGTGGAGGTGGATTTTTACAGTGAGTAAGAAAGAATTGGTGTGCTTTCAGGATCTGAAACTGATGATTGGATCTTTCACTCCAGTTTTCTGCTTCAGCACCTTGAATTGGAATTTGAACTTGATCCATATGTCTTCCTTCCACTGTTCCAGACAACCAAATGTGGTAGGTTTATGTGGAATTCCATTTGCATAGTTGCATTGGATTTTTGTTAGTTGACCTCTGGGTCAACGTTATAGTCAAAGTAGTGTGCTGCTGTGGACCGGCTCCTGTGACGCGAAAGGAATACTCGTGATGGGAAGGCCAATCATGTAACATACTATATTTTTTAAAAAATAATTAAAATAATATTTTATCGTTATTTTATATACAAAAAAACCCACCCCGCCTTTCCACCGACGGTGGCAAGGTGGGTGGGGGTGGTAAAGAAAGGTAATTAAGGTGGAACAATTTTGGGAAAGGAGTATTAAATGAAGAAAGAAAAAAAGGGAAGGAATGGATGGAAGTGGAAAAAATACGAAGGAATAGTAGAAGGAATTAAACATGGAGGTATTAAATACTCTCATCCCAATAATTTTTTTAAGCCAGAGGAAGTGAACGTAGAAGAGAAAGACAGAGCGGGAGGTAGAAAGAGAGGGCAAGGCACGGGAAGAGAGAGTGTGAGGAGAAGCAAAAGTGTTAACATTTTGAAAAGTAATACAAACTTTAAAGATTATTTAGGTATAAAAATACTTCTTTTTGTAAAATCTTTTATGAATATTTTTTTATATATTTATAGCTTTATATTATTAGTTTAAAAAAATTTACTACTCCCTCCGTTTCTTATTATAAGAGACAAATAACCGAAATACGTTGATCAAAAAAATAATTAAAGTTAGTTAAGAACAATTAATGTATAAAAAGTATAATTTTTTTCCAAAAATGCCCTCATTAATAAGGAGAGAGAACAATTAAATTATTAAAAGAAAGAGAAGTGGGAAGGAGAGAGAGTGTGAGTTGGAGATAATAAATATGGGTAAAATAGTAAATCAACACAAAAAAGTAGAGACAACTTGTAAGTGTCTCTTATATATAGGAACATGGCATAAGCATCAAGTGTCTCTTATAATAAGGAACGGAGGGAGTATTTGGGTATGGAGTAAATATAAAGTTTTAACAATATATGACTGTAAAAATTTAAAGATACATTATTAAGGAATTTTAATTGGTTTATATTTGTTTAATGATTGTTTTGAGAATTTTAAATTCAAATTTTAGTTGAAAAATTTGTTGTTCAAATACATATAGAATGTTTTTACTGATTAAATTTAAGTTAAATAATTTATTTGAATTATTTAATATATTATTAAGGTTTTAATTGGTTCGAATATTGAATAAATTAAAGATCTATTATTGAAATAATTTTTGAAGGCTTGAAAAATTGTAAATTGAGAATCTTAATATAAAATATTTAGATTTTGGGTAATAAAAATATATTTATTTAAGTTATTAAATTTAAATAGTCTCGTATGAAAATTTTATTTCCAAAATAATATTGTATGTATTATAAATATTTTTTGTAATTTTAGTTTAGAGGGTAGCCTTAGAATTTTAGAAGAGCTTTGTTATATGTTAATAAATATTTATATACAATTTTGTAGACTTTTGAGAATTTTGGAGTAACCATTATGTGAATATTTGTGAGATAAAGAGTAACAGGTAACTTTGAAAATTCTTTCATGTATATATGAATTGTATATAATTATATTGTGGATTTACTAATTTTTATTAGGGAAAATCGTAATTAAAGATCCTGAAATTTGAAAAACGCAGATAGAGACCAGTGACAACTTCAATATCGCTTTTGACAATAATAATATCTCATGAAGTTGTCAAAACCCATAGTGAAGTTGTGACGGGTCTTTATCTGTGTTTTTTAAATTTCAAGGTCTTTTTTTTGTGATTTTTCCTTTTTATTATACAATATTGAAATATATGTATGTAATATAACTTTTCAAATAAATATTTTAATATGCTACTTTAATTTGTTAAGATTTATTGCTATTAATTATAATCAATATTTAAATATATTGATAGTTATTGATATAGAAATTTTATTGCTATCTTATTTTTAATAATATATTTAAGGACATACTTCTGATGTAACATTATTTGCATATGAGATTTGCATGGATATAAAATTACTACGTGGTATGCCATCACTCGATACACAATGGATGACACTTGTCAGAGCCTCTTCTTTCATGTTTTTCTTTGACCGGGAATTCATTGGAGTTATAGAACGTGTGACACCTTCTTATTTTATTTACAAAAGAGAGGAGCTATAGTCCAAACTCAAGCTCTATATCTTTAGCCAGATATATCTCCAGTTTTAGTGAGATTAGTGTAATCCAGTAAAATGAATTAGTTTCTATTAGACTATATGTTAGCTTATGGCTCTAACCAGAGATATAAGAGTAGACGATGATATAAAGAGGAATGCATATTGCATTATTTTTGGATATATTAGAAAATTGTTATTGGCATATTGTTGAATTAAAAGTGAAATTGAGTTGAATGTATAAATTTTTGGTTTCCATACACAAATATACACACACATGTAAACGGATTTTTGTTTATCATATATGGTTTGTTTGTATAGATTGGAATTTCAGTCGTTACTGAGAATTAGATCTTATCTTTTATATTAACATTTTTAGGCGAAGGATTAAGTAGGAATCCAGGGAATGCACTAATAGAGTGAGCTGTGAAGGTTTTTGTGCTCTTCAAGTACATGTTCTATTATATTTTTATTTGACATGACTATAAGATTTTAATAGGTTATTTTGATAAGTTATGTTAGAAAAACATTTTGAAATTAGGACCTGTTTTGAATGCTAGAAATACATACATACTTTTAAATGAAGTACTACCTCCGATCCTTATTATAAGACCCCGTTTGACTTTTTGTTTGGTCCTAATTATAAGACCCCAATCCATTTTGTCTCTTATATTTATACATTTTTTTCCAAAATAATCTTTCTAATAATGATAGTTCTAGCCAATACACTTAATTAGCAAGATATTTTAGGAATGACAACACTTATTTATTACAAATAACTAACTTAACTTACTTCCTTAATCTTCTCAAATAAGTCAATTAGGTTTTATAATTAGGACCGGAGGTAGTATTTTATCATGTATGTGGATAAAATTATGTGAGGTATTACAAATCAAATACATTTAACTCAAATCCAAATTAAATCAATTCATGTTTATGCATGGAAACCATTAATTAATTTATAAAATTTATCAAATGCCACACTGGTAAAATAAAGTTCATCTTAAATTCCACGCAACACCCGAGACTCATATCTAATTCAACCACTGAATTGATATAAATGAAAAAGCGGTGTTGGATTTTTAAAACAGAGTGAGAGACTTGAAGAAATGTAATTCCTGATAATAAAAATATTCAACAGCGGCGGTACGGGAAGGGAAAGCCAAATGCTTCCTTTCTTCAATGCTTCAGATGAATTCTATTTGAAAGAGAAAATTTAAAGATAAAGTGTCTTAAGAGAAGAGCATAGCACTTCTATTAAAAGGCAAGTTAACTGTAGTCTCCATTAGTTTCTGTACTAATTACGTTTCTGGGTTTCTCAATCGGGTAAAGGTTGATGATAGCTTTTCTGACCTTGTGATCTGTCAAGGACGAAAGATGCTTTATCACTACTTTAGAGCATTCAATGGACTTCAACCCCATTTAAAAACCCATTTATGGCCGCATCACGGGAATTGCAATTGGTGGATTATACTAACTCGTATTTTTTTAATATAAGAGCTAGTTAAATAATTTGAGTAGATTAAAAGTCAAACTAGTTTTTATATTAAGAATCAGAGATAGTATATGCATTCCTCTATTTCTTGTATTTATAATTCAAAACAAGCCAAATAAGGAATTGTTTACTATAAACTTTTAAGATGTTAACCAATATTCAAATTTTTATTGGGAGAAGTGTTCATATTTTGTGCCTAATAATGTGTCGAATAATATTGTTTTTAATAAGAGGATACCTGTGACTAAGTAAAAACAGTTTTCTGAAAAAAGGTTTTCTTTTTCATTTTAATATTTTTCGTTATAATACTTTTTTTTTTCTAAAGTAACTTTGGGTAAACAAACTTTCATAACAAGAACATATCCACGGTCGAAAATATTTGCTTCTGTGTCACGCTTCTTCACCCGACCCGCATACCGATCAAACGCAAATCTAGTCATGTTGTTTTTTTTTGGGGTAAAAAATCTGGTCATGTTGAATGTTGGTTAGTTTTGCAAGACCCCTAAATTTACGTAACATAACTTTTGAAGTTAATAAAATTGAATTCAAAGACTCAGTTGACCGCTTAGGTCAATGTTTCATTCACGGCAGTTTCTATGAATGCCGTTCGGCTCCATTGTTTGGCTTGAAAGTGAATGCTTATCAGTCAAATTGAAATTAAATTATTTATATTCATGCAAATTTCATTCAATGATTTGATTATGTGTTTGAATCTGTTTCGTTTTAAGATTTCATCATTCCCCTCATCCTTCTTTTTCCTCCCGTCTCTGCCGTCTTACTGATGCGTGCGAGCGAGCGAGCTCTCGCATTGGTTTATGATTTGCTTGGGGCATCTCTCCGTGAATCATCAACCCATCGCAGTAACCCCTGGGATTTGCAAATTGCAACGAAACGGAGGAAGGTTTGTGCGAATCATTTGAGATTATCTCAAGCCGCTTTTAGTTTCAACAAGTGTCACCCTGATCAGCAATTCAACGTGCCAGGTATTGAACACTACGAGTCACATCAATTTTCAATTACCTGCTCAAGACCCATTATCTCTATTCCTATATCAAATTAACAAAGCAACTGTGAAGAGGTTTTGCCTAAGGCAGTTGAGGTGAAATTAAGTTTTAAAGCAAAGCATGCCAACGATAAACCTTACCTCAGAATTTATCTATTACTGGGAGTCAACAATTATTAACGGAAAAGAAGAAACGCATTTCGTAGAGAAAAACCACGCCAAATTTATATTCCATTTCGTGACAGTAGAAAATAATCAAGAAAATGAATGAATATGACACAGATGTAGGAGGGATCATGGATGTCTAGGAGGAGAACGAAAATTGACGGCTTAGGAAATGAGAACAGTGAATTCATGAGAGGTGAGTGAAAAGTGAGAACAAATAAATGGTTAGCAGGGTGGAGATAGCGACAGTAAAATTGGAACAAGTAGTTTTCACTTTTTTAAGCTAACAACTCTCATCGAAATCCAGGCTATTCACTTTCTCTCAAGAGCTTCTGGATGGAATTTCCGTTCCTGAAAGCTGAAAGACTGTTTTTGATCCTCCTGAATGCGGAAAACTGTGTCTTACGACTTTCACAAGAGTTAAAAAAAAAAAAAAAAGGGAACTTCACTGGCAAAGAGATTCCAATTGATGGGGCCTTTGAAGGCAATTTAGCAAATCAACGTACATATCTCTAGGGCACAAATGTTGCAAGCAGTCATTTACTAAAAACAAGAAAGAAAGAAAAGTTAGATCCCTTATTATATTCTACAAATCATATGCTTTCCAAATGCAAACCCATGATATTAACCACAGGGAGTCTTTTAAAACAAAACCAACAGGATAGGAAGAAAATCAGGGGGAAAATAAGAACGTACATTGACAGGACCGACTTTCGTTTTCACGAATCCACAGTAAGGAGTATGAAATTGATCAAGTGTTGATTCCTTTAATACCTCTGGCACAGCCAGTGATGACCTCACAGCCTCTATTATAGGGATTGGCTTGAGTAGCGCGACAATTGTAGTAAGAAGCTCCGGCCCTATCACAAGGAACCATGTCTCTCCTGAGAGTCTCATAGCTAAGGTACCTTTTCTGCACCGCCAGAAGTCTCCTATTGGTTTCAGAATCCATCTGGGGATCTGTGAGGCATTCCCCAATGCTTTTGGCGCAAACCCTTTTCGTCATAACATGGAATTCGCCGTGCTCGAGCAAATTGAGGTCAACTACGGAGAGGCCGTCGCAGAGAGGAAGATGGGTGTATTGGAAAGCGAGGGAGAGGCAGAGACAAGTCCAGAGAATGAAGGAGGCTTGGGACATTGCTCGATTTCTGAGTGGGAGCTTTCTGGGTTTTCAGATTTGTCACTGTTGCGAGTTTTGTGAAAGAGAGAACCTTTTTTTGACTTTGGTGGGTTGGTGAGTCATAAATTGGCAAGCACTAAGCAGCAGTCAGCAGAGGCAATTGTACAGGTTTCCACTTTTTAGTCCACCATTGTAGTGCTGTGATGCACTGTAAGCAACTCAACCAAATTAAAGATGCCTGGTTTTCCTCACAAAACTTTCTATATATATTGTGTGATAAAAATTCCCAAAATATTATATATATATATATGTATATTTTATATTCTGTTGACTCCCCAAATAAGTTATTTTATAGATGAAATTTTAAAATAAGTAAATTTAGACGATATTTTTAAAGCGAAGAAAATCATCATGCAAATGAGCACTGACAACGTGATTCTTTAGTTTTTTTTTTTTGGGTGGGGGCCGGAAGTGATAGTGTGATTCAAACATTGAATTCTTTGCATCCTTTTTATTCAAGAATTAAGAAATTGCCTTCTATAGTTTTCCATACATTTAATTTAAGCATTGGTCTTGCTTGCTTGTTATTGTCAAAATATTTAATCCAAACCCTGCTGATTCTAGCATAGCATCACGAAATTCATTTAGACTGGATTTTTTCTCTCTCTCTGTAAAATACACTGAGGAGAATAATGTAAAAATTCTCAATAATATCTCTTTCTAATAGTTAAATATTGTCATAAAATGTGGGGGAATTTAAATATAAAAAATTGCAAGGAATTAAAGGAAGTAATGCAGCTTCGGGTTGTTTGTATATTTATACGATGATGTTATTTCACTAACAAAATTATTATGCAATCGTATATAAATAATTTAGGGTCTGTTTGGTTTCTTCTTAAAATAATTTTATAAAAAAAATTTTAGAATAAGTTTTGAAAAAAAAAAACAAAAGAATTTGTTTGGATAATAATTTTAAAAAATTATGTTTTAAAAAAAAATATAGAAAACTATATATGGTAAGTGATAGTTATCTTTACTAATGATAAGTGGTGGATGGTAGGTAAGAAGAGAAGAAGATTTTTCAAAACTTTTCAAAACAAAAAATAAAAAACACAAAAACAAAAATAAGAAAACATTTAAAAATTATTTTAGCTTTTTGGTTTTTAAAAACATGTTACTTTTTTTTTGTTTTTTTTAAAACAATCAACTAAAAACAAATTACTAAACAAGTTTTTTTGTTTTTCTGTTTTTAAAAACAAAAAACCAAACAAACCCTTAATCACTAAAAAATCTCACAATAAAACAAATTCTAATGCAAGATGACATCAAGTGCACGCTTCTCGCTTGTTTTTAGATTGCTCATATCGGATTGCACAGTTTCTCTTGATTTGCACGTAGCATATCAAAATACTCTTGAATAAAGGAACTGTGAAGTAAAATTCATCTTACTTTACAGACACAGTACAATGTAGAGAGGCAGCATCAGGCAGTTCAGCACACGAGGAGACAAGAACTTTCTCAAATCAAGATCCAAACCAACTCAGTCACAATAACACTCGCACATTCAGCTTAAAATTAATTCATAGTTAACTAACAGTATTAAGTGCTTCATTGATTTGTGGATGAAGTCAGCATAGTTAGCAGGAAATCGTTCAGTACTTAAAATATCTGCAAAACTTCCCAAGCAGCTAATATACACTATGACTCAGATCCAACTGCTAAAAGTTCATATCATTATATTATATTTATGATGCAAATCTCACATGCCATCTAGGGGAAACTTCTCTAAAACTGACGGAGGATCTAGGACAGCATGATCAAAGTGTGAGCTGATCCATATTCTTGACATTTCTGGAGATTCCAGGAATTGACCGGCCCTCGTCTTGCTCTTCATATGGATTTGCTCTATAGTTGGATATTGCCTCTTCATTGTCTGAACAACCGGGTCTTTCAGTAAGGAACTGTTCCCAGAACACATCATTTACTCTGGCTGGAGCAGCCGGTGGCGCTTGGTTGCTGCTCGGAGTCTCCTTTGACTGTGAGGAAGTTAAATTGGCAACCTCATGAGCTGGATTTCTCGTTGAAGGAACTCCACTATTAGAATCTTTATCGTTTTCGTAAAATCTTGATTCTGCCAATTTGCCTATTTCCTGACAGTCTATCTGCGGTGATCTAGCCGAGTATGGATTTCTGTTGACTTGCAAAGAAGAAGATGCCAGAGTCAAATTTAGATGGCAGGATATATGACTGTCACCTTCTTCATTACTTAGATGCAAAGAGTGCAGTTTTGTGCTCTCAGCAGTTGTTGCTCGCTGTGATGGACATGAATCCATCTTGAACGAAAAAGATGCTCCAGTATCTGCTAGCTCTAATGTTTCAGGTGCGAATGCAAGAGTTGTTCTTGTCTGCACTCCTTTGGGCGTTCCTTCAGATAGCCTCTTCTGTGGATTTTCCCCGTCTTCATTGGAACTCTGAGTGCTACGTGATACCAAATTCATATCTGAAACGGCTGGCGATAACTCCAACCTGAGTTTATTTGAGAAATCTTGGTGGAAAACAGTGCCAAATTCTGTTCTAAAATTGCTATGATTTTCAACCAAGTTATTTTCACCAACTGGCTGCAAGTGATCAACATGAGGCAATCTTCTTTTCTTATTATATGCTGATAAATCCATGCAATCAAGTTTCCGTGAAAGATGTTCAACAAAAGAAGGATTCTGAAGAGCCTTTTCTAAGTAGTTCAGCAAATTCTTCTGTCTCTTCTCCATGTTGTCTAATCGCTGCAATAGATCTTCCAGCTGAAGCTTCACAGCTGAGTGTTGTTTAAATCTGACAATGTTGGATTCAAGAGCAGATTTCTCACGCGCAAGTTTCTCAATTTCTTCCTCAAATGCTGCCCGTTCTGGGTCTACAACAGAGCCTGGAGGATGGCTGTGACTGTGGATAGGTTTCCTGCGGTGAATATTCTTGAGAAGATGCTTTTGATCTTTCACAAAATCATCATTCGCGAACTCCCATCGCTCAGGATGTATTTTCCGGAATCCCTGACAGTAAAATACATTCAAATGAACAAATTAAGTTACCTAAGAGGCCCCAACTTCACAAACTCCCTCTCCTAGAAAAGTGGAGAAAACAAGGCTAATTATGATCAATTGCATCTTTATTTAATGAATCAATCAATTCTTTAAATCTATCTTGAATTTCTTGGAGGCAGGTTTAAGGAATATCTAGAATGAAGAGGTAGCGTCAATTTTAAAAGTATATGCAAATAAAAGTTAAAAGAAACGCATGAAATTCGGATGAAAACATCAATCAATTTTATTCAAGCTATCGCACCTAAAATTCTATTTTTATCCCTTTCTGGTTTCTATTGAGGAAACAATCTTAACACATTGGCTAACTTGGTAGACGTACGAGCGTGAGAAACAACCAGCCATTTTCACATCAGCAGGCAGCAATGACAACACAACAACACCTGTGTTGATATAAGCTACTACCTCTAAGTAAAGTCAAAATGCGTCAAATAAGCTGTTTTGCAGAAAAAACTAGAAGGGACCATAACTGATAAAAGTACCGTATACACCTGTATAGTTGAAGATTGGCACTCTACAAATGCACTGCAAAAGAACTAAAGAACCTATAGTATTTTACCCAAGTCATCATTGATTAAAGTGATGTAATATGCAAAGAAAGAAACCAACTTCATACTGGTTCAAGCCTTTTTCACTTTCAAGAAAACAAAGATCTGGCAGCAAACACAATGCATAAATCTTCCATTAAAATGCTCATAAATTTATGAACCACCGGACCAGACAAGAGGCAGATAAAGAATGGCAAGGGCTGGAGGACCAGGTTGAGGATTAGCAAAAAATCTTTTCCAAAGTCAAAAACCCATAAAAAATTAAAGGGAAAAAAAAAACCAACATATATGGGAGGTTTGGAGTGCTAGGGGGAGCGGGCGAAACCTGTACAAGAGCCTCTCTCTCCATTTTACAGTGGATATTGACAATTTGATACAATTCCAAACGTTTTCATTCGTGAATATTGCAAAGTTACCAACCAAATTTCCAACTTACCCACAAATTAAACTCCAAACTAACAATACCATGAAATTGATGGTCCAGGGCCTAGGCATATACTTATGCACATTGACTGAATGGGTGACTGTGAACCCTGTGAACTGCACGGCTAAAACAAGTAGCAACTATTCACTAGATTCAGATGTCAAGGAATTTAAGTTTAACAGAGGATTAAGCCCCGTTCTAGACGAAAATAATAACCACCAAACACTGGCACTCCATCCGACTATCAGTAAGAGACCATGATGCTCCATAAGAAATGAAGGTACAATTGCTGAGCAGGAAGCTAATTTAAGACTTCCTGACAACAATGACTAAAAAAAGACGACCTGCACTATTGAATTGTACGAGCAATAAAAAATGGGGCAGAAAAAACCATCGACTTCATGAACTTTTGAAACTGATTTGAATTCAAGAATAATTAGGACATCCGCTATCGCGGAAGGCGTAAGCTTTATACTCACGTAGGTATTGAGCTGACGGATGAAGCTGGAGAAGTTGTTGTGCTTGAAATAGGTAGGAAGTAGATGACGAGCGAACTCAGGGGGATTCCAGACGACGAAGCTGTTGTTGGTTGAGCTCCACGATACAATATCGTCGGTGGAAGAATCGTCGACCATTTCATAGGTCTTGATAAGAAAAGGTGCCGGACCTCCAGTTCCGCCGCCTCCAGCGCCGGAGCCGGCGGACGAAGATGGCGCTCCGTCCATATCGGGTAGAATCAGAATAGATCTTCCGGAAACCTGTTCTGAATCTTCTGAAAAGACGAAAGAAGAGTCAGAGAGAACTGCGAGAAATGATGGGAAGAGCCGGAGAATGAGTAAAAATTGGACAACAACGACGTCTGATCCCAAGACGGATACGGTTCGAGAGAGAGATGAGAGCAAGTTGACTTCAACTTCGTCTTACCGTGCGCTGCCTGCCAATCTAGTTTTGGCCTTTTTGTCTTTTTCTTTTTTTCTTAAAACCTGATTTTGGTAGGTGGCGCTTTTTCTTGTCTAAAGCTCGCAAATTTGCGCCCAAATCGCGATAATTAAAAGAAAAATGGAACAGACGAAAAATCCACCAACACCATTGGCGTTACAAATATCAAATATAATTATATCATTGTACCAAAAAAATATAATTTTATAAAAAAAAAAGAAATATCAAATATAAGAAATATGTTTAAAAAATATGTTAAAAATTATGAATCGTACAGTTTATTATAGGATACCGAGAAAATAGTTTAATAGTTACTGTAAATTTTTTATCTACATTAAATGTTTTTACCACGGAATCACTCTTTACATCACCTTTACAAATTTGTCTTCTTTCATTTACTATTCCATAAATCAATATATTCTAGAAAAATTAAGCATGATAACAGTGCTGACTAACTATTTAGAATAAATAAAACGTATGCCAGTGATTGTATCACGGAGTCTAACATTGTATAATGGACGAATGTGTTGAGATTTTGAATTGTAGTTGCACATTATAAATAACTGTTTTTTCAATAACAAACAAGGAAAAGTAGTAGAATGCGAAAGAGGATGATGGTGAGGGCGATGACTGTGGAAAATTGCCCCCGGGGGGAGTGAGCAAATTTCAACGGCAGCTCAGCACAAATAGTTGAAACGTGAGAATTTTATTTGCTTTTATGAATCAAAGGGTTGGTCAAAACTCAAACCATGACTTTAGCATAAGCTGCCAAAGGCTTTACTTCTGCTACAACCATGGTTTAGGCTTTTTAACAAAGGTGCTGCCAAACACGAGTATGATAAAAAAGCCAAATAAAAATGAGTGGATGCTTCTAACCGCAGACTCATGATTGTTTATTTCTGAAATTGCATGGATGGAAATGGTATGTCTGACTTATGAAAAGTGAACGTTTTAAATAAAATGGATATAGCATACCTTGAAATTTCATATCTGTATATGTAGACATTAAACCTGAAGGAATTGGTGCAACATAAAAGTTCTGCCAAGGACTTAAAGTCAAAATGCAAAGAAATCAAAGAGAGAATCACACCAGGAGATGTGAATGTGAAAATCCAGTCATTGGTAATAATTTATGAATGTTGATTAGGGCAAAAATAAACCATCAAAGGAAAGAAATCTAATTGGAGATTTTACTAATATGAACATGCCACGCGTGGAAATAAAATTTGGGGCAACTGCCAATTGAGGGTGGTCAAAATCTTCATTACTTGAAGGCAAAATGGAAGCAGGGGAAAAAAAAAAAAAGGAGTCATTTACCATTATAAATTCTGTTTTATCACCAACCTAAGTATATATAAGTTTATGCACGTTGCTTGTGTGCTAGAATGGGCCTCCTGTTAATAATCCTACTTTCAATGTACTTGATTATGCTGCTACTGCGAATGGCCAAACTAATGATTCAAAAGTAACATACTTCATCACCATCTTTAATGTGACAAGCTCTTCTGCTATAGCATATATATGCCATCTGCTAGCTGCCATATTATTATTATGACGATAATGTATAATTGCTGGCTAAATTAAATATGAATGATTTGGGAACCTGTGAAGTCTTTTCTCAAAGCATGGAAGGATGTTTGTGAAGCAACACAAGACAGTCCAACCCTCTTAATTCCTAAAAACAAAACATTCATGCTGCAACCTGTGACTTTCATGGGTGAGTGCAAGTCTTCAACCATTAACGTCAAGGTAAACAATAAACTTAAATGCATTTTCACCATTTCATTTCATCAACTCTGTCATATGATAGTTGACTCTTTGCATTTTCATATTCTTTTGTAAAGTTATAATATAACCCAGAAAAAGAAGAGTTGTGCGTGTGTATATATAGAGTAGATTTGAAGGTATGAGGCTGAAGGTTGAGCGTTATGGGTTGGCAGATTGAAGGAAGGTTAATTGCGCCAAGAGGAGTGATCGATTGGAAATGGGAAGGAGTCAAAAAGGGCAGGTGGATACATTTTAGTGACATAAAAGGGCTGCTTGTGAATGGAAGAGGACTTATGGATGGCCAAGGTGCCCCATGGTGGGACTGTTTTCATGAATCCCGATGTAAGAGGCCTGATGTAAGTCTCACAACCTGCTTCTGCACATAAAGCTAACAGATTTGAATGATTCTGTGAAAATTAATGTGATGAAATGTTGCAGATGGCTTTGAGTTTTCGCAGGTGTGAAAATCTACAACTTAAGGAGCCTACTCATATAAATAGCCCAGCAGTTCATATACACTTAGATTGCTGCAACGGGGCGTACATCTCCAATTTGAACATTGTTGCGCCTCAGGAGAGGTCAAACAGTACTGATGGGATTGATATCTCCACATCTTCCAACATCATCATTCAGGATTCCAATATTGAAACTGGTCACTGTTCATCGACTTGGAACCTTCTGAATCTTTATCCCTCCGCAGATATCAATGTATTAATCATTAATCTTATTCTTCATAATTTGCCGTAGGTGATGACTGCATCGCCATTAATAAGGGTTCATCTCTCATTAACATCACTGGTGTTTTTTGTGGACCTGGTCATGGCATCAGGTGATTATTATTCATCATTTCCTTCAACATTCCTGCTTTGAAACTCAACCAAAAAAGAAAGACTTGGTTCTGTTCAATAAACTTGTATTATCTGTCTATGGTGTGTGTTGTTGGTGTATATACATATAAAAGTTTGCTTGTTTTCTTCAGTAAATCAAAACAGACCCCTCTGTTATGTGTTGGGGAACAAACTAATGCATTTGTAAACTTATTTATAGCATTGGGAGCCTCGGACCACAGGGATCTCATGCAACAGTGGAAGACATCCACGTCCGAAATTGTACTTTCACAAGAACTTCAAATGGAGCCAGAATCAAGACATGGAAGGTATCTATCTATCTGTATATTATATATAACAATACATGCATGGTTATAATATCTCGGATATAATGGAAGACTGACATATAGTATTAGCTTCCAATCATGTTTTGATCAAATATATGCATATAATGAGTTGTTCTTGAGCAGGGAGGATATGGGTATGCCAGGAAGATCACATTTGAGGATATAACACTGGTGGAAGCTCGGAAACCAATAATTATAAACCAATACTATGGGGGAGTAGATGAAGTGACAGCAGTGGAAGTTAGTGACATCACATATAGGAATTTTAAGGGAACTTCGGCTACTGAGAATGCAACTCAATTGGTGTGTGACGTCAACAGAGATTGCACCGACATAGTGTTGGATCAAATTAACATAACTTCTTCTCAACCTGGAAAGGCCACTTATGCATCCTGCGAGAATGCTCATGGCACAAGTTCTTCATCAAATGTCCCTGATACAGATTGTCTTAAAGTCTGATGTCGGATATCTCAGTTTGATTTTAAAATAGCAGCTTTAGCCCTCTCATATGGGGTTTAAATAACAATTTTCTCAGCTTTGTTAATGGCAATTAATAATAGCATGGACTTTCCAGGAATATCCATGTCTCTTAACTTCATAACCCTACACACTTATTTCCTATATTTTCCACTCAAATCAACACTTGGCTGAATTATCTAAGTAAAATATGGCATCATATTAATTGAATGAAGTTATATCCGTTACTAAGTTGAAGTGAGGCACGGACATTGATAAACGAATGTTTTCGGGATCCTAATTTTGGTTTCTCACATTCTAGTCTCATCTATTAAACTCAATTCCCATTAGTTATATGTAGGTTAATTTTGTTTTTTAAGATGCGCTATAGGTTGTAATGTTAAGGGTTTTTTCTTTTGTGATTAATCAAGATTTAATTGTTTATCAAAAACAAAAAAGAAAATGAAATGCATCATTCTATTCTCTCTTCCCTTTGCCCTCTTAATAAGCTATTACTTTCTATTCATAACACAAGAACTAGTTTAGGGTTGAATTCACAGTATAGAAATTTAGTTTACTCTATTTTCATATTTATTATATTTTTCAAATTAATTTACCTAATTTATAAATTAATATATAATATTATATTATATAAGAGTATCTTAAAATAATTAACTAATCTATTTGATTTTCTTATTCCTTTACTCACGCTTTGTGCGTCAAATGAACCGTAACACTACCCACCGGCCCACCTAAGAGGTTGCGAGTTGCCACACTAAGCATATATTTTTAAAAAGCCCGGGTGTATTATTTAACGGAACGAATTCGTTTAATATTCTGACGTAAGCTTCCACCGATCCATATGCAATGTTAACCATATGACGCAAAATTGACCGTTATACACTAGTCATTGTTTATTCAGTTCAGTAGATCTAGGATACCCAACATGTAATAAAAAAATGAGAATTAATTCATGTATTTAAAAAATCCACTGTTTATTTTTCAAATTAAAGATAAAAATTTGTTCATGACACGAAATAATTCATGACCCTTGTGTGCTCATAAATCATGTACCATCACCGCTCCCCCCCCCCCCAAAAAAAAAAACCAAAAAAGAAAACACAAACTTGAAGAATTTGCAGCACCATGCTCGGATAAGACAACTGTACAAATTTTTCCCTATAATATATTTAACATTAGTGTCATATGCTTTCAATGTCACCAGCAAGTCAAGCTTTCCAAAGCATGAAGGCAAGGGATGATCGCCTTAACACCAAACAAGTTTACGTTGATGTCTTCGCAAACTACAGTCACCGAAATTACGGGGCATATTTGCCTGGTGCGGAACAAGTTTTGTTGAGACTAACATGTCTTACAGGTGTGGATGACATAACTCATCCAGTAGCCTCCTCATGCGTTGAAAAGCTTCCAATCTGGGGAGGAAGGAAAAAAGAACCAGGAGTCAAACAATCATTTATTTTCTTTATAAATCTGCTGAAGGTTCAAGACTGCAGTTAAAAGATCAGCAGAAAGGGCAGCAAGCACCCACTTAATGCTTCCTAGGTATTTTTCTTCTCACTGCTAAACCTATAGAGATAACTTTTCAAACGGATGGTTAACTAACTCTCAAAAGTTGAAGGAAAAATATTTTCAAATGTACAATAACAATAAACCTTATCCTATTAGGTCAAGTTGGCTGTATAAATTACAAGATGTCATTGTGCTCTGTCAATATCCGAATTTTTGGATAAATTGTTAATCAAAGACTCTCCAATAAAAATATCTCTACATGTAAACCAGGTAATCAACTACTAAAGAATGCAAGTGAAAACCTAATTTTTAAATGTCATATAGGTCAATGCCTGAGCTATTTTAAATCATCTGAACATCTATCAGAATAACATGTGCAATTAGACGTCCACGAACTTACTGTTAAAAGGAATGCCCTGTATTCATGACTTCGTGATTCTCACATTAGCATGCTATGCTGCTCAACATAGCAGGCACAGAAGACATGTAACGCCTCAACTGTAAAGGCTTATCAGATAATCAACTTGAAGGTTAGATTCAAACAGACTTCTAAAGCCAATCTTCAAATGCATTATTTTTCCTGCGTCAAGAATTGCCGAAAGGTACTGTCTACTTCATTAGTTGATATGCGGCTGATAAGCATTTCTGTGGTGGAAGCATCCACAAAGAAGCCTTTCTCTTTCATTATTTGAAGGTACTTCATTGTTTTTGTAATCTCTTTTTTCAGAAGTAGTCCTTGGACAAATACATTATAAGTACAACTATTGGGCAAGCAGCCATTCTCTTCCATAGTTGTTAACAAGTTTTCAGCCTCATCCAGTAGCCCTTCTTTACAGTGACCTTTAATCATTACAGTATAAGCATAAACATCCAATTGAAATCCTTTGGCAGGCAAACTAGAAAAGAGCTCCCGTGCAGCATTGAGTTTTCCAAAACTGCACATTCCATCAAGCATAATACAGTAGATCACATAATCAAGATTTAAATTTCTCTTCTCCAGTGAATCAAATAGTGATATTGCTTCAGAATGAAGCCCACATTTCCATAGTCCATCCAACATTACAGCAAAGGTCTTGAGATCAGGCATTTGGCCATATTTGTGCATGTTAAAAAATAATTCTTTCGCAGCAAGTGGTCTCCCTGCTTCACAAAACCCACCGATAAGAGTAGTCCAAGTGACAACATCTGGAATTAATCCTTTACTAATCATTTCATCCAAGAGATGCATGGCCTTATCAATATCTCCTCCTTTACACCATCCATGAATCAATGAACTATAAGTTACAATGTCTGGTAAACAGCCCCTGTTAATCATCAAATTAAATACCTTGATGGCCTCACTCATTTGATTTCGCAAACGATACCCATCCATCAATGAACTATAAAAGGCAGCATCAGGCTCCTCCCCCATATGAATCATGAAACCCATAATGGCTTTAGCACCCATGATCATTCCCCCTTTGCAAAATGTATTTGCTAAAATACCGAATGTTTGTGCATCTGGCACGATTCCCCTCTGCCTCATCTCATTAAATACTGCAATAGCCTCTTTCAACCTACCGAAATCACAAAGACCATGAATTAAACAGGTGCAAGTGACATGATTAGGTCGAATACCTTTGCTAATCATTTCGGAACACAAATTTAAAGCCTCAAATACCAATCCGCCTTTGCACAAACTATTGATAACCGTGCTGTAAACTACAACATTTGGTTTCCCGATTCTCTCTTCCATCGTCCTTAGACACTTAATAGCAGCACATGTGTCACCAATCTTGCACAATCCGTTTATTACCACTCCAAAGGTTTGAATGTCAGGTTTATACCCAACCTTTTCCATATCTTCGAACAATCTTATTGCATGAAGCAGGTAGCCTTCTTCACAAAGTCCATTAATGAGAGTATTAAATGTCACTACAGTGGGCTCCAAACCAACTTTGAACATTGTCCCCAAAATTGAGAACCCATAACCTGTCTGCTTTAAATGGCAAAGACAATTTATCGCAATACTGAGAGTATAGACATCAGCTTTTATACCTAAAGAATACAAGTCTTTAACAAATAAAATCGCAGTTGTATAATGCCTCATCTTCACAATCGCCCCAATCAATAACGTAAAGTCAAAAACAGATGGCAAAGGCTTCATCCTAACCATCATATGAAAAAAATCTACGGCAGTATCAACATTTTTCAATTGTCCGGACCAGCACTGACTTCTCATGAAACTTAAGAACTGGGGATCGGTTTCTGTAGCATTAACAGTGGTACAATAAGTGTGACAACAATAAGAGATGACTGCAGATGGAAAGTAAAAGGAACGACATGATGGAGAAACGGGAGTTCTGGAATGAGCAGTAACACCCATCTCGTGAAGAAGAAGAGGAAACCAAGGAAAGAAAGCTGTTCTTCGTATAATGGGATTAGACATCAGCTCTGGGTCTTACAATACGATAGGGTTAAAACTCAGGAGCAGAGACGAGAAGCAAAAGAGGGTGAATTGCAAGGATCCACCGTTTCGCTTACGAAGCATCGCAAGGATCGAAATGAACAGAAAATTGCTAGGCAATATATCATCGAACTCAACCCGCACATTCGACATGTCTCCGCACTTATTCTAGGGTTTTCTTCAGGGTTGGCGGCTCATTCCTTGATACCCAGCGGAATGAGGGAGAATGAGGGATACATTTTTACCCTGAACAGAAGAGTTGACTTGGTTCTGCAAGCAAGCGGATTTGGAATTGAGCTCCAAATTCTTCGAGCCAAGGAATTTCCAGAAGAGTCAAGACAGAGAGCGGCTGGTAAAACTTGGAGAGCAAATGCAAAGATTTCCGAGAGTCTGAAAGTCTGAAAGTGAGAGCGCATCAACGTGGGTTTAAGGTGGGTTTAGCTTGAAGACGCAGGCCTCACTTACGTGTTGGATTTTGGGATCACAAATTTGGTTTGCTTTCTTAAAAGGCATTTTTGCTTTTCCTCCCCCGAAAATTACTCTATCATTAAAATTGCTTAGATTAATTAAAACTGGCATTTTATCTAGTAAATCCTATTTGAGATTAATTATGCCACAAAATCAAATACGTTAACTATCGATTATTGATTATTGAAAGTGAATATGAGAATTACAACTTGATTATAAAATTTTAATAGCAAATTTTACAAACTATGAAAGTGAAAAAATAATATAAGTACGGATGGTTACTGTAGGTTATTTTTATACTCTTACATTTAGGCCCAAACTTCTTTTAGGCCTTCCCAATACACTCGAGCATATTGAACAAAAACATAATAATGACTCAAAAACAATGAGCTCACTTAACAACCAAGTTAAATTTAGGGGGTGTTTGGCAAAACCAAAACCAAGGTTTCAGAATCACTTTTCCGCAAAATGAGATAACCTCCTCCACATATTTACTTCGTAATCCGTAAAAGCACTTCTGAAACCATGGTTTAGTTTCTATCCAAACACCCCAGTGGAAGGAGAAAATTACTTACAAGGTTGCGAAGCTGACAGTATCTCAAGACCTTGATAGGATATCATGTTAATATTAATATTAATTATTTTCAATTTTTGTTAAAAGCTTATACCATTTCATTGTCTATTACTTTGAGTCATCCGTAAAAATCATTTTAAAAAAATCATTTCTAATTCTAGTTGATATAGTTGACTACTAACATTTTCTACCTTCATTATGATGTCATATCGTTGAATATTTGTCTCCGGACTTTATTTCTCTAACATTTTCCCTTTAATTATTTCACACATAAATTCACAATTAATTTATCATTTCAAAAATCAAAAGTTGAGTACAATACTCATTTTACAAATTTACTTCTTTCACTTAATAATATCATGGAACAGAAGTTTGATATAACAAATTATATCGTGAAAAATATAATATACTTTAACAAATTATTCCCTTTCGTCCTTTTTTTTTTGGGCCAACCTTTCGTCCTTATTATAAGCACTTAATAACAACTTTACACAAAATAGTAGAAGTAAATAAAATTAATTATTTCTTGTAAAATTTTAAAATTACCCTTAGTAAAAGTCACTATTTAAAGAAGTTTTGTTCATTAGTTACGGACTTTTATAATAATTAAGGATGCTAAGTGAAATTTTCATCATTACCCGTATACCTTATCATATCCTTGCTACAAACAAGGGTTTAGCTGTTAAAAAGTGGATCATCATTTGATGACAAAAACCTCCAAAAGCCATAACAAAGACAAATAAGAAACAGCAAAGATAGGAACTAGCAACCAGCTATAATAAACCAAATAATAAATAAATTAAGGCTGTTCATGGGACGGATTGGGACCGGGACAAGCCCGTCCTGGTTCTATCCCGATGAACAGTAACGGGACAAAAAATTTGTCCCGTGTCCCGGCCCATCCCGGGATTGTCCCGGTCTCGGTTGGGACGGGACGGGACAGATCCGAGACGTCCCGAAGTATTTTTAAATTTTTTAAATTTTTTTAAAAAATCTGATTTTTTTAATTATATTTTTTTGGGCTTAAACCTTATAAAAACATCTTTTTATTTTCTTTTTTATTTGTTTGGGCACTTTTAAACAAAAGCTCAAAATATTACATATAATAATCATTAAAAACTCTAAATAAAAGCTTTTAACACAATAAAAACTTGCTAAAAATTCTAATGATCAATAATCTCAAATCATTAACAAATATAAAAACTCTAAATAAATATATCTATAGTTTCATACAATAGTCTCAAATCTTTAAAAAAATATGAAAAAAATGATATTATATAAATAGGATAAAAAATTAAAAAAAAAGGAACCGGGACAGGACAATCCTGCCCCGTGTCCCGTCCCATCCCGGTCCTTTTTTTGTCCTATCCCGAAAAATTTCTGGACAGATCCGTCCCGTCCCAATAAGACCGGGACCAGAACAGGCCGACCGGGACGGACCGGCCTTGAACACCCCTAGAATAAATAGATATTAATTCATGCATTTAAATGATAATGGATTTCTTTTATTTCTCAAAATCATCTTCCAATTAACTCTGTGCATATATGAACTGAGAAGGAAGGCGAATAAATACAAGAAACCAATTATAGTAGACAATTATCGGTATTAAATAATGCTTAATTAAGCTGACGCGTAAATAGTTAAATATGCATCTGGAGGAATAATTGAAACATGAAGATAACATAACATGATAAAAGATCAAGGCACGACTTGAAGATGAGATTATACTAATCCATACCACTTGTTTATTTCTCAAATTAAAGGTATAAAAATGGCTAAGGTAGGAAGAACCGAATCATTAAAATGGTGCAATGCACTTAAAGATTGAGCAAACAAATTGAAGATCCGGAGGAATAAATATAAATGCATCAGATGGTAAAACCAGTGTTTTATAGGGAAGCATGATCCTATGCGAGGATAACATGTCTGAAATTACCAAAAGCATTCATACAAGAAATACCAAGTAATAATGCCTCTTTTTCCCCACTAGCTGTTATAGACACAAACTTCCATCACGGATGGTCGCATGATTTGAACTGCAACAGTTTCTCCAATTCAAAACAAAAATGGAGGGCCTAATTGCTATCATTTTTCTATGCTTTGTTGCCTCGCCTTTCTTCCCTGAAACAATAACAGCTCAACCTGGTCCTATCTTCAATGTGCTTGATTTTGGTGCTGCAGGAGACGGCAAAACTGATGATTCCCAAGTATGTAATCCCTGAAAATGCCAACTTCATCTACATAATCTTAACTCTCTATCTACTAATCTCATCGTACTATAGCCCATTTGGCTGATTAATTTTTGTTGGTCATGTCTTGTGACAACTTGTAAGGCTTTTCTCAAAGCATGGACGAATGTCTGTAACTCAACCCAAGGCAAGCCCTCGACCCTCTTAATACCTGAAGGCAAAACCTTCATGTTGCAACCTGTGCTTTTTCAGGGTCCTTGCAAGCCTTCATCCATTTATTTCTGGGTAAATTAATTAAACACATTTTCTCCTTTTCATTTGATCAACCCCAACACTTCCAGATGCAGAATACTAGCGCTGGACCTCGTCACAACGTATTTATTTTTTTCTCTTATGTTGCCAGATTAATGGGACCATAATTGCTCCTGCAAGTGTCAATGCTTGGAAATGGCCAGACGATGATATGGACGCATGGATTCGATTCTTAGAGGTATATAGACTTCATGTGCGTGGAAATGGTACTTTTGATGGCCAAGGTGCTCCGTGGTGGGACTGTTTTGCCAAGAACCAATGTCAAAGGCCGCAGGTATAAGTTTATAAACTTACCCTCTGCTTCGGATACTATATTCGAAGTAATTAGCAAATCAAATCAAAGGCAACAAATTTAAACAATAGTGAATTATATTGTAAATTAACTAGTGGGATGAAATGGTGCAGGCTTTGAGTTTTCACAAGTGTGCTTCTTTGGAACTTGTGGGGTTTCGTGTGGTCAACAGTCCAGGTGGTCATATAAGCGTGGACGATTGCCAGGGTTCCAATATATCCAATGTGCGCCTTGATGCCCCTCAGGATAGCCCTAACACTGACGGCATTGATATAGCAAATTCATCCAACGTTGTTGTTGCACATTCTTCCATGCAACTTGGTAACTAACCAACCTAACTAATTCACTTACCCTCTCCCACATTTGACTCACGTGTGTGTTCCTAATTTATCCTGCTCTTCTGTTGTTGCAGGTGATGATTGCATCGCCATCGATGGAGGTTCATCCTTCATCAACATTACCGGTATTTTTTGTGGGCCTGGTCACGGCATAAGGTGATCACGGTTTCAATCATCTCTGTTTATTTTTTGGCCTATTCTTTATTTCCTTCATTGAAACTTCCAAAAAAAACCTGCTCTTGTTAAAAAAAAAAAATTTGTAAGACTCATTCTGTGGTATGTTTTGTCGGGTCAATGTGCCTCTTTAGCATTGGAAGCCTGGGAAAAGATGGAAGTTATGCCCAAGTGGAAGAGATCCATGTCCGAAACTGTACCTTCACAAGAACTTCAAATGGAGCAAGAATCAAGACATGGAAGGTATGCCATGCATTCTTATATCAGACATAAATGGGAGGTTGATACGATCACGCATTGACCAGATAATATACATATTTTGTGTTTTGTTCATGATAAGGGAGGATCCGGGTTTGCCAGAAAGATCACATTTGAGGACATGATACTGGTAGAAGCTCAACACCCGGTGATTATCGACCAGAATTATAGAGCTTATTCTCCGAAGGATGACGACAACAAAGCAGTGAAGGTAAGCGACGTAACATTTAGGAATTTTCAAGGAACTGCGGCAAGTGAGAATGCGATCCAATTATTGTGCGACCGAGTCATAGGATGCACCAACATTGTCTTGGATCAAATCCATATAACTTCTTCTGTTCCCGGAAAAACAGCAGATGCGTCGTGCTTAAACGCTCATGGCAAAAGCTCCCCATCTAATGTTCCTCAAGCTCAATGCCTATTGACCTGACCCTTCTTTTGCAGCTTCCATATTTGAATGATTTAAAATACCTGGCTGAGCGGTTGCTTCAAAATGTATAAATTGCCATGTACTTCCTCTGCTCCATAACATAAGACATTGGTTAAAATAAAATTATAATTTAAAATATAAAACACAATAATTGATGTTATTTTTCCACATTCACCCTTATAAAATATAGGAGAGAGGCAAGATAATAGAAGTATAACATTGTAGGTAACTTTATCATTTTAAGACATTTAATGACTAAACTTCTATTTCTTAGAATTAGAAAAAAGTTAACTAATTTCCCATATTATGAATCAAGAGAGTATATTGTATATTAAATAAGAGTATCACTAAATATGGTTAAGATTAGTTTGATGCACTCAAAAAAAAAAAAACTGTCTAAAAATACGCTAATTATTAATTAATTGTAAAAAGGAAGAATGCCAGAGAATAGGATCTGAAAGAGAAGATCAAAAGCCGGTAGATAATCGAGCTTTGCCCCTATGAGAATTGCCTTATGCAAATGGGGGATTTTTTTTTTTTTTGGGGCCAAGGACACGTAAATGGGATATCATATCCCACGTAAGTCTTTTGTTATGGATCGGTACTTTGACCACCACGCTATAGCAAAAAATGGAATTTCACAAAAAGATACGGTTAAACTCAGGCAGGGACAACTTCTCTGAACTTATTTTTCTAAAAACTTCTCAAATACTCTTAAGATACTTAATTTCTAAGATAAATTGGTCTATAAATTTTGTTTAAATTTTCCGTCTGTTATCAGTCACATTAACGATATTTATACCCTTTCACATTTTTACACTCTATTTTCAATTTTATTACCAGATGAGCTCTAGCCCCTTGTATTCCAAAACTTACATTTCATAAAATCAACAATTTGCAAAAAATTTAAGTATCCTTTTGTAATGAAGGTGCTGCATTTTTGTTCTGACCATGACATGAGAAAATTTTATGGGTACCATTCTTTTCATTTACAAAATCCTTCTACCAATGAAAATTGTTCAATATATGAGTTCCTTGTGAATCCAAAGGAGCAGATGAGCATCCACAACTAATGGCGGCCAGCACGGCTCTCTCAAGATCCATCATTACAAGTCATACTCAGAAGCACATTGCCTAAGCAAACGCATTTTGAAAGCATAAACATATGCAAACCCGATAAGTCCCTATGACCTGTTCACAGGTTCAAGTGCCTCAACAGTGACCACACTATTTCCTCTGATAACCTGCAGCAACAGAGCAAATCATCAAACTTTTTATTGGTGCCTGCATCTTGAACGCCGATCATGAAACATAAAATGCAAAGAATAAGAACCTACCACCATGCCTATATCATTTTTCTCGTTGCCATTCACTTCCACAGTATTGTCAACAACTAGGTTCATGAACTGGTCAAACCCCCTAAGAGTGCCTATAATCATCCGATTTGCATTCAGCTTGACTGCAAAAGAACACGTCTTGAGTATTTTATTGTGTCCATCTCTCGAGGGGTGTTTACTAACATAAACCTACCTTATCAAGGTTTTAAAACAAAGGCACGTACTAACACAGACAGAATCGGAAATCACGAGTAATTAAATAATCAATCATGAAATACAAAATGGACTAGGCGAATCTGCTCGTGAAGAATGATATAGAAGTGTATGGGAAGAATATGTGTCAAATAAGAAGAATGTTATCCAATCTGAACAATTGGATGGAGCAGCTCAAGCTCCCGTCCAAATATCACACAAGTTAATAGCAAGGACGTAAATAGCAGATGAGAACTGGGCAGTGAGGTGGAGAGAGGCCAGATATGAGACCCCATTCAACCTATACTTGTATAACTGATAACGTCCAACATGCAAGTGCAGAAAGAGTTAGTCTTTACAATAGGATAATCGGGTGGTCCTAGAAATTCAGGCTGTATTTGAGCCAAATGAGCTACTATGGATCGACCATAGATACAGAAATAGAAGCACAAACCAAAGAAGCTTCGACTCACCCACAGTTCAATTGGGCATAGGGCTTCTAGGACTAGGGATGAAGCAACAAGCATGCGGCATGAAAATAGTACTGATACAAAGCTCCTGAATAGAAAACTTCGGCAGTCGACTTCACGTCATCAATGATTACGTGCATACAAAAATTGGGGCCGGCATTTCCTTTTCACATGTCGTCTTAAAGAGAAAAATCTGGTCGATGAATTTCATTTTTAGCCGTAACTAATTTCCACTTAAGTGTCATTCGATCGATGAATTTCGTCATAGAAAGCTCACGGCTTTCCTCATCCTTGGAACCGAAAATGCAGAAACAAATTAGAGGGAACTAAGTATCCCTAAAAAGTTACTAACTGGACACGTTAGGCTCCCTTTTCTTCAGATATCTGGATAACAAACGACTTCCAGATGAAAACTTGAGGCACCCAACAACCTGTCTCTCTCAAAAAGTTCTTTTCTTTCTAATCTTTCTAAGAGGTGGAATAGAATAACCCGGTTGAATCCGAAACGAAATGTCGTCAACTCCATTTGTTAGAAGGACCTCCCCTACACTATCGTAACCGAAGTAGAGTTTAACCACCAAGTTCGGATGGAAAATGATGAATCCAAAAATTCTATGGAATTCCAGCTCGACTCGAGACCAAGACTCTTTACAAAATTTCAGTCGACAGAAACGAAATCGGAACAGAACATTAGATCATTTCTCGACATCGAAGACGAGAATCAAGCCACCGGAAACAAAACTTACCAAGAGGGAAGTCATTGCAGCGCAGAACTCAAAGACAGAGAACTTAAGCGGATTAATTCGTTAAACCATTTTAGGGGGGCAAGGAACGGAAAGAAGGGAACCTACTCTGAAGTTTCTTGTCCATGTACCTGTAGGAAGGCGGAGAAAAACAAAAACAAATGCTTAGACAAAACAACAATAGAAAAAATAGACAGATAAAAAAATGGAAGAGAAACATAGAGATGACAAAGAAAGCAACGCTTACTTCTTGAGATCTGGCGGCTGGCCTGACCTGCTCATGGTGATGGATTTTCCGAACAACGAGGAAAAGAAAGAGGTTGATGAATAGGAGACAAAGAGGCCTAAAACCCTGTTCCTTTTCTACCCTAAACCCCTAATTACTGATCCGCGCGAAGAGTCTGTTTTATTTTGAGAAAAATAAAATAAAAGGAAATTAAAATTTGTAATATTTTAATTTACACACTTAGGACTTCAAGATCTTAAAAAAATAAGTGAAACTTGATGAGTTATTTTATAAATATAATTAAATAACAAAAATATAATTGTATCAAAAAATTTATCAATAAGTTGTTAACCGCTAATAATAGGTGTTGAACAACAAATGACAAAAATATATTAATAATGAAAAGTTATTTATTAATAAGCTATAAACTGATAATGACAAACAGCTAATAACAATAAATGTATTAGCAATAATAAGTTTGATATTTTTTTTAAAATCTAATACAAGAACATTTTAGTCATTTGATTATATTTATAAAATATCAGATCACGCACTGTTTTTTCTTTTAGGATTTTGAACTTTGAGGTATCAATTAGAATATTGTAATTTTCAAATGTTTTTTATGTCAATTTTCCTTTATTTTGTTCCCAGAGAAGATTTTTTTTAAATCCCCCTTAATTTTTATGGAATTGCCATGTATTAGGGCTGTTCAAAAAACCCGCAGTCTGGTCCAACCCAGTCCAGTCTGAGTGAACCCGACCCAATCTGGTCTAAAAAAAAATGACCCGATGCAATAAAAGACCAACCAGACCAGACTGCTTTCTTCGGGTTGGACTAGACCAGGGACCAAGCATTTAGACCACTTGGTCCGGTCTAGTCTAGCCCGAATATTATATATACATATATATATTAAAAAAAATAATTCTAACCTAATACCATCATTTTTCTCTCCCATAGATGCACTTCCCGTCGCCGTCAACCTCAATACCTTACCAGCTTCAGTCTTGCTTTCTTCATCTCTCATCCCTTTGCCGTCGATGATCTAAAGCTCAAAAGCAACAAGCACTAGCCACCAAATTAGTCTCCTCATCATCAATCTCAGTCTATAGTCTTCGGCCTCTCACCTCTTTCTTCTTCATCATCTTCTTAATTTTTTTAGTCTCCATCCCGTTGCTCTCTCATTAGCGACCTTCCTACTCTATCACCTGTGACCATTCCCGACCACTGCACCACTAGAGTCTATTTTGTCCACCTGCAGTTCGTATTGCCTTCCTCAACCTCTCCCCCTTCAGGTCATTGTGTCGACACCATCCTCAATCTCTCCCTTTTCAGTTTGCTAGCGTCGATTGGCCTTCTCAATCAACTTTGCAGCTTTCAACTTTCAGATCAGTTATGCATCTTCCTCCTTCCCGTGGATATGTGATTCTTCTTCATTCTCTCTATCGACCCATGCTTCTTCCCCCCCTCATCCTTGATCTGCAAGCTCAATGTTTGCGCTTCCTCCCTCATTGTGCATTTCAGGTTGGCTATTAAGTGGATTTTGCTGGTTGAATTATTTAGAAGAAGAAGAAGAAGAAGATGGACCACCTAGACCAGTCCCCCTAGTCCAAGAGACCAAGTCTGGTCTGGCCCGAATTCGGGTTTTGTCTAGACCAGACCAGACTAAGGATTGTGTTTTCCAGCCCGAGGCCTTATCTAAACCAAACTTCCGGTTGATGAGTAACCCGGTCTGGTCTGGTCTTTGCACAGCCCTGCCATGTATTGGCAAGATCGATTTCTCTTTAAAGTTTGAACTATTGGGCACTTGGCAAAACACATTCTGGTTTATAATTAAAAAATATCATCAATTTTCTTCATGCTTATTAATCGTTAGTTTTCCCGCATTTTAAACAGCCACATTAACACCATTTTGACAGAGAGAATAATAATTCAAAAAAAATACAAAATAAGTCTTAAAAGTTATTAATTTTTATTTTAAAACTTGTCATTATAAATTTTTTAAATTGTTATTAGAATTTTTTAGCAATTATTTTTTTAAAATGTTATCGTAATTCTCCCATTTTAACAAGTAAATCATTCATTGAAATAAAACTAAAATAGTATGGTTCTATCTGGTTTTAAGAAATTTAGATTTTAATTAATTTTGTACCTTTTTTCTGAATTGAAAACAAAATATATATACATGTGTGTGCGGGTTTACAATATAATGTGCGCGCGCGTGATATTAAAAAAATAAGAAGGAAGGAAAGAAAAAGAGAAGGAAGACACAAGCACGGCAGACACAGTGACAGCGGCATCTTTCTTTCCCCCGTTTTTACCAATACCGGGATGGAGGGAGAAAGGTGGTCACATAATCTTGCGCCCCACATTAACTCCTGTGTTGTTGAATCCCTATGCAACATAACCGACGTTTGCTTCCTCCGTGAGAGTCTTTACACAATCCAAACCCATTTGGTGGTCCACTTGTTGGTCTAAAAGTTCCTTAAATCTTGCCCGTCTTCATCACCACCATCGCTAAAAGCTCGAGCTGATAGTACTGTGCACTCCAATGATATGCTACCAACGGTGTAGCCCCTTGAATTTTCGGCCAGCAAATGGAGAATCCCATCACCCGAAGTTGCGCTCATCATATCTGGTTTGCGATTCTCGTCTCTTTCCTCTTGTTCTCTATTCTTCTCTGTTTTGATTACTCCGCTACATTTGATGGTCCCGGCATTAGTGGGGCCTCTTTCCCAGTCAACAAACCAGTGTTGGTTATGATGAAGAACAAGACCAGCAGTGACGCTGATCCTTCCTGCACTGGTCGATACGTTTATATTCATAACCTTCCAGGTCGGTTCAACCATGACTTGCTCCAGAATTGCCAGGTTCTCACCAGAGGAACTGATAAACCCAACATGTGTCCGTACATGGAGAACTTGGGTTTGGGCCCAGAGGTCGGGAACAATACTGAAGGGATTTTGACCAGCAGGAGTTGGTATTTCACTAATCAGTTCTTGCTAGAGGTAATTTTTCACAACAGAATGAAAAATTATAGGTGCTTGACCAATGATTCGTCTCTTGCTTCTGCAATTTTTGTTCCTTTTTACGCCGGTCTTGATGTCAGTCGCTTTCTCTGGGACTCTAGCCTCACAGTGAGGGATTCTTCCGGTTTCGACCTTGTTCAATGGCTTGCCGGAAAACCAGAATGGAAGAAAATGTGGGGTAGGGATCATTTTCTCGTTTCGGGGAGAATATCTTGGGATTTTAGAAGGCAATACGATAATGAATCTTACTGGGGTAGCAAGTTCAGGTTTCTGCCTGAATCCATGAACATGTCAATGTTAGCAGTAGAAGCAAGTTCTTGGAATAATGACTATGCAATACCATACCCAACTTCCTTCCATCCCTCAAATGATGATGAAATTCTCGGGTGGCAAGAGAGAATCAGGCACCAAAAGAGACCCTATTTGTTTACTTTCACCGGAGCTCCAAGGCCTGAACTTGAAGACTCCATTAGAGGAAAGATCATAGACCACTGCAAAGCTTCAAGTGTCTGCAGGTTCGTGGATTGTAGCAACGGCGGAGAGAAATGTGACAACCCCATTAATGTTATAGAGGTGTTTGAACAATCTGTTTTCTGCTTGCAGCCGCCAGGTGATTCATACACCAGAAGATCCATTTTTGATTCTATGTTGGCGGGCTGTGTTCCTGTCTTCTTTCATCCAGGTACAGCTTATTCGCAGTATTTGTGGTTTCTTCCCAAGAACAGGACCAAGTACTCTGTGTATATTCCTGTGAGGGATGCGAGGGAATGGCTTGTCAATGTGGAGAAGGTGCTGCTGGGAATATCAGAGGAAGAAGTGTATGCAATGAGAGATGAGGTGATAAAGCTGATTCCAAGGATAATTTATGCAGATCCGAGGGCTAAGTTGGAAAATTTTGAAGATGCATTTGACGTAGCTGTACAAGGTATGATAGAAAGGATAGAGCAGGTGAGGGAAGTCATTAGGAATGGAGGAGATCCCAGTGTTGGATTTGCAGATGAGGATCATTACAAGTATACATTTTCAGATAATTAAGATTAAGAGTAGAGGGAAGTGGCTTTTTCCCCTTTCACTTTGGGGAGGATGCAAGGCATAAATTGTAGTAGTTATGGGAAATAATCTAAGATAGGGATTAATGATATAATTGATTGTGCAACTATAGTAATATAGTATACGTTGGTGATCCCAGTTTTGGACGTTTGGGCAGCTGAGATCGAAGATTTCGCTAATAATATTTCTGGGCCAATACGCTAAAAATGAGCAGGGAGGATGGAGAGAGTGCGAGGGAGGGAAGGAAAGAGGTGTCGGTGGATGCCGACAGTGAACAGTGAGGATGGGACAGGGGATATGCTATCCATGTGACCAAACATCCCTTCCGCCCCTTCTTGGGTGACTGTCTGACTGACTGCTGCTCCCCTTTAGCCACAATCTTCGCCTCTGATTGAGCAGCTATCCGAATCTCCCAACCTTTTATGAAAATTGAAAAGTCACCTTTCATTATTTTCCTGTGATTTTTATCATTTCGTTTTCACATCATCCTATTGATTTTCATTAACTTATCCAAGTTTAATTACCTTATTAGCCTACCCGGGCACAGGCCGGGTTTCACCTGTGCGGTACTTCGACTCATCAAAACTTGGGCTAATGTCAGGCCCAGTATAATGAAAAAAGCCCTTAATTGAAGAATCGACTTTTAACAAAAATATATAATTGGACTGATAAAAACTTGAGTTAATGTCGCAGCGCTGGGAAGGTAGCACCACAGCACAGTAAAATTTTTGTATCAAAAAAAAATTGTCTTTGTTCAATGCACCCATTTGCAAAATACTTCTATGAGGAGACATAATATATTTTAAAATTAATAACACTTCATTATTATTTATTGTTTATTATTGTAGACAAAATTAAAGGAATGAGACATTAAAAAGTCTTCATAGTAAGCATAAAGTTAATTTATTATATATATCTACCACGAAAGAGATGAGCTTGATGAACAGTTCGACCCTATGCAATGAAATTTCTTGAAATTTTCTTTAAAAAAGAAGTACTAATAAATTATGTTTAGTTTTTCATCATGTATAAAACACAAAAGTCATAACACACACAAGGTACCAATTCAGGAGTTCATATGATAGCAGGCCGCAAATATTCTTGTACATAGAATTAAAGGGGGATAGCGGTCCTAGTAGACACTCAAGCGAAAGGTTAATAGAGAGCTCAAATAACATCAAAATTTTCTTTGAAATAATGAAAACAAAAGACAAGGACTAGAATTGCTCCCCTATTATTTTCACAAGGAAAAAAGAAAGGTATAAACTATTCAACGACTGGATTCTTCTCCAAATCATGTTCGTAATCATGGGAAAGACCGAGATCTCCCAGTTGAGCACGTTTTCACCCACGCAATCACATTAATTAACGAACATCTCTCAAAGCTGGGAGAGGATTATTCAAAAGACTGAGAAAATCAGAAGTTGCCTCTCTCTCTAACTATTGATTTGTGGAAAGGATTGAAAACTTTTCACGACCCTAATTATTAAGACCTACAGCGATAATACTTAGAACAGCCTCTATCGGGACGATTAGAGGGAGGAGGGAGACACCCACCAGATTTGCTATAAGCTTCGCCACTTGCACCTCCATTGCAGACAGGCTTGTCCCTCTGCAGAGCGCCTTCAGAAATATACTTCTTCCCCTCCAAAATCCTTCTGCTTATGTCGGACTCCATCAGCAGCTCGTCTTCTTCGTTGCATTCTGCTATGGAACCATTGCAGGTGTATGCCTCATGATGACTCCTCAATGAAGTCGCCCTGCTGCTCATCAGCAACAAGAAGCAGAAACTCATCACAAGTTTAATGGTGGTTTTGTAGTACTCCATTAATCTTTCTGTGTTTGCAATTTGCTTCCTTCCTTCCTTCCTTCAATTCCTTCGTTCTAGTAGTGTGGTGTGTCGATGGACACTGAGCTTTTCCTTAAACGTTGTTAGTGTGTGTTGGTGGAGAACACAGAGCTTTTATTAACGCGTGTTAGTGGAGGCGGCACTAGTTTGGTGTGTTGATGGACCGCACTAAACCAAACTTGTTTGGACCATTAGGGTATATTTGGGTTGTTTACTTTTCATGAGCTAGCTGCCTTCTCCTATGCATATCCTGTTCTGTTTATGAAATCAGCTTGTATCATTCTAGTACTTATTGTGCTTCTTTTTTCCCTTTTTGTTATTGGGTTTATTAACAAAAATATTATCCATGTATTGTTTGCAAGGCAGTAATTCATGATTGGTTTCTTAGAAAAAATATTTTAGCATATTTATAAAAAAACATTATATTGAGGGATAAACTTTTTTAAAAGGATTTTATAAAACGGAGTGAAAGTAAGATTAAAAAAGCTCGAACTCTCTCCTTACTGTCATAGTATTTGAGAAAGACTTGAAGATGGGGCATGACTTCCCTGCACTTTCCTTCCTCATTTTCACTCATCTGCAAGGATATAAAATTAGACAATTCAAGTTTCATATTTTACAAAATATTTTTTTATTTTTTCATTACTACATTTTAAAACTATTCAGGTAAAATTTGAACAGTTTTTAGTTCTTTATTTAGTTTTCATAACATAATATTGTAATAGTAGTTTTATAAAATATTGATTTTCCACTATTCGTACGTAATCAAATGGTCTTGATAAGAAATGGGGAGATTTTTTTTTTTTTTAAAGATCATTTATTGGGTTCACACAACATAAAGATGAGACATTCATATCGTTGGCAGTAGTGCTAGCTAGCTGCCAATGTGATCTCGCAACACCGGAGGGGCGACTATATTCTCACATTATTTTTTGGTCAAAACGTAATTTTGACCAAAATCAATATGAAACCAAACACACACATTAACAACGTTTAAGGAAAAGCAGTGAAACTGCAGCTACATAAAAGATACTGACATATACAAATATGATACTTGTTGTGCTCAAATCCATATATCGGAGGTGCAGTCACCACCAGGGTATCTCAACTCATGGGCAAGGACAGGACCATCCGGTTCAGCCCCAAAGTCAACGAAGAAGTTTGGGTTTATTTTCAGGCCTCCTTCCTCAGTATCAACATCTATCTGCAACATGTGGGATCCTTTCTCCACTAGCTCTGGATAAAACTGTTTATCCCATTTACTATAGAGCGAGTTGGTCACATATAACCTTTTCCCATCTAAACTCAGTTGAATCATCTGAGGCCCCCCTCTTAACTCCTTTCCCTGATAATACCATTCATGATGAACACTGATAAATAATGCTAATGAGCATGAAATAAACTAGAGTTTGGGAATGGATTAGCACTGACCTGGATCTCTGGAACATCAGATTGCCAAGTTGTACCATCTTCTGCTACAGCTTCTACTTGGCTTCCTTTCTTTATCACTCCCCCGACCCATATTTGTCCAGTAAGTCGAGGATTCTTTATGTCCGTGATGTCATACTGTCTTATATCCCCGTGAAGCCAGTTCACCGTGTATAGAAATCGATCATCAAGGGATATCACAATATCAGTTATAAGCCCGGGCAGTTCAGGAAGAACCCAGTTTTGCACTTCCAACGGTTTGACTGATATTACAACCTGCAAAACCAGTTTATTAGGCCTCAAATACTTTGACCGAAGCACAATACTAATGAAAAAGAGGATAGTCTGCATACCTCATGGCTCCATGTCCCATCCTCAGTCTTGAAGAATCGTACAACGTTACTTGACAATGCACACGCAACGAGACCTGTGTCTTTATCAGGATCATGCAGAAATCGTATCTGCATTTATTGATAAATTAGCCACTATACATGACAAAGTTGGTGCACAATAATATAACGTCACCACGAGTATAAGCAAGGTTCAAACTGAACAAAAAGGAGCTGGGAAAAAAAAAAATACTGCTTCTGTCAAACACTTGCCTCCAGGGGAATAAGCCCTGCATCGCCAAGGTCCAGAGTTTGTTTGAGTTCGCCTTCAGGCCAGCTGTACACATTCAGAAACCTCCCATATAAGCCCTCAGACACATGCTGCGGGATAAAACCTTGGGTGAACGCTGAAGGAGCCCCCCATGATGTGCCAATCATTACATCGAGCCGTGGTTGATACCAAAAGTCATAATTGAATCGAGGACTGTGGCCAGGTTTCTCCCACCTATCAAATGCGAAGCAACACATAAAGGCATGTGATTTTATTAAGAGCACTGTCTACAAACACTTGGCTAATCCCAAACTATGCATGATGAGTGAGAATGGGTAAACTCAGATGCTCTTTGAATTTCTTGCAGATGAAGAAAGGGTACCTTCCTTTGATATTGAATTCCGAGTCAAGAAGAAGATATCCACACCCTTTTTCTTCCTTATCTCCAAGACATGAAATCATTATATCACCAGAAGCAAGGCAATGGCTATTGTGAGTGTGTGTTAATCCTGTTTTCTCCACTATTTCTTCCGACTCAATAACTTTATGCATGGAAGGGGCCCTTGGATTTGTTTTTGTGTCAACCACATATACGCGACCCGATCTGGAACATGATAAGAGAAGACTTGATAAGACAAGGGAGAAAGTTTCGTAGCAGTTAAATTTATGCCCTGAAATCTGACTAGCAATACGCAGAGTTAGTGTTGATTTGTCTTACATGAGACAAGGAATGATCAAATAGCGTCGAACGGCCGATGGATCTCCAAAGCAGGAGCTACAAGTATTCCACCCTGTATGGTGAAGTTCATCACCTAAATAAGGCATAGGTAGCCTGTGGATAACTTGTGAATAAGTTGGAGAACTTGGATCCACATCTATAGTGGCTAGATAGTCTGGCTTCTCTATTCCTGTTCCTGTATCACAGTGATTCATTTTCCATCATCAAAAATCACCAAACCGCTTAGTTACATGATACGACCCAAATGTCACTTGTGCCTTCCTATATGGTAATGAAATTCCCAGGTTCTAACTAATGTTACAATTAATGGCACTCCCCTGCATCAAAAAGTGAGGTGTTTAGGAAACTAAGAAGCCAGATTTAGTTCTTTTACAGTTATTTTTGGCCAAACTATCAACCAAAGTGTGTTGTGGATGTGTTTAAGCATATGTCTTCTCGGTCCTCTCAAACACTTAAGAATACAGAGCGCGTAGCTAGCAATGGTAGTTTATGAGAAAGCGTGAGGGGTTACCAGAGTAAAGAGCAACGACATAGATAAGAGTCTCTCTGGGACCAGACATGGCGGCGAGTGGGGAAGCATACCCTGGTCCTGTGTGAGTGTGGCAGCAATCATGCTCATTACTTTGCTCCACCACAGTTTTGCTTTGCTCCACCACAACTTTGCTTTGCTCCTCCACAGCTTTCGGTTGCTCCACCACAGTTTTGCTTTGCTCCGCCACAGCTTGCTCCGGCACCACCACCTCCGTAGCCATCCCTTACGAGATCAAGATGAAGAAGAGCACAAGGCTTTTGGATGTTAGAGTCCACACCAGACGTCCTTATATACAAGTCAGGTTGGTATCATCATACGGTGTCTTTTTTGGAATATAGATGTTTGTGAGAAAGCAGTCAGAATAACGTCACTGCGGATTTAAGGACATACAAAAAAGAGAGGAAAAAAAACTACTGTGGTGCATTATTAATATTATTATATAGCACTCGTTGACATGGTGACATTGTAATAGAAGTTAACAAAGTGTTTGATTAAAATGTCTGTACATTAAAGTGTCATTTTTAAGTAAGCAACTGGGCTACTCCTCTTCATTTATAAAAGGGCCATGCAATTGCACGATTCCTAAGAGAATCTCGAGATAATAGATTTGTCCAGGAAAAAATTCCCAGAGATAAGCGTAATCTTTGTTTGTAATTAGATATACATAGAATTGACAAAAGAAGATCACCATCAATTCATTCTTAGTTGCTGTAGACAAATCCACGAGAACATTAGTATACCTGATGTTTAAAAGCTGAGGAGTGAATGAAATGGATGGCATTGCGTGTGGCATGTTTTGTTTTGATGGTATTGAGAATGTCTCGGCCGGCGGGCATGACGGGAGCTTTTAGTGACTGCAGCGTCCCTTAGGTTTCTTCGACTTCTAGTTTATGTATACAAGAAAAGTTACAGAACCAAAGGTTGATCAGACGCACATTAAATATAACCAGACCAATAATATCCTTTCATTTGTCTCAAAGTATATTTAATTCGTTTTCACTTCTTAGAAGTACTAGTTTAGTAGTTTTGGACAATCTGCTGCTGCCTTGAGAAGCCCGTTATATATACGGCATGGCGACCTCCACCCCTACCTTTCAGTCTATTGCTTCCTTGAAGAAGACGGCAAGCTTAGCCAATTCCATTTTTCCATAACCCAACCCCTCCCTTCATCTACTTCCTAGCTTCTCCTCCAATATTGTTTCGCTGTGATTTGAGTTTTCTGGATCATACGCTGCTCTCTCACACTCTCTCACACACACGCGCACAGGCACACACTGGAGGTGGATGTAGAAGAAGCAATGATGCTTTGTAACTTTTGAAATGGTGAATATTTGATGCTCAATTTCTCCCATTTGAAACTTCGTAAGCATTCGTTGCATATGAGAAGAAAAAGTTGGAACTTCAGTTAGGTTTGATGACTTTCATTATTTCAATATTTTGCTCCATTAACTAATTTTTCTGAGTTCATCGCTGCATGCTGTGTCCTGTGGAAGCACACTTGTTATAAAAACTACAAAATTCACATAAAAAATGATTTCCCTTTAAATTTATGTCATTTTCAAGTTGGACCCCAGTAAAGCTACGGGAAGACACCTTTTATTTAGGGAGAATCACAATGAGCTATTAAGGAAAAAAAATAATTACTAAAAAGTTTTATAACAATCTAAGTAGTTTGTAATGACGAGTTTCAGAATAGGAAATGATAATTTTAGGCTTGTTTTATAATTTTTTTTAAAAAAATTTATTATAATTCTCCTTTTTATTCACACACAACCGCCTCATTGCCATGATTATTACTAGAAGAATGGGTTTGGAGGAGTTTTGATGGCATCTTGGCTATAATTGCTTTTTTTATATATTAACTTGTGGTTTATCTAATAAAGATTAAAATTGATTTTTTAATAAAGATTTAATTTATAACTCATAAGACCGCGAATTCAAATCTTATAACCAATGCAAAAAATTTTGTTGGTAAATACCCCTTCAACCCTTAATATGAGATATAATTAACTAATTTAAATAGATTAAGAATTATATGTTTTTTTCTAAAACATCTAAGCATCTTCTTCCTAATTCTCTTCCTCCCTCTTACTTGATTATTATTGAGAAAATAACAATAGGATTTATTTGGAAAAAAAATCAATAAATGTAATATCAACTCTCTAATTAGGCCTATATTAAAAACAGAGAAGTAATTTGTAAGTAACTCTGTAAGCACCTTTTTATCAACACCTAAACTTTTTATCATAAAATATTAACTAATGGTTTATATTAGCTTAATGGTCATTTTCAGGGCACTTATTGGACTGTGTGCCATGTGTTGAACTGCCATAGGCTAATAAAGCTATACTCGAAAGATTTATTTTAAGAAAGCAGCAACTTTGGTTGGAAATGCAACAGCCACAGGCTACGATTCCGCTGAAAATGATCACAGCTTGAATGAATCAAATTCAAGTTACCATCACAACTTCATTATCTAGCCGCATTCCAACTCGGCCGGTTTTAGATCTCCCCATATGGATATATGACCCTCCCTTCAAAGTTCAAAAATACTGCATTCAAATTGCTCGAGATTTAATTTGACGCACACAGACCCTGTATTGATTGCCCATGCGGTAAGATCCATAAAATGAACATTACTCTTCACAAACATGTCTCCTAAATTTGTATGATTAATTAGCCTCACTTCAACGCAATGGCTAGCTTTGGATTTAACTTGTAATTTCCATATCAACATGCATTTGCATCAAGATATTCAAGAGATATGCCAACTACTGTTCACAGTTTCTGAATATTTTGCTTCTCTGTATTTTGTATTTGTTTAGGTTTTATGTAAATGATTGCTTGATTGATTCACCGTGTATAGATGCGTGGCCAAACTGGTTATTGCGCCTGATCGTATGAATAAAAGCGTTTCCACCCCTTCAATTATTGCGCCTGAATACTACAACGTCATATCACAAAACAATCAAAGCGTCGTTGAAAAATTAAGTATCCCCTTTCTTTCAGTAATCATAATTACGCATAATATTTCATGCTAGCGATGTGCGATTTACTTTTTGGTTTTTTGTATAACGATTGAATTTAATGAAATTAACATTATCTAAAGCAAAATACATACCCAAAAAAAAAGAAAGAAACTCGCAAAATTATGGACCTCATGCAAATAAATCACAGGTCGCATTATTTATGGAGGACAAGATAGATGTTAACCTCAGACGAGAAACGGAAACGCATCTAACAACTACAATGGGATTGCTCCTCCTGTTTCTCTCCCTTTACTCTTAGGCTAAGATCTGATGGGTAAATTAAATTACTAATATCTCACCAAAAAAATTAATTATTAATAGGGATAAATGGGCCAAATGAAATCAGGCCCAACTGAGATCAATGACTGAGACTTCGGTTTGGAAAGACAAGGTGGGCCTTTAGTCTCCTTGTTGTTTGTGAAGTTTAGGGCTTCACCATTCCTTCATCAGTCTCCTTGTTTTTATTTTCTTTTTCTTTCTTTGGATTTTTTTTTGGACCTAACACTTAGTAACCTCATTGAGGTCTGAGGCTTGTGTCAATTTAGGTATTAGTATTTCTGGTATTCGATATAAGAATTAGTTGATTAACTTGAATAAATTAAAAATAATTAATTAAATTAGTTATTTATAATAAATAAGTATTGTCTTTCCTAAAATATTCGATTGGTTAGAACTACCATTATACAAAAACTATTTTTTAAAAAAAAATAAATAAATATAAAAAACAAGATAGATTAAGATTTTATATTTAGAACCAAATAAAAATAAAATAAAATATCGGAGGTACAGGCATGGTAAACAAGCGCATGCTGGCTTTTGTTGTTGTCACAGTCATCACTTATTGATACCCATGCCAAACGCGAGTAGCGTGATCACACAAGTTCCGTGTTTGATTCAATTTCTCTGTTTAATTTAGTTTCTTGGACTGTTAGGATATTCGGGTGTGCTCAAGAATGGACGAAAATCAGATGCTATTGAACCGTTTCGTAGAGTGCCGCATAAGCATTTGTTTTCTTGGAGAACGTCGATTTCTGGGTCGATACAGGGTGGGAGCATACTAGGGTTATGCTGCTTCGCTCAAATGCGAAAAGATGGGATTGTTGTAGTGAACCCAATGGTTCGTTCAAGTGTACTCAGTGCTTGTGCCAATATAGCTTTTTGAAGCTCGGAAAACAGATGCATCGTCTGGTTAAAACTCTCGGACATGACTCCGGCTGGTTCATAAGCAACGCGCTTACAGATACGCATGCCAAATACAGTGACCTTTTAGCAGTAAAAGATATCTTCTATAAACTGTGCTGGAAGGACGTCATTTCTGGACTTCCGTTCTTGGGTGTGTGGTGGAACTTGAACTCTATTCACACTAATGATATTCGAGACAACTTTAAACAACAGAGATCCATGATTGAATTCTACTAATCCCAGGCATGAAGTTCACACAACACAAGGATACAGATACACAAATAGTGTTGGATGTGACTGCTACATGACATTTAAAGTAGTGAAACTGCGGGTGTATGGAAGATAACACAAGTATGATACTTAACGTGCTTAAATCCAAATGTCGGAAGTGCAGTCACCGCCAGGATATCTCATCTCATGGGCAAGGGCTGGTCCATCAGGCTCAGCTCCAAAGTCAACAAAGAAGTTGGGGTTTATTTTCAGGCCACCTTTCTCAGTATCAACATCTATCTGTAAAATATGGGATCCTTTCTCCACTATCTCTGGATAAAACTGTTTGTCCCATGGACTGAACAGCGAGTTGGTGACATACAACCTTTTACCGTCTAAACTCAGTTGAATCATCTGAGGCCCCCCTCTTAACTTGTTTCCCTGAAAAGAAAAGGTTCTATCTCATCAGCCACATTTAATCTGGTTGATTACGTGCTTAAATGTTGTTAATGACGTCTAACTCAAAACAGAGCACGGGCTGAAACTAAGTTTCTGTCTTTTACATTTCCAAGGTTACCCATCAAGCATCATGATTTAAAGTTTCACCATTTCACTAAGTTCTCTGTCAATATTTTTATGAAATATTTTGTTCTATATAATTTGCATTAAGAGCATGACCATGAGACAATGATTACTATGTTCAAATATGTTTTATGAATACCAGCTGCTTCCAATCGATCAAAGAAAAGTTCAAAATTGTGAGAGAGAATTTCAACACCAGGGTTACGAAGCTTGAGAATGGACTAGCACTGACCAGGATCTCTGGAACATCACATTGCCAAGTTGTGCCATCTTCTGCTACAGCTACTACGGGGCTTCCTTTCTTTATCAGTCCCCCAACCCAAATTTGTCCGGTAAGTCGAGGATTCTTTATGTCCGTGATGTCGTACTGTCTTATATCCCCGTGAAGCCAGTTCACAAAGTATAGATACCGATCATCAAGGGACATCAGAAAATCAGTTATAAGCCCAGGCATTTCAGGAAGAATCCAGTTTTGCACTTTCAGTGGTTTGACTGATATTGCTACCTGCAAAATCGGTCTAGGCTATGAAAATATTGATTGACGTGTGAAAGTCAAAGCACAGTACTAATTAAGAAGAGAACAAATATATATAGATATTCTTTCTGCATACCTCATGGCTCCATGACCCATCCTGAGTCTTGAAAAATCGTACCATGTTACTCGACAATGCACACCCAACGAAACCTGTATCTTTGGAAGGATCATGCAGAAACCGTATCTGCATTTATTGATGAATTAGCCACAATACATGCCAAGTTGGCGCACAATGTCACCACAAGTATAAGCAAGGTTCAAATTGAATAAGAGCAATGTAAGTAACGAAATAGCTTCAAATCCAACAAAAAGAAAAAAGGAAAAACCCTCGTAGCTTATGTCAAACACTTGCCTCCAGGGGAAGAAGCCCTGTGTTTCCAAGGTCCAGAGTTTGTCTCAGTTCGCCCCCAGGCCAGCTGTACACATGAAGATGCCTCCCGTACAAGCCGTCAGCCACATGCTGCGGGTTAAAACCTTTGGTGAATGCAGCAGGAGCCCCCCATGATGTGCTAATCATTGTGCCGTGCCGTGGTTGATACCAAAAGTCATACCCGAATATAGGACTATGCCCAGGTTTCTCCCACCTATCACATGTGAAGGAACGCATAAAACCATATGGTTTAATTATGAACACTATCTGCAAACACTTAACTATAATGAATAATCGCAAACCAGGCACATATAGAATTGGTAAACTCAGATAATCTTGACATGTGAATGTGAATTTTTTTGCAGATTAAAAGAAGGAAGTACCTTCCTTTCACGCTGAATTCAGAGTCAAGAAGAAGAAATCCATTCCCTTTAGCATTTCCTTCCTTATCTCCAAGACATGAAATCATGATATCACCGGAAGCAAGGCAATGGGATGTGTGAGGATATGCTAATCCAGTTTTCCTAATGATTTCTTCGGGCTCAACAACTTTATGCAAGGAAGGGGCCTTTGGATTTGCTTTTGTGTCAACCACATATATGCGGCCCGATCTGGAATATGATAAGAGAAGACTTGGTAAGGCAATCGAAGAAAATTTAATTTGTATCCTGCCTCAGACAAATAAATGTATCAAGTCATCAGATCGGACTAGCAATGAAAAGCGATTGTTTTTTCCTCTTACATGAGAGAAGGAAGGATCAAATAGCGTCTATCAGCGGATGGATCTCCATGGCAAGAGCTGCAAGCATTCCACCCTGTATGATGAAGTTCATCACCCACATAAGGTACAGGTAGCCTGTGGATAACTTTAGAATAAGTTGGAGAGCTTGGATCAACATCCACAGTGGCCAGATAGTCTGGCTTCTCCTTTCCTGTTCCTGTATCATGTAGATTCAATTACAATCATCAAAATCAGCGAACTGCTTTGCTATATCACGAGTATGACCCAAATATCACTGAGTCGCTACCCAGAAAAGCGGGGCGGGAAACATGCTACTGCATGAGAGATTAGAATGGAAGCACCATTGATTTAATGTTATGAAGAATTAAGGGATCTTGCAATAACCCCTGACTAGTCATAAAATTAGTGCCACTCGCCGGCACTGAAGAAACTAAGAAGCTAGATTTTAAAGCTTTTATATTTTTCTGGGCCAAAGTGTTTTACGAAATGCGCTGAGCCTCTGGAGATCACAACGACCTCGGCTCTCAATTCCAGTACAAAATCCTTTTTCTTTTGTTTCTTGTGACAAGGCTGATGGCTCAATTGGAGTAGGAAGAGTGTGCATCAGATGAATCACTGACAGCAAGTGATAACAAATTTTCAAGGGATAATTCCCAGATAACAAAGCCCAGATCTTTGAAAGAAATGAAAGGCAACAGAAAATTCTGATGAGTGAAGATATCGCACGGAAAGCTTCTTCGCAAACACCAAATTCTGTGGTAAAATGAGTACAGCTAGCAAAGTAGCAATGGTAATTTATGAGAAGGGAAAAAGAAAAGAGGTAGGGGTTACCAGCGTAAATAGCAGTAAGATAGATGAGAGTTTCTCTGGGACCAGACATGGCGTCAAGTGGGGTAGCGTACCCTGGTCCATCGGAGCAGCACGCATGGCCATTGCTTTGCTTCACCACACCATGCTCCGGCACCGCCACATCCGTATAGTAAGGTTTGTCATGTTATCAAATATCACGCGATGACGATAACATATCCGAAATCCGAATGGTCTTCGTTTTTGGTCTTGGGCCACTTCACACCTTTATCTGAACTTAGTCAGGAAAACGTCAGTATGCGGATTTAATTATTATTTTATTGTTACGACTATTAATGCCATTATATGGCGTTTTCTTACCTGGCATTGAATATTCAATAATAGTAATAAATAGTCTCCCACAAAAAAAGAAGCAAATAGTAGTAGTTTAAAATCTTGATATTTATTTGTGATCATATAAGAAGGAATCTGGGCATATACTTTTCTGTGCATTTCTCCATTCTGCCTCCTTGCTTACAATTTTCCCTATTAATAAAGAGGGATTAGAAGAATAAGAATTGTAGAAGGTAACGTGCAGAAACAATGCACTATATTCATTCCATATTCATAGAATTGAATTTTTTTTTTAAAAAAAAATGAATAGTGTGTCTGTGAGTGCAGCTTGTCAAACGACGAAGAAGGGATAGGGATTGGCACAAAATATAAGTCTAGTTTAGTTAGTGATTGGTCTTGTAAAAATGATTGCTTTTCATTATGACTCATGATTTTGTGAATAACATATGGAAGCTAGGTGATTAGGACCTAATTCCTTTAAAGGCGATCATAGCTATCCCATCACATCCACCTAAGCTCTCTCACTGCGGCCACGTGTTTAGGCTGCCCAACAAAGAAGAGCTACTACGAGACAGATTGAGGAAACGCCAATCTCTGAAAGGAACCCGTGTCTTTTGTCTTCAATGAGAGGGGAGCACAGACACGTAAAAGATATACATGCCCGTATCATTTGTGGCCATTCTTAGTTACTAAAATGGATGCTCCAGCCGACAATACTTCGTCTAATGAATAGGAAGCATATGACTCACAGTATCACAAATTCAAATCTTGCTACTGATATAAAAAAAAATCTGTAATTACTTTTTAAATGCTAAACTTGAAGATATATTCTAACTCTTGATAAATTTTTAAGACCCGACGCACTTTTCTGCACCAAATAAAAGATGGATGCTCCGCATGTTGAAACTGTGCGCTGTCTTCATGTCCTCCGCAACATATTTTCTGATTAATATTGTGTCATGAACAGTAAAAAAAAGGTTAGACATCCTCGGCATTAATTACCAAAAACTAAACTTGAATATATTCTAACTCTCTGATAAATTTTTAAGACCCGACTACTTTTCTGCACCAAATAAAAGATGGATGCTCCGCAGAAACTGTGCGCTGTCTTCATGTCCTCCGCAACATATTTTCTGATTAATATTGTGTCATGAACAGTAAAAAAGAGGTTAGACATCCTCGGCATTAATTACCAAAAACCAGACATTAATGTTACATGCTCCGGACTAATAACACGACACCAGAACTTCACTTATAAGTTGGACAGCCATCAACTGCATTGATGAGATTTGACGCAAAAAAAAAAAACCTATTAATTGAAAACTAGAAATAACGCGGATCCTTCGTGGCATGCGAAGACTCATCATTGATTGCCCGGACAGCTCATATCATATCTTGGACTATCAGAATCATCATTAAAAAAACATCATCCCCTTTCATTAAATAATCATCATTCCGCTTAATCCGCCGTGCAATGACCTGCGTTGATTAGCTGTTTTTAGGAAAAATTTATTACTCCAATTCTAAATATAAAACCCATTTTGTAATGTAGTGCTACCTCCAGTTCTAGTTATAAGAGCTAGTTAACTAATTTGAAGAGATTAAAAAAATATGTTAAGTTAGTTATTTGTAATAAATAGGTGTTGTCTTTTCTAAAATATCCTTGCTAATCAAGTGTATTGGCTAGAACTACCATTGTTAGAAAGATTATCTTGAAAAAAATTCATAAATATGAGAGATAAAGTAAATTGGAGTAAACGTCAAACAAGGTTTTATATTAAGGACCGGAAGTAGTATAATTTATACTACAAAATGAGTAATTACACTATAAAATGAATCCTATATTTAGAATCGAAAGAGTATTTCATAAAATTAAGACTATCTATATAAAACCAATAAATTATAAAATACTATCTTCAATCCTTAATATAAAAATTAATTTAATATTTAATTTTATTCTAAATATAAGACCTCAAATTACTGTATCTCTTATATCTATTATTTTTGTGAAAATAATCTTTGTAATAATTATATATGTTAAATATTTTATTAAATTCACAAGCATCATGGTCATGCAGACTATTTAGCCAAGAATACTAATGGTAACAACCGAGAATTGTATACATTCATAATGGTAATTCTAATGCAGACTATTTACAGTTAGCGCATTAAGGGTCCATTGAGAAATAAGCCCAGGCCCATACAGGGGTTGAGGCTTTGGTTTTCAAAGCCACGTTGGGTCTTCACTTCCCTCTGTTGTTTGTGATTTCCCCATTCCTTGTTAAAAGGGGCAAAAAAAAAAAAACAGAGAGAGAGAGAGAGAAGAGAAGCAAGAAAGAAGCTTTCATCGCGCGGGCGCTCTGACGCTCTCTTCTTCTGCTAGCGGCTGGAGGCGTCCTTGCTTCAAGTCTGGGGATGAATGCCTATCTCTCAGTACGTGCTCCAACTCCAACTATCTTCCGCGCGCCGCAACCCATCCCTCGCCAAGAAACTGCATGCTCAAATCTTGAAATCTGGCCTTCTTCTACACGAGCCTTTACCAAACACTCTTCTCGATTCCTACGGCAAATGCGGTCTTGTTCAAGATGCCCTTCAACTGTTCGAAGAAATGCCTCACAGAGATCGTGTCTCGTGGGCATCGCTTCTCACTGCTTGCAACCTATCCAACAACCCCCGCAAAGCACTCTCTGTCTCTTGCTCAATTCTGAAGGATGATAAGTTGCAACCTGACCATTTTGTGTTTGCCAGCCTCGTCAAGGCTTGTACTAATTCCGGTGCTGTTAGGCAAGGTAAACAAGTGCATGCTCGCTTTTTGTTGTCGCCCTTTCGGGAAGATGATGTTGTGAAGTCATCATTGGTTGACATGTATGCCAAATGCGAGTTGCCTGATCATGCACGTTCCGTGTTTGATTCAATTTCTTCGTTAAATTTGGTTGCTTGGACAGCTATGATATATGGATATGCTCGGAATGGACGACAATCAAATGCTATTGAACTGTTTCATAGAGTACCGCGTAAGAACTTGCCTTCTTGGACAGCTTTGATTTCTGGGTTGATACAGAGTGGTAATGAAGTTGATGGGCTCTGCTTCTTCATTGAAATGAGAAAAGATGGGATTGATATAGTAGACCCATTGATTCTTTCAAGCGTCATCGGTGCTTGTGCCAATGTAGCTATTTTGGAGCTTGGAAAACAGATACATGGTCTGGTTATAACTCTTGGATATGAATCTTGCTTATTCATAAGCAACGCGCTTATAGATATGTATGCCAAATGTAGCGACCTTTTAGCAGCGAAAGACATCTTCTATAAATTGTGCAGGAAGGACGTCGTTTCCTGGACTTCAATCATTGTCGGCGCTGCTCAAAATGGTCAAGTTGAGGAGGTACTGACTTTGTATGATGAAATGGTTTTGGCTGGGATTAAACCGAATGAAGTCACCTTCGTTGGACTGATTTATGCATGCGGTAATGTCGGTCTGGTTGACAAGGGCCGTGCTTTGTTTAGATCCATGGTTGAAGATCACAATATCACCCCCTCTTTGAAGCACTATACTTGCTTGCTTGATCTTTTTAGTCGATCTGGCTACCTCGAAGAAGCAGAAAATCTAATCAAAACAATGCCATTCAAGCCTGATGAACCTACTTGGGCTGCATTACTTAGTGCTTGCAAGTCTCATGGTGAAACGCAGATGGCAATAAGGATTGCTGATCATTTATCAAATGTAAAATTAGAAGATCCCTCCACCTATATATTGCTCTCTAATATCTATGCGGGAGCTGGCATGTGGGAAAATGTGTCAAAAGTGAGAAGGTTAATGGCAATGATGGAAGTTAAGAAGGAACCAGGTTACAGTTCCATTGATTTGGGAAGGGAAAGCCATGTGTTTTACGCTGGAGAGACATGTCATCCCATGAAGGATGAGATCCTATGTTTAATGAGAAAGATGGATGCAGAGATGAGAAGAAGAGGTTATGTCCCAGATATTAGTTCTGTCTTACACGACATGGATCAGCAAGAGAAAGAGAGACAGCTTTTCTGGCATAGTGAGCGGTTGGCTGTGGCTTATGGCCTTCTCAAGGCTGTTCCGCGGACAATTATACGCGTAGTGAAAAATCTTCGTGTTTGTGGAGACTGCCATACTGTTTTGAAATTTATCAGCTCTATTGCAAACAGAGAGATTTATGTTCGAGATGCCAAGAGATATCATCACTTCAAAGATGGAAAATGTTCGTGCAATGACTTCTGGTGACTTCAAAAGCCTGACCGAAAATCTTAGTAATAAAGAATGGAAATATAACGTTACATGAGATATTATTATTAATTTGTAAATTAGGAAGTAAAAAATAAACAAAAGAATTATAAATGATTTAATTAGTTTTATTTTCGATTCAATTGTATGTCCGTTAGATTCATATTATCTATCTTTTATTAATTATATTTCTATTTTTATGTATCTTATCGTATGAAGATTTATCTTTTGAGTTCCTTCTCTTTCCTCCTCTGTATCTCTAACTCCCCACCTTTCTTCTATATCTCCGTTCTCTTTCTTCCATTCCTCCCCCATTTTATTATTCTACAGTTTTAGAAAGTTTTTGGGTGAAAACAAAAATTTTACTGCCGAAAGGTGTTTTTTTAAAAGCATTTCTATGGTTTTCCAAGCATCTTTTAGATATGTTGATTAAATTGCATCAATTCATCAATTCAATAATGTTTTGGAATGCGCCCTTTTCAAAACTTGAATTTCGTCATATAGCATATGGAAGCTTCCCATTCTAGCTTCTTAAGCATAGAGATTTTTTGGTTTGTAGCACCTAAAATCAACTAGGATGTTAGAAAATCCGAAGGCTTACTTCAACTCCCCCCGGGATGACATAATATCCACTTATTCATTAATATTGTGCATTGAATATTTTCATTTTCCTTTCAAAATTTCATTTTAGAATGAACACATTTTACCTGAGAGCATGACACGGTAATTATTCTTTTGGTTATACCAGTGCTTAATCCATTAATCCCTAAAATAGCCCCAGGTGACTAGTAACGTGATCATTACATGTATTTGTAATAAAACGATTTTTGCAGGCTTATTGCATTGTAATGTCTGTCTGTTCTTTATTATTACTCGTATTTTTAAAATAAGTATTCATCTCGGTTCTGGATAGTTGCTTCAAAACAATTACACAAATCAGGCTAAATTTCAATGTGGGGAACAATCTTTTTATTTTTTTAGGAGAATACAGTATACAGAGAACACGGTCATGACTCTCCCGTGCCGGTATGATACTATTCCCAGCAGCTAGTTTACTTGTACATATCGTCTATTTGCTCCCTGTATTGCGCCACAACTTTGTCCCTTCGAACTTTCATAGTGGGAGTCATAAGGCCATTATCAATCTGTTAGCAAAGCCAAAAGATTAGCCAAATAAGTTACTTTTACGACTTGAATATCATTAAGTTGCTGCCGTGGAGTTCAAATCTAACCGTGAAAGGCTCATCTATAAGAAGGATAGGTCCAATTTGGAATGGAAAATTTGATGTCCTGCATGAGAAGTAAGAAAGTAAGATAAGGGAAGAAGACCCTCTGGCATTTGATATGTTCCCTTTTCATAGGCACCACTTCTCACATAAAAAGTACCGAAAACATTCAAATAACTTGAGGGCCTGATAGATAGGATCGGTTATAATCAGTGACACCCCTAAATCAAATTGTCCAGCTATCAGTTCCACTCTCAACATTCAAGTAAGCTAATTAGCGCACCAACAAATACCATACAGATCGATTTATCTACGGCATAATTTTCTTGTCATTCCATGTAACATGCAGAAGCAAGGTGAGTCTTACCAGGTCTTTAGTTCTTTATATATCAGGCCGGTTGCTTTTTCCTTACTGACATCAGAACTGTTGGGATCTGTAATTGACAAGTTCCTTGCTGTTTTCACAATTTCTTCCTTGTTAGGAACGATCACAGCTCCTAGACGTCGCTTATCCTTTTGTCACAGATACCAATCAATATGTAAAATTATTATATTGCATATAATACAAAAATCTAAGACAGGCAGTTGGTGTGAATGGCTTGAGCTGGAAAAGTTAAGAGATATTATGGGAAAATTAAGTTCACCTGGCCAACAACAATAATATGTTGAATTAAACTACTCCTCATGGCAGCTTCTTCAAGTTCTACTGGCTCAACATTTTCTCCTTTTCATATCCAAGCAAGTAGTTAGGGATTTCGCCACTAAGGATGCAAGAATAAAAAAATAAACTCCAGAGCTACACATTATGAATATGGAAATGATTAAATGATAATTATAGCAAATCACAAATTGCATAGAGATAAAAGATTCAATCAGTAAAGTTATAGTATTGCACAGATATTTCAGCCCAAAAGGCTTTTTAACAATGCTTCGTTACATTTAAATTAGAGAATGGCTGCTCATGACTTTTAAACTTACTTCTAATAGCCTCAGCTACTTTAGATAATCAAATATTTAAATCAAGAGCTTGTAGAATAACTCCATACAGAAGTCTCGTATGAAAGAGGTGCATAACCATAAGCTACCACTTTCTGGCCATAGGAAATATACGTGCAAACCGATAAAAGGAAGTAATTTGAAAAAGTTGCAAATGACAAGCTAATTTTTGTGCAAACGGATGGATAAGCTGCATTGTTATGACATATTGGTCACACCTGTTGAAAGAACAATAGTATCTTTAGCACGGCCTTCCACAACTATCACATCTCCAGAATGACGACACCTCCCAACTGAGTGACGAGGAGCAATCCAACCCATATCACCAGTATTCAGCCATCCATCCTTATCTATGGCTTGATCTGTAGCTGAAGGATTCTAACACAACAATAAGACATGTAACTGTCACAACTCGATTCAGAAAAAAGACACAGGATGCACGTGAACTCTCTAAGTAGTGTTCCTGACAGTCCATTGAAAAGGTTGCTTTACTATTATGTTAAATATGCTGCATCTCATAAAACATCAGATCACATGCTTGGGGGCCCTTTTTGAGCCAACGCTCTAAATTTCAATTTTGGGAGATAATACAGTATTGTGGCCAAAATTAATATGCAAGCAGGATAAAGTACATTAAAACTGCTAAAATAGCCGAAATGTCCATCCCTAATTATTCTTTTCTTTGCAAGGCACAAGTAAGTAGTTAGGAGCTTTCTCAAATATCGTACAAAGATAAATTCACTAGAATCTCACCATCATCCAGCCAACGATAATGCAAAGTCAACTTGATTATAGAAGCTAAATTTTTGCAAACCAATGCCACTACAGAGGTAAGAAATTTCTCCATAACAGAATAATATCTTGTACAAACAGAACATCAGAACAATTTTCACACTCAGGAAAAGGTGCCTTTTGGTTTCTTTCCCCCCGTACATTACGCTCTACATTTCTTCACTCCCATATGTTGAGATATTTAAACTAGCGGTGGCTCAATGCCAGTCCAGAAGAAAGAACAATACAAGAGAGAATGATAGCATATTTGCCTAAAGAAAGAAAAGAAAGAAGACAAAAGAAAATGATCCATGAAACAGCAAAACTATCCAATCTCTTAGCATATCTGATAGAGACACCCCTTTGAAGAGGCATGAGACAAACATTAAAGAGGCACTAAACACCCTTCAAGATGCTCTCCAGAGGCCAGACCAATATCTTACAACATGACTGATCAGAGAATTTTTGCCACTTAATTCCTAACAAACCTTCTGTATATTGTGAAGGAAAACTGCTCCAAGGTCAAAGGACACATCCAGTTATAGACTCAAGCGAGACACTCACTCCCTCCATCCCTCTCCCTCTATTTCACATAACAATAAATATACATAGACCAAAACCATTGACATTTAAGCAAAGTAATTACCTTATAGTATCCTTTCATCACTTGTGGGCCCCTGACCTTTAATATGCCCTTTGAACCCGGTGGAAGAACTTCACCAGTTTCATAATCTACAACTTTGAATTCTGTGTGTTGAATAGGATGCCCAACAGATCCAACAACCTTCACAAGATTGTATCTGTAACATCTTAAGATACAAGAACCACTCTTTGCAGGAGTAAATATTATTAAAAATACAACCTAATTAGAATAACTCAGCTAAATCTCTAAATTCTACAGCGAGTCCTGGCCATGACTTTATATGCTATCAACAGTTTAATAGGGGTAATATTTATAAGACAAAAAGTAAAGCCTCGCAACAGGCAGCTATTGCACTTAAACAATATTATGTTGAAATATGCCTCTGCAATTTTATAGTTGTTAATACATTTTTTAGGGATAAATGCTAATGAGGGGGTTCAGCTAGTCAATCTTGATGATGAACAATCATTTTTCCCAGAAGCAAGGGGACCAAGAACCTACAGCAGATTTTCCACTAAAAAATGTAAGGATGACAAAATTGAAGTGCAAACTGTCATAGCTTTACAAGGCTGGATTAAAGATAAAAATAATTGTAATGTCAGTCTTGATTTGTGCTGTATGGGCTTCCCCCCCCCCCCCCAATCAGAGACTAAAAGAAGGAAATTAATTCGCTCGTGGATGTGGAAATGTAACTGGTCTAGTTTTTCCCAAATGTTTCCCTTTCCAAATTTGATAGGAACTTCTCCTTCACCTATTTTGGGATAGAATGAAATGGTTTAATAAATTTACTTTTCAAAGGATAAAGACAAACACCTCCACTACGTGTGTATGAAAAACAAAATTGGAAAAAATTACATAATAGTTTGAAAACTTTTGACAAACACATTTTCAAAATAGGAGCACAAAGTATGTACTTGAGATAAAATGACCCACAGCGTATTGCTATGCAGTTGGTTAGTTCCTTACATTACATCCAGGTCGTCGAGCAGCAATTACAGGAGAAGTCTCTGTTAAGCCATATCCATTCTGCACTTTCACACCAATTGCCTGCATATTATCAAGTAAAACCATAAAAGGATGCGTGAGAGAATCAACTTTATCAAGTTATACATGTTAAGCATCAAACCTCAAAAAATCTATCGACATGCAAGGGCAAACTACCGCCACCACTTACTCCAGCCTGCACATTACCAGAAAGTTTTCCTGGTCAAAAGCGATCCATTTTTTAAATCATTAATAATGGCATGTTATGGCACACAGCATAGATGAACATTATATTTTGTATTGGAAAAACAGAAAGAAAACAGAAACATGTATTTTTCTTGTTCAATTTTCAAGCTTCCTTCTATACTCTAGAAAATACGGAATGCAAGGAACCATGCCCCAACAAAAAGTATCTTACAATGTAGAGACAGCATGTTACTCCACCAAATTAAGCACCAATGGCAGGGAAGTTCAATGAAAGTTTAAAAGACAAACAATGAACTAAAAGTATATGTATACCATGGTTTTATCTACAAAATGAATAAGAATATTACAAGACCTTTGTTATTCCAATAGCTGAATGGATTTTGCTGTAGACAAGTTTCTTCGCCAGCAAATGAACTGGAAGTAATATTATGGCAATGATTCTTGCCCATAACCAATCCACTATTGAATAGACATAGGAAGGCTGATTCTGATGCTTTGTCAGGCATTTCCCCTACAAGTAAAATTGAAATTTGTTAAAAGCAATATCAATGGCCAAAATCAGGCAAAATTGTGGAGAAAAAAATAATAAAGAAATTCACTGCCTATAAAATAAAAAACAACATTTACATGTTTTTACAAGTTGATGAAATTGTGCTAACTATAAAACTTAAAAATATTTAGCATATACTGGTCTACCACATGGACATGTGCTACTTTTTACAAATGTGCTCACTAGATGATTAAATGTGGTCCATCATAGACTGATTAAATGGTTAAGAATGGCATCAATCAAGACTATTGATACATGCACTGAGATCAAATTCAGCTACATCACCATGAGCTGAAACTTAAGGTCTACATGAACTTGAAAATATAGGAAGCTCCAATTTAAAGAATTTTTTTTTTTTAAAATACAAGTTCAGTTTTTTTATTATAACTTAATTCCCAAGTTTATGAAGAAGGAAAAGTTTAGGAAGTCCTAATTGACTCATGGCACAGCCTCAAAAGGAAAGAGATATACTGTAACTTCTCAGCCAAGATGTAGCACTAAGCATGGATAAACCCCCAGAAAGAAAAGACCATCAAATCTATGGAGCTTCTAAATCAATGATTGAGTACTAAACTGGAAGGAACCAGAGAAGAAAATCCACAGCAAATATGCAAGCAATTTGGTTCGGCAGTATGGAATGGTAGATAAACACGTAATAGCAGCATGTACCCAGAAACTTTGATCCTTATGAAGATTTGATTACTAAAGCAAAGGAAAAACTTAGGTGGTGATACATTAATAGATTTCATCCAAAATGTAAAATGAGTCATTAGGGCTGGCAATAAGATTGTTGAAAGAAGTTCATCGGATCATGCTAAAACTTCTGAAACTAATCAAAAATGTACCATGAACAGACCTCATAAATCCTTTTACACTCCATGTACGCCAAGCTGACCCTTATGAAAGTCAGTGCAACAAGCTTTCTCAGAAGAGAACTAGTAGATATCTGCTTCTGGATATTACTACAGAAGATACAACAGAAGTTTTTTTTAAAAAAAAAAAAAGAAAAGAAAGATAAAAGTGCAATCAATAACATTAAAACCCATAATCTTCCCGAGAGAAATCCAAGATATGATTCAGCTGATCAGGACTCTGGCATCATCATCAACAAAGATATCTTCAGAGTGACAAAGTATTTTTAGCATCAAAGTTTGAACTAAGTAAAATTAAGTATTACATGTCAAAATGCAACGTGAGTTAATAGACCTCAACTTCAAGAAGAAATCCACTACAATTTTCAACTCATTTACAAGAACAAAAACAGCCTCAAAATGACATGAAGTGTAGTGAATTACATGAAAAGTCAACTTAAAATCTCATACATTTTTTAAATTATTTCTTACAAAAAAAAAAAATGGCACACCCAGAGTCAGGTTATATTACCAAGACAAATTTAATTAAACATGAAAAGGTTACAGGATAACAATCATAATTGATCACAAAGAACTGTAAATCCTTGACGATTGGTAAAAGAATTAAAAACCTTCTTAATAGAAAGAGAAGCTGGATGTTCTTTGGCGTGTGGGTCAACTCAAGTTATGTACCGTCTATAACAGAAGTTACTGAGACAGATGAGGAACATTGAGCAGGAAGATTCAGAATCTTCCTCCCACTTTTAACTCAGCCAAGGCCAAAATTACAAAAAATGTTCTTGCAAAATGCACCACGTTTCACTTAAAAAATTCTTTAAAAAACTTTTCTGGGCAACATCAATGCAGTTTATAAACATCGTCATATGCGCATTGATACAACTGGAAAATGGTTTTACCTGTATAATGTTTCATAAACTAACGGAACAGAGATCAAGTAATGTGGTTGATAATGTCCCAAATCATCCTGGGACCAAAAAGGAAGATATGAATACATACATTGTTCTTTATCACAAATAACCAAGTTAATCAACTAAGTAGTACATATAATCTTCAAAAGAAAATTTTATTAAAAGGAAACATCACTAAAGCTATTCTAATTTTCTTCTTCAAGTCATATTAGAGGTGCATCGAAAGCCACTTTTCACATTCATAAAACACATTAAAATGAAAGTACCTTTAGGTTTCTCACAGTTGAGTATACTTGCTCAGTTCCATGTGAGAAAATGAAATACTCACAAGCCCTTTCGTATGCATGCCAAGGTGGCAGCATGCTTAGAAATCTATCCCCAGGTTCAGCAGGTACTACATCCCACAAGTTTTTGATCTAGAAATTTATACATGATAGTGTCAATGGTATGCTAAAACCAAAGAAATATTTTCAAACTTAAGTAAATTGAAACATGTAAAGGGATTTAAAAAAATAGAATAAAAAAGTAAGCCACTAGGCAATAAGTTTCTGAAAGCCAAGCAAATGAGAGGCGAATCAGATGATCAAGAACTATGGTTACTCATCCCAAGAACCATAAAAAAAAAATAGAGAAAGAAAAAAAAGAAAAAGATGAAGAAAGCATGAGCTTCTAAGAAAACATTACATCTTACAAGGATTGAATTTCCAGAAGAAGTCTCAAAGAGGAGGTAAGAAATAAATACTTAAGAGAGAAAACATAAGGGCCTTTTCAGTTTTTTCAAATATTTTTTTACATAATTCAAGTCTTAGCATATAAAAAATATACATCTACAAACAATAAGATGCTCTAAGAAACTTAATCTACAGAAACTTTTCTACAAAATGGAGCTTAGAAAAAAAGAAGGAACAGTCACATCTTTCCCCTGATGCGCCTTGTCTTTTATTTTTCTACTTTCAAGACCAAAGGGCACTTGTTCGGCCATCAAACCATATGCTTGCTATATTTAGAGGGATCTTGTTGGAGATCTTGGTGAATATTAATTTTTCCTCACAACCTTCTTCCACGATGTCTTGTGACTCTAAAACAACCATTTCTTCTCCTGCTAGAGGATTTAGGAACGGTAAAGAGGGAAGGTTGCTATAATATTTCCCTTGATTGGAATAATCAGGTGTTGTTTACAAGACAAAATGTTAATTTCAAGACAAATATCAGCTGCTGCCACTGACAGGACAGAACCATCTCCTACATCTCCAAGAAAATTCACCCCAAGAGTTTGGATATATTTGCTTTGTAATTTCCAGAGGAGAAAAATCAATGTTGGGAAATTAGACTTATGGCCTCACTTATTGGGCACTCTGCAGCTAAAGAGCGGTACAACTGTTACTGTCCACCAACAAGGAAGATGCTTCTGAGAACAAATGAAACTTTCAATTTCGTGAGTAAGAAGAGATGTTCCTTTCAATGCCGCCATCTCTTCAAGGATGTAAGGCATAGATGGGGTAACATTTTTCTCAAGTGAGGGGAGGAATACAGTACACAAGGGCAGAAGAACAAACAATGTGGAAAAGGTTTGTTATTTTTTTCATGTACCAGCCAAGAAGTAAATAGATCTTGGGCAGACACTACCTAGTGACTGTAAAAAGTCATTCCCGGAATCAGTTCTTGAAACATAATGAATACAACCCAGTTTGAAGTACCATTGGTACAATAAACTAGATAGAAGATTCACTATCAAACCTGATGCAGAAGATTCCCATGAGTAAGCATAACACCTTTTGGATTTCCAGTAGTTCCACTTGTGTATAAAAGAGCAGCAATGTCATCAGAGTCGATTGCTTCATACACATAGCGTTGCTCTGCAATCAGAATAGAACGTTATGAACTTGCACAGCACCTGTTCACTGTTCGTTTAATGACAGAGGATAAAACTAACATTAAGCACAATTATGTCAATATAACTCAAAATCAATTTTCTTTTCCACAGATTCCACGAATAATTTAACACGCCATCAATGAGGGAAGAACACAAATACTGCTAAAATCTCTAATGCAATTGACTGGTACTTTCCAGTAAGGAAATTTCCAAGGTTTGGAGTATTGTCCTTCAGTAAACATATAAAATCTGAGTTCAAGGAAAACAAACAGTAGACTTACCAGAATCATGTGATTCTAACAAGGCCTTGCGACTTTGTTGCCCCAAATCCATGACCTCCACGAAATTAAAGACAGGAAGCTGCTTGCTCTTGTTACCAAGTAATTGTGATTTATCTCCCCAAAGTAGAATAAGAAATCTCATGGAAGTCTTAGAATAGAATGTCTCTGCCATCCGATTAAACATTTCAGGATTGTCCACGGCAAGTGCAACACTGGGTAACAATAGCAGAAGTTGAGTGCTCAAGAATAAAGATCAATTCAAGTATATATAGTTCGTAATAAGCATAAAAATTTAATATTATAAAGATGAGACTGAAATATATAATGCACATCGAGGCTTCATGTAATCATGAATTTGCAAGTTCACAACAGATATACATTTCGCATGAAAAAATACTAATCAAACCTTTCGGAGTGATTGTATATTTGCAATAGCTCTTCAACCGATGATCTTGAACCCCTTACCACATTGATTGCTCCACTTGCCATCATGCCTAGACTAAATATAGCATGGATGTGATTCATGATTAAGCACAAAAACATACAAACAGATATATGTGCATGGGTAAGAGTTAGCTTTCAGAATATGATTTTCCTGATAAGAAAGGAAGAGAGTTGAGCATATTATATAGATAGGAGACAATGTTAACTATTTTCATCATCTGTACATGTAATCATGAGTAAAGCTCCTTACATAAATCCTAAACAACCCCCCCCCCAAAAAAAAAAAAAACTCCCGGGAAAAATAAATAAGCAAGCAAAAAGGGGGAAGAAAGAAATCAAAGAATTGACAACGTCTAAACATATGGTAACTTCATTAGCGAAAAAGGGTAACTTCTACAGTGTTTAATAACTGAAATTGACTAGTATATTTGAAACCTTCAAAGCAACTACTGTGTTGTTAAACGATTACTACCGCGTTTTATTAAAGTTTCTTGATTTGAAAACTTGTAAACTTTGTCATGCATAAAACCTGTCCAGGTTGCAATTTCCAGAAATTAATAAACTGACTCTGGATGAACCTTAATTATTTATGCAAGAAGAGTCATGGAGATCATGATTATGTATACCTTGATCTGCTACAAGCCACCTACAAGAATTATCAGCAAAAAGTGCAATCTTCTCATCTGGCCTGACTCCAATCACTCTCAAGCCTTCAGCAAAATCCAAAATCGACTGCTCCAACTGAAATTTTTTTGTGAAAGAAAGCATAAGCAAGCTATAACGAATTAATAAGTCAATTTATCTTTTGATAAGCATTGATTTCCGTAATATATTGAACTATGAAGTTCCAGAACCTTAACATGTCACATTGAACATATCAGAAGCGGATACCATTACAGAAATCCTACTCCTGAGTTGGGCACGTAGACATACGATTCAGAAAAAGCATAACAACAATAAATGCTAATCGAGTAGCATTCTAACACTTCGCCAACATAATTAGAAACCAGAAAATTTTAGATCAGAGGTGAGAGAAGTAAATCAAAACAGAAGAGTGTTGAAGCATGAGAGAAAAGAGAAAAGAGAAAAGTAAAACTGTTAGATCTTTCATGAATGGCAAAAAACACGACATCAACTCAATTAACATTTCAAGTGTTTATTGGACTAATAGGTGAATATTTCATCCTATCCATTCATGCAATGTCCAATAATCAGATTTTAATTTCTCGCCTCTCAGAAAAATCCTGTCAAACACATATAGCTTTTGAGATGCTGCTTCAAATCTCCATGAACTTGCCTCATAGATATATGTTTTAGGATGTTGTCATTGGGCAAACTCAGTGACCGCTTTTTAAAAACTTCAGAATAGGAATTAACTATTTGCTATCAGACTGTGGAAATTGCACTAAAACATATTGCATTCCACGACTTGTTGGGTGCAATTTCCCCCCAAAAAAAATGAAGAGCGACTAACACCAACAATTGAAGTAAAAAGACCTGTTTATATGTTATAGTTGAAGGTGGATCATGGTATGGGTCCACCAGGGCTACCCGATCCCCATACTTCTCCGCTGAAGATCTCCAAATGTCAGGAACAGCTCTCCACTCATCTGGGGCCAGAGCACCATTACCAGAAAGTAACGAGCTTTCAAGAAAAGGGGGAAACTTTCTTATCTGCTTTTTCTCTGTCTGCAAGCAAAAGTTTGCGGATGGAAGAATATAAGTCAGAAAATATTATAACAATAATAACATGTCAGTCATGTTTGTCAAGTTTGTTCGACACAAAGAAATTTGCCGTTAGTAACCATTCCTTTTTCTATTTTGTCTTGAAAACTGTGATTGACTAATCATGAAACTGCGAAGATCATCCTTCAAAACAAGGACCAAGCCAATTGCTAAGTGTAAAAGTTATTTTTTGATCTAGATCAATGAAATCATAAGGCCTTTCAAACATATCGCTCAATTTCATTTACTTCAGCTCGCATATTTCCTTCACAAGGTTCTTCTTCGTATTTTAAAAATACATGTTACTTAATACTTAATAGAATGCATTCAACCAGATATGCCAATATGACCAATAACAATGACAATAATCAGCTCTATCTCATAAAATGAGGTTGGGTGTAAGGATCACATGATGTCATCAGGCTCTATCAACAACTAAAATTTAACCAAATAGGTATATCACTTTGACCAACCTCAAAATTTAAAATCATGCAGCCAAAAAATAAAACTGATCATGACAACACGAGAAATACAATTTCCTCTTTAGCTTCCAAGTTCATTCTTTTGAGAAGGCTCTGCCAAGCAGAATTTGTAGGTGCGAGGAGCAAGTAAAATTGGATTTTTGGTCAAAGACAAAGCCTTTTTTTGGTAACGAAGTTAAACATACACTTTTTTTTTTTGGTTTTAAAGACATTAAGAGAAGAAACAAATTGTGAAAAAAAGTTGGCTGCCACGTATGAGCATTGTTGACCAACTGGACAGCTGACCACAATTTGAGGCTGTCAAGTTTCAGACATTGTTACTATGTATTGTACTCCTCTTCTTCTTCTTCTTCTTCTTGAGCTGAGTATTTTACACTTCTTCAAATTAGTCGTTTCAAGGAAACTCGGTTATGGCTTGAGAATTTTAACAGCCACCTGGCTGATTTGAATATTCAGTTTCTTTCTTTCCAACTACATTGTTTGAAGCATGGTCATCTCACACACTTCACCCCACGTTGCCACCTAGCTCCAAGTGGCTCTTTCTCTCTTTTCAAATGTTGCTAGACGACTACGCAAACAAAATAACCATCCGTAATATTCAATGGGAAACACTACAGTACAGCAAAATCCGAAATTCATGCTCCGTATAAAGCCAGGCCGCGTTGCAAGAAAACTACCAATCCATCATAATACTGAAGAAGCACAGACAATGTCTCTTCTCTTTGGGTTCACGAAAGTCTACTGAAACATAACTCACAACCCACAAAGAAAAAAAGAAAACTGAAGCGAAACTTGTCGACGTAAGACGATAACCAAAAGAGAATTACCTCGAATTGGCAAAACACACGCAGCCGACGAACTCGGTCACCCCACCTTTCGCGCGAGAAACTTTGATTCTGCCGAATTTGAAGCGAGTGAAAAACAAGGGAAAAGCACGTCCAGCATCAGACAAAGTCCAAGAGTAGTTGTAGCTCGTCGGAACAGTCGCCATCAGATTTGCAGAAGCAGAAGAAGAAAACTTAGAGAGTTGGTTCATGAAACTTCAATTCATGAGAACGCACGAAATACCGACGCGGTAGTGCCAACAGCCAAGAACAGTGGTTAATAACAGAGACAGGTAGAGAGGGAGTCGGATAAAAGAGACAACGAGGGAGACGGGTGGGCCTGTGAAGGTAGGTGTCGCTCGTTGTCGTTTGTGAGGGCCGAAGGAGGAGGGTCTCGAACCATCCGCTGACTTTGATGGCAGCTATAATGTCGCGATTGATTGATATCTCTATCCGTAAGCCATATTCACATTGATATTCATAAACTGCGATGAATCTGCATAATGAGGATGGCGGGGACGTAATCAAGCTGATTGCTTGACGGACTTATAAACCCGTCGGGTCTTTTTGTCCTGAAACGCCATTATGAAAATGAAAAAAATATCTTAGTCGGAATAAATTTTAATTACAATGAGCAACGTCGTCGCTGCCGAAGACAGATAACCAGGAACGGCATCACAAGGGTGTCCGTTTCTGAGCCTATAATTGAATGCCATCTTTATAGCGCCGTGCATGTGAAATTGTGGTCGATCCATTAATGAAGGCAACAGATCTTAGGTGGCCTACCATACTTACTAGTTACTAATATTCAGCTCAGCATCGTGCCCTCTCGAACGACTCGCCCCTTGTCCCGAGCAATGTGTGTCTCCGACGCTGACCTGCATGGCAAACAGCTTGATCGTATCAAATGTAACTTCGGTTGAGGCTGTGTCGTGTTTGATTATGGCTTTCTTCTGGTTAATTTAGTTTGTTTGGGACTGAGGACCCCACTTCATTGGGAAAAAAAAATTGCAAAACCCAATCGTTCATGATACTTGTATTGATCATTTATCACCGACACTTTTTTTTTTTGGTTGACATTTATCACCAACACTTTGAGTGATAAATGATAACCCACCAGAGTTGAGTGACAACAAAGTGTAAAAAAAAAAAAAAGGAAAACACGCTTAAGTGATCTAAGTAATCTAGTAAAAGAAGCTAATCTCTCAAACGTTGATAAATTGGTAGTAAATAAGCAAGGCACCATGTGGATAAAAAATAAAAGCAAGTGTGGAAAATGAATAACATTATTTATGATTTATAAATAATTAATTCTATAACAAGTAAATTTTATATATTTTGCAAACATTACTAATATTAGAATATCAATTGATGATTCGTGTATCATTTATTATGATTTAGAATCTTTGCACGAAAATGGACTTATTAATTCTTTTAAAGTGTGAAATTGCAGTAAAAGTGATGAATATACGAGATTCTTTCATCAGTGAAAAGGATGACCAAAAAATAAGAGAGAGGGGAGGAGGTGAACCCAAAAGGTCCTTTTCTTTCCCTTATGAGAAGATCCCGCCGATGTAGGTCTCAATGCCTTAGACTCAACTTCTTACAAAAGCACATGCTGCTTTAAACAAAGAAACGAAAAAGTCTGCGCAGGCACATGATCACAGAGGCAACCTGCGAGGTCTGCAATAGGACGGATGAAACTGCTGATCATATATTACGCCAATGCCCTCTAGCCACAGCTTGCTGGAACTTGATCCTGCCTAGCCACCAACTCTCAAGCTTCATGAAAACCCCGCTAAAGGATTGGTGGTTGAAGAACTTGGGCCCAAAACACGCTAGCTCACGGTGGTCCCTCTTCTTTGGCATAATCACCTGGAAAATTTGGGAAGCCCGAAATAGGAGACTCGTTCACAGATGAGTCGATTATTACAGCCGCCGTTGCCATAGCCAATCAGACCTCCAAGACTCGACGGCTTATTGGTTCACTCAACACCTTTTCTTAGTGTGTTGAAGTTATTCCCACTGATGCTGTCTTTTTTCACTTGTTGCTTTCTTGTGTAAACTTCTCTGAGTTGTACTGTCTATTTTCCAGTAAATAAAATTTTCCCTTTCACCTGAAAAAAAAAAAAGAAAAGAAAAAGACACCGCCCCGCAAACCTCACACTCAATTCCTCCGAGAAGCATGTTTAAAGGGTGTTTGGGTAAAACCAGATATAGTTTGGAGAATAGCTTCTGGAAAATAGATTTTAGAAAGAATAGATTTGTGAAAAATGATTACGAGAAGTAAGAGTATTTAGATAGTTGTTATCAGAAGTACTTTTTATATATACAAATTACTAAAAAAGACATAAGTTAATATAATAATTACATAAAAGATAGATTTTATGATATATTTTAATTTGAAAGAATAAAATTGTTAATAATATTTTGACCAACATAATTAATAATACATAAGATATATATAATAAATAATTGATATGTGTATATATATTTATAAGATATAAGATTAAATATGTTTATAAAAAAATAATTGAAGGATGTTAACGTCATATTATTGTTGAGATCTACTCTGACAGGCACAATCATACTCTCTAATTTGAGCCAGAAACAGAATGGATTCACTTCTCCTGAAATCATTGTTTCGGATTATTTCTCCAAAATTGATGCTGTTTAGATAACACCCCGTCCAAACTATGGTTTTGGAAACACCCAAACAGGCCCTAAATATTAGCCCCACGCCCAACTTTTCTGAAAACCACACATTTCTCAGAGAAAGAAAAAACTGTCTGAGACATATCATAGTGAAGAATTCAAACCCTCATGCAATGTAACAGATTGTTTTAAATTGCGTAACACGCGTCGCTGTGGCCTATTATTACTCATGAACTTCTCACTGTCACGGGTCATTCTTGAATCCAAGAAGAAGAAGCAGTACTCGTGACAAGTCTCGCGTAAAAAATTGGAAAGTTTGATCCTTTCTCTCTATTAATACAATTAATTAATGCTCTATGAGAACAATAAGGGTTGGAATTTGATCGTTTGAATCAGTTTGGAGAAATTTGAATGAGAATAAATTGATTCCTCTATAAAATAATAAAAGCAATCAATTTGACTTTAAATTGGTTAAAGATTAGGATTAAACCAATTTAAACTGGCACAAAATGAAACGCTGTTTTTTAATTCAATATTATTATTATTTTTTTGGTCTAATTTGTTTTTGTTGCCCAAAAAAATTAAACTCAGGACATGATATTTAAGATGTTCAAATTCTTTCTACGTGGATCTAACACTTGTTAGTATTTTGGTATGATATTGCCCACTGAATAACTATGTATCTATTTGGCCGTGTTCAAAAGCTCAAAAGTAACTTATAACCTACCATAAGCCAGATTGAAAATTAAGAGTCTGTCTGTTTTATTTTACTTATATCCAAAAATTGCCCTTGATCGCACGATTTGTATAAGCCAACAGGAGTAGCTTTTCCTGTGCCTTCACTATGCCTGTGACATTAATTTTATTATTATTTGTGTTAGAAACACTCAATTTTTTCTCTTTTTTTGCCTCTTATTATTTTTATTCTCTTTCTCTCATGCTCTCAGAATTCATATTCGAAAGGCTCTTATTCTCCTCTCCTCCACACCTAATATTTCATTATTATTTTTATTCTCCTTCTCTCGTGAATTTAAATTTAAAAATATTTTATCCATTAAAATTATGGTTCATTTTATAATCCCAATAATGTTTTATGATATCTCTAATGTTTTAAAATATATTTTAGTTACTAAACTCTACTTCTTCATATTAAAATAATTTAAATTCATCTTTTATCATATTTTATTATTTATTAAAACTCATACTCATTTTAGTAATTTTATAAACTAAACTTACTTTTATTCAATCATAATACAAATAACTTTTTATCAAATATAATTTTTAAAAAATAAATTTTATAAAATCTAATCCAAACACAATTTATATAACCCAATTTAACTTTTACCTAACTTAACTTTTTTAAAAATCAAACTAATAATAAATTATTTTTTCAATCACTAGGACCCTGTAATGTCGTAAACAAGCTGCCTGCGTGACTGACGAGAACCCAGCGGGCAGCAGCAGAGTGGTGTGTGACTGTGGTGCTCATCCCGAAGCTTTTGGGAAGAAAAAATATCTTGCAGATATTGTACTTTTTATTAATTTTTAATTTTAATATGGCATTTATACATTTTTCTGTCTTGGAAGATGTTACAAACCATGAAGTATAGATAAGTACAAAAAGGGGGGAAAATTAGCTGAACGACCTACTACTAAAAAGACGGATTAATTTCATACAGTCATCTAAAACCACTTTGGTGTTATTAGAAGTGCTTGGTACATTGTACACCAAAAAAAAAAAAAAAGAAGAAGAAGTGCTGGGTACATTTTTCTCAATTAGGCTAAAATGAGGATGATTTAATAAAAAATTTATAGATAGTGAATCAAAAATTAAGAAAATATATATACTTGTAAAATGATTTTATCAAATAATAATTAAAAAAAAGTGAGTGGTTCATGAAAAAAAAAACCAAAAAGACCTTAAAAATAGAAAAACTACAAATAAAAGCCCATTACAATATTACAGATTTTGACAATAATTGATAAATAAATGACAACAATTTTTATAAGTAGGCCTTTATATGTAAATTTTTTTTAATTTCTAAAGTTTTTTGTTTTTTTGCGATTTTCTTTTCCGGAAATACGCCTCTGAATCAAATCATGCGAGTGGCCACTTGTGATCACGGCCTGGGCCTAAAGAACCAAAAATATCACTCTTGTTAGGTCCATTTTCCGTTTTTATTTTATCATATCATCACATTTTCAGGGAGTGACTAAAAGTTGCGGCATTGTTATATTGTCTTTATGCTATATATTTATGTAGTATAAAATTTCAATGAAATTGAATTATTTATAAAATGTATTATTAATAAAAAATACGCGACTTATAACAAGACAGTTATTTACACAAACAAGATAATTAAATATAGTAAAATCCTCGCATGCTACTTTGACATGAATTGTTTTTAATAACTAACATCTGTCACTTTATGCATTTAGATGTTCATAAATATGTTTATCAAGTTACTGTAGCACGATGCATTCAACGACAAGCGAAAGCCCTATATGTATTTTTTTTTTTTTAAAAAGGTAAATTTATCCTTAATCTTATTTCTTAAATGCTCACAGCACATTGATCTTTTTAGTGGTGTCATTTTTCTAATAATTTTAGTTTTTTAATGCAAGTTTATCCATGATCTTTAGATGCTATTTTACTCGGGGATAAAATTATACTAAAAAAATATAGGTAAAATTATACTATTAAAAAAATTAAGATGTTGGGTGTATCTGAGAAATAAGATGAAAGGTAAATTTGCACAAGTGCTCCTTTTTTATAAAATGTTGATTTGGCATGGCCATTATCTTTTTTGGGGGCACATGTAGTCTATGGGGGTGTTTGGATGAAACCAAATAATGGTTTTGAGAAAAATTTTGGAGAATAAATTCTTGGAAGAATGGATTTTATGAAAAAGTGATTCTAATAAAGTGAGTGTTTGGATAGTAGTTATCAGAAGTACTTTTTATATGTGTAAATTACTAAAAAAACATAAATTAATATGATAATTACATAAAAGATAGATTTTATAATATATTTTAATTTGAAAAAATAAAATTGTTAATA